AACTGAACAACTGATTTAATGTCTGCCTGGGATGGTAAGTTATTCTCTTTCACAGCGGTTTAATATCAGCAATAATTTGATATCTTAGTATGCCCACATTCTTTCAATGTTAAAAAATATAGTTTTTAAGATTGTGCCATACATTTTCCAATAAGGAACAGTAAATGTTGTTGCACATTTCACATGACTGATAATTTGATGAGCTGTTGATTGTGTTTATGGAAAATAATACAGAACACTACCATTGGTTATCTACCTCAGTGCAGTAAAGGGAGCCCTAGTGGTTCAAACTGAAAAGAAGTTCAAATCACTTTATCTCCCAGAACTATTAGTCTTTATTTCTTCATGTGTCAGTAACATACTAAATGTCCTTGATTCAAATATGTGCATCATTTCCACATGTATTGTACACAAATTATTGTCAAACATAAGTACATGAAAAACAAAACTGTATTTATTTGTAGTCTACTTTGTTCATATATAAATGATGTATGCATTTAAATCAAGTAAATTCAGTGTGTCACTTTTTTCAGCACACCCTGTAGAATAGTACTACTTTGAGAATATTGTGGGTCTATGTGACTCTAATTGAAACCTTCTTTTCCACTGGCACTTGCAGATCAGCACAGGCTATGTGATTAATCTCTGCGTCCAGAGTTACATGATAAGTTGTGTGAAATAACCTAGTTGTGTTTTGACATTAGCTGCTGTAATTTAAATGTGATATTTATTTGCAATGTCATTTCATGAAGCAGGTCCATCCTCGCGACACATTTTTTTGTCCTTGATGGCCAGTGAAACTCAGGTTTTAAGCAAGCTAGCCTAGCCTAGGTGTGTTTTGTGAATGTCTTGTTTGTTCCTCTTGAGAAAAAAGAACACTGAAGAAAAATGTATCTATTGCATGCATATTTGAATAAAAGATTTAATGGAATATTGTCAGAATTATTCAGTTTGAGCTGAACAGAGTTGGTTGGCTATTTTTCCCTTTTTAACAAGGGAATGCAAGGCTAAAGGGACATGCCAGAAAAAAAGTAACCGTCCCTATATCTGTTGTAAACATGCCTAACCTTATTATACAGCATGGCTGCGATCTCTGGAGCGATATTGTCCAGTTTAAAGACTAGCAAAGTACACCTCTACTACTGTATCTTGAAGGTGAGAAGACTTTTTGGAACTTTTGAAACTACTTTGGGGTAGATTTTTAGGGGCGTGCTGTTTCAGAGCTATCTAGATAGCTTCTTATCTTTTTGTAGCCATATAACTTAAGTGTAGTAGCTAGGTTAGCTAACTGCCTTCAAAAATCATTATTATAGTGGAAAGAACGGATTATTCAAATGACAAAAATGACTTATAAGATGAGAACAACAAGCTAAAAGCAATAGCTAGCAAGGTAGCTGGCTGTCTAGACACCTTACCTCATCGTAACTCCTTTTCTCTGGTTGAAAGGATAAAATGAATTCTCTGACGTCCAATTTGTGCTAAATAAAGATAGAATTGCTGTTTTCTTTATATTTTTGTTCAACGACCAAGGCTAGAGTTTCACTAATGCTAGCTTTTTTGTATTTATTAGCTTGTAGATCAGTGGCTAGGCTAGCAGTAAGGATTGGTTGACACCACAAGGATTCCCAATTGTTGCCAAGAGAGGCCTTGCCTTACCGCGATTTTATCACAGGGTGATAAACTCCTTTCCCTGTGATAAAATCGCTTTATACAACAGTAAGTTCCGGCCACGCAAGCTGATTGGTTGAGAAGCGTTCTAACCGAGCTGTTATTTCGCCATAACGTCAGGGGTTTTTCACACACTGTATCACTCCGCTGAGACGCCGTTGCTAGGAGACGCTCAAGCCATTTGAACGCTTTTACTTCTTACTTTGGCACAAACAGAAAATGGATACTTTTAAGATCACACTTGACCAACAGCCGATTTGGTCAGACTCTGAAGATGAGACTACACTAAATTCCCAAACTGTCAGTTGGTCTGCGTAAGGAGCTGGAGAACGAACTGCTGGCTGTGCAGCTCGTTACTCTGACGTAACAACAAGCTGCTTGTTAATGAACTATAATTTGGCGGAAGGAATTGCTAACATTAAAACATATTAAATGACACGTTCACGGCCCAGTCTATTTATTTCTTACTTTATTTATTTAACTGTTGTACAAAAGCAATAGAACACTCGAGGTCATGTTATCGCGAATAACATTGCGGTCATTTCATGATTTGTTAAACTGTCGTATAACAATGGACATTATGATAACACAGCACTGTTTAATGGAAAAAAACATTGGACTTATGAGTACTTTTTGGTCACCAAATTATCACCGCGAGTTATTTAGCACCAATACAGCAGCGCCACTTCTTCTCGTGCTGGGGCTCAATCTCAAATGGCTCACTGCTCTCTACATAGTGCACTACGTAGGTACTTAAATACTGGATCCTGCACCCCAGCTAAGAAATAGTAATTTGGGGCTCAACCACATCCATACCAGATAAATGATGCACTATTTGGCTGTAGAGGCTAGAATTTCTAAACTTTTATAGCTAGCATACTATTTAGTGAATATGGAGTCATTTGGTATTTAGCCTGGGTTTGACGCTACTTCTGACTGTAACACCAGCACTTAAAACGTGTAATCCATTCAAGTGACTTTTTTAGACTTTTATACTGCCGTTTTACAGTTAATCATACCGTAAGTACTTTAATTCAAACCTGTGCTATTAATGATGGAGTTGTTTAGGCTGTTGGCTAGCTAGCTGACCAGCCTAGTTATAGTTAAGAACATAAGTTTCCAGCCCCTCAGTTTAAACAAAAAACAGATTCTTACTTCATCAGTATACTCGGCTGACCATGCGAGCAGCATGAGAGTCAAAGATTATTCCATTAAAAAGGGTTTTTTGTGTCGTGGCGTAGTAATATACAATTCAGTTGATGTAAGGCGGTCATAGGTGTGCATATATCGTGGATTTGACAACGGCTTTGAACGTGGCTCAACCAATCAGATTCTAGGACCGAACTATCCATTTCATAAATTTGCATTATGCACGCTGGGTACTGTAGTGTGAGAACACTGACAAACGAAAACATTTGCACATTGTAAGCACACAAAGTTTTTATTAGGGCTGTGTATTAGGAAGAACATGGAAATACAATATGTATGATGGCAAACATGTTATGATTTAATATATTACGATATAGCGTGACACTGTAAGCAAGGCAAAATACTGCGATTTTTTAGGAAACTGCCATAGTATTGGAAACACTACCATATGCAAAAAATCTGAGTGAAAGAAAAAGTCTAATAGGTAAAGATAAATTAGAACAGCTATTGAGCAGTCAGGAGTTTAAACACAACACTAAATGAACCACTGTTTGCCACAAATCTTTGCATAAGAATTATTAATTTAAAATTAATACTGTGTTTTTGAGAATCAATACAGTATCACAAAATATAATATTGCGATACTCAAGTGTATCAATATTTTCTTTCACCCTTAGTTTTTATTTGCTCCATTTAGCCAGGGTCCCAACAGGAGGACATTATGTTCATTCAGAGACAGAGAGAGGACACAGCTATGCAGACAAATTGTGGGAAATTTTCAATGTTGTTGTTCAATTTTATCTCACTACTGCAACACATTAACAGCCATTTAGGTTTTCTTTTTACTTGCACTATATAACATTCTGTTGTTTTACTTCGCTCCCTTATTAGTTTACATGAAAAACATTCAAGTAAAGGGAATCAATTAAAATGAATGCAAACAAAAGTATAAATATCAGTATTGAGTATAGAAATGTGGGCACATAACAATAATGACAATTAGGGTAAACCAAAATAAGAAAATAAAGTTTAAAAAAAAAAATCTTACAATATTTTCCTATATCATCTTTTAACACTTTTATTGAAAGCAGAGCTTATATACTGAAATATATTTTTAGATGTTTTATTGAGAAAACAAATCAAGATTCCTGCATGTATGTCAACACTGATCGTTATTAGTTTCTAAAAAATGAAATGTCTGTTGTGTCTAAGCAGGGAACTGGCCCCTCAGGACTGGAGCTGAATAGCCTGCCACTGGGTTGGGCATGGTGTATTGATGTTATGCTGGGTAATGCAGCTTCTAAGTGTATGTTGAGAGAGTAGAGCACTTTCAGTTGAAAGGAGTGCTTTGAGAATGGGTTCACCACAATTTCCCCATGTACAAACATCTCTGATTCACTGTCAATTTAAAGGATACTGTTACTCTTCAGTTTATGCACATTATTCTACCCTATATTTAATTTTTACATATGATTACCACAATAAATTAAGATGTTGCTAATAATAATAATAATATGAGCTCTAGCAACATGCAGAGAAAAAAGTAGGAAACTGCACAATATCTCCTCAATGTCTCCCGCACACTTTAAAAACCGTTAATTTCTTAATCTTATGGTTTTCTCTGCTACAAGCCTATATTCTTTTGAGCACTAGCGGCCTCTGCTGGGCTCCTGAAGACTCGATAAATTAACCATTTTTCAACACAGTTGGCGGGAAAGTTTCAACACTTCATGAAGCTTCGTCTCGCCGTCACGAGCACGGTGACCTTAGGCTCATGTGCGGCGGTTCCACATCGTTCCATTCCGTTAGCTAGTAATACAGGAGCACTTAGCCGCCACTGCTAGCCACCCGGGAAGCCGCTATGCGAGATGACATTGCTAGCACGTGCAATCCAAGCATATCTCTGATTGGACCGTTTTCGGCTGATCCGGGATAATACTTTATTAAGCGTTTACAGCTGTACTGCGCCTGACTGAGTGAACAGACTGATTCAGCATCAATGCCACACTGAACCCACCAAGACCAGCTGTGAAATTTTAAATTTTAAAACGATCATATTTCGATCGTGTATTAGTACAAATACGAAATTTATCGTTCACACTGGCTTTGAAACAAAGGAACGATCAAAGACAGGGCGGAGGTGACGTCCCTTGGTGCGGAAGTGACGCAGGACTACGTGTTTGTTGATGTTTGTGAGCAGAAGGATCCTGAACCGAATCCCGAGCGATGCTTTTCACACAGGTGTCTTTTATATCGGATTCCCGAATAAACGCGACCATTTAGATCAGCGGAGAGCGTTTATGTATTTATCCCAGCGCACCAATTTGGCAGTGAAAAGAGCTGAAAACGACTGAAAAGCTGTTTATTTACCGGGCTCGACCGGCTCGTATCCGCGTTACCAGGTAACCGGAGCTAGGATGACGATCTTGCCGAAGAAGAAGTCGAGCGCGGCGGGCGTCGCGAGCGAGCGAGCAGAGGACGTGGAACCGCACAACCACGCGCACCAGCATGGGCATTCACACTCGCACGCACTGGGCGTCCGCAGTGGTGCGAGGCCTCGCGCCTCTCCGCTGCCGTGGTCCTCCTACCAAGCGTCGGAGGACCGGCGGAGCGCCGTCGAGGCATCCCCTCAGACCAGCGGTGCGGCAGCGTCGGCAGGAACGGGAGCATCGTGCGAGGGCATGGTGGAACTGCCGTGCTGCTCGGGACCCGGGCTGAGCAAACGGAGGCGGCAGACGGTGTGCGCTGGAGGGATAGCGGGCGGAGGAGGAGGCGCCCCGGGCCCGGAAACGGAGGAAGGAGCAGGAGGCAACAACAGCGAGGATGAGTACGAGAACGGGCTTAGACTGCAGGCGGTGGACCCAGCGACGGTGGAGCAGGTAATAACCGTATAAAAAGAAAAATCGGGAGTCAGTACTGAAAATGAAAAAATCAGGAGTCAGTCACTGTGCTTAAAATCAGAGGTCAGTAATACTGATGCTGAAAATAAGGAGTAAGTAATAATGCTGAAATAAGGAATCTGTTTTGAAGCTGAACACCAGGAGTCAGTACTGACACTGAAGATTGGGTGGGAGTCAGCACTGACGATGAAAATCTAGACTCTTTATTGATGCTGAAAATCAGAAGTCAGTGTTGGTTCTGAAAATGAGTCACAGCTGATGCTGCAAATTTAGATGTCAATAATAATGCTGAAAATCAATCTGTAATAATAAAACAAGCATTTTTATTGAAACATTTGTGATAGATGTTGGATTTTGTATCATGCTTTGATTTTTATATTACTGTATTGTCTAAGTTTGACTTAGTTTTAAAGGAATGGTTTGACAAAAAATCAGGGGAAGACTTTTTTGGTGTTGGTTTTATTATTAGATATTTTTTAGTTTAAGTAGCCCTATGGTAACTACCCAGCTTGGTAGCCAGGAAATATAGAATCTACAGGCATTTTTATTGGACTTTTATTGGACTGTTAATGCTTATTCACAACTAAAAAACAAAACAAAACAATTATTTACTGCATTTTTGTACTATTTCAGTTATTGTTTAATAACTAATAAATATATATTAATTGTTTTTTGATCCTACATGTATTATTTTACTGCAGTTTACACAAATGTTTATTTGCTCTTAACCCCATGCAATAGTTTGCATGTGTGTCATCTGTTTGCTGTCAACCATGTAAACAAAAGTGCTCCATGTCATGCTGCCAAGATGGAAAGTGGGGCCAAATCTTAAACGAGCCAGGCTTTACTGGACAGCTCTCTGTGTGAATGGGCTTTATCTATTCAACTGTTTATGTGGCCTCAAACTGGAGTTTGACTAATATGGCTGGTCAATCACATGATTACAAGAGTTGGAAGGTTAGATTAGAGCTTTTGAAATTAAACTTGAGTACTCAGTTAAAATGTAGGCTACCTTCACAATAGGACGATAGGACACTAGAACAATGAATAGTTTACGTTATAAACCTTTTTTTTCTCTTTTTATTTTTATTTAGGATTAGAATTTTATTGCTTTCATATTGAGTATTTTCGTTGATCTATCATGACTGTAGTTTCAATGTTCACAATTTTGGTAGTCTAAATAAACAGTGGTACCAGTAACTGCATCTTTTCATGTAATCATTGTTATGTATAAACAAGATCTGTTATTATGCTTAGGTATCTGATGCTATATAGACTGGAGCTTAATTTATAGGGAAAAAAAGGCAACTATTTATTATTCAGTATCTAATTTCAGAATCGCTTGTTACAGCGCTCGTTGACCCTTTAAAATGCCAGGTTTATTACATGCTAAGGCTTTTAATTGTTCAGTAGCTACAGTGACTTCAGTGCAAACTGGTTGAGCTAGTCTTTGGTTATAGAAATGTTTAATAAAGCTGGCCTTTTAAGGGGTTAAGATTATACAATATATAATACTTCTGAAGATATATAATTTTTTGTATGTTTTGTCTCATAGCAAGAACAGTGGTTTGAGAAGGCGCTGAAGGAAAAGAAAGGATTTGTCATCAAAAAGATGAAAGAGGATGGAGCATGTCTCTTCAGAGCAGTCGGTAACTATGTCCTGTCAATCTGCTGAAATCTGCCATTGTTATGGTGTTATGGGCCTTTTGTCACAGTGTCTGAATCCGAATATCCTTATATGTAATGTTTTTGTAGCTGATCAAGTATATGGGGACCAAGATATGCATGATGTGGTACGGAAACACTGTATGGATTATTTGGTAAGTCAACACCAAAAGTATGTCCTCTGCACCTTTAATGGCATCTCTTTTATGTCTGTGTAATATATAGGAATCTGACTGAAAATAGGTGGAAAAAAGGAGGGCTGCACACACTCAAAAAGAATTCATAGTAAAAGGTTTTGTATAGTACCAAAAAATGACTAGTAACAGAACTCTTTTGGGCTCCACTTTTTTATTTTTTATTTTTATTTATTAATTTTTTTTAGAACCGAATAAGTTTTCGGTAGAACCTTTAGGTTTTCTTACCTTTGCTTGATTTTAAATGATATTTTCAAGAAATATTTCTTTAAATATGTTTTTTTTTTAAATAATAGATTCTCCATAGAACAGGGTTGTCCAATATTATTTATAAAGGGCCAGTGTGGCCGTAGGAGCACACCCGATTCCTCTTGTTTAAACAGTTAGCCTCTGTCTTCAACAGTCATGTGTGCTCCTGCTTTGTTCAAAGGAAAACCTGCAGCCATACTGGCTCTTTGCAGGTAAGATTTGACATCCCTGCCATAGAACCTTCAGGATGTGTAAAGAACCATGTTTTCCTAATTTTGCTTGCTCCACATGTAAGACTGTTTACACCTGGTTACTTTGTAGTATATTAATTGTATTCTGGAAAGATTTTAGCCAAATATATTTACACTTGGTAGTCAAATGAGTCTCCGGTTAGTCAGACTGAAATCTGTTTGCTGTGAAGTGAGGCTGAGCAAAATATGCGATCCGCTCATTACCAGTTACCTGTGTTTATCCGCTCAGCCTCACTTCACTACAGCCATGTTCTTTGGAAGCCGTTCTCCGAGGGCTGTTCCATGATTATCTTCCTCGCAAACATGTATCACATGCCCAGTGACGTTCCGCATTGTGAGGAGTTTCGGTTGTACTGGGAGGCGACTGTGTCTTGAAGAGACAGATGCATTTACACTGCTATGACTTGGCTCAAATGCATCTCAGACAACCTCCTGAAGTGGTTTAAGTGATCGGATTTGTGTCTGTTTTAAATGCATCTTGGGTGTGTTTTCACTTGCGTTTTTATGTGGCTTAGCCTTATCCAGATATAATCCTGATGCATGAAGTGCCCAAGTCTGAACAGGGTTTCATAAACTGTTCTTTAAAAGAACATACTTAATGGGTTCTCTATAGAACTTTTAGGTTCTATAAAGAACTATGTTTTTCGTAATTTTGGTTTGTCTAAAATATTTTTGCTTTTTTATATTTTGTTTATTTATTAAATTATTTGTTAAAACATTGTCATGTGTTATTTCATGTAGACTACTTTAGAAAATCACTAATATAAATAATTGATTATGTATTACAATGTGAGATTTTGTCCATATCGTGCAGACCTAGTAAAAACGATCCTGAATCACTTTCTGTTTTTTCCATTTGTTTCTTTTTTTTTCAGTTCAGCATTACCCCAGTTGGAAGCGGTTTCTCTGGCTATTTTTAGCCTGACAATTCAGGCCTGTAAGAATGATTGAGTTGATGATGAAAGCTTAAAACACAAGTACAAGGCGAAAGAAACCCTAAAAACTGGCTGAATATTGACATTACACTTGCACTAATTTGCTACTGAGGAAATGCCAGTCTTAATCTGTGGAGCTCATGTAGTTTTGTACAAAAGTCTTAGGCAGTCATGAAGATATGAAGAATATCAGTAACTTTACTGAAGTTTGGTTAGACTGTGGTTTGGATAGTTGGCTAGCTAGCCCATTGATTGATCTAGTAAAGTTATGATAAGTGTTTTCAGGAAGTTATAGCTAACTTCTAAACAGCCCTTTATTGATATAAGTTGTTTATGTACTTTGAATATATGGAATTGAAAAGTAAAATGAAAGTAAAAGGAATAGAGCAAGACTGACCCTTTTTTTGGTCAACGTCAGAGGAACAAGCATCCAGCCAGGGCCATTCAAGTAAGTAGGCTTGTAACTGAGGTCGTAATACTTGGCTGTACCATGTACACTTTCCGCTGCTAATTTTGAATAACTTTGGTATGGTGAGATTTGAGACTTAACTAAAGTTCAAAACAAAAACATACTTGAAATTTGACTAGTGCCTTATAGACTCGACCCCTGACACAGACTTGCATAAAATAATTTGTGAACATCTGTAGTTTTCATTAATGTTCATATTTTTGAAAATGCCATTTTGTGTCAAAAAGTTTTCTTTCCACATTAGACTTTTTTACATCAATTTCCAAATGTTTTCTGTCCAAACTAAACTAAACACTATATTGAGCATGCACACACTTGAGCAGGTTATGTAATGTCCACTATTCGATTTGCTCTGGACCACATGGTGGTGTCAAAAACGTGTCTGAAACTGCGTTGAGCATGCGGAAGCCTGTCATACAGCAGTGCTTTGTTTCATATGTAGGAATGCTAAGTGTACATTGCAACTAATTGTGTTCAATGCTAAAAGAGTAATCAAAACTAATGATGGAATTTGTTTGAACTCATTTCATATGTATTGGAGCTGAGGTCATGTGATCAATCACAGGATGACAGATGTCAGCATTTTCTTCTCTGGTTACCCCCACACGTTACAGCATGAAAACAGTTTAAGTCTATCTGTCCCTGGAGAGCAGTTTTCATAAAGATTAGTGCATCTTGCTTTCAGGTGAAAAATGCAGATTACTTCTCCAGTTATGTCACAGAGGACTTCACCACATACATCAACCGCAAGAGGAAGAGCAATTGTCATGGAAACCACATTGAGATGCAGGCCATGGCAGAGATGTATAACAGGCCAGTGGAAGTTTACCAGTATGGCATAGGTATTTATTATTAAAGACCTCATTTCTTTAACAGTGTGCTCTATTATCAGTGAAAGAAATGCTGATTTCAGTTTCTTTTCCAGAGCCAATCAACACATTTCACAGTATCCATCAGAACAATGATGAACCTATAAGAGTCAGCTACCATCGAAACATTCATTATAACTCAGTGGTGAACCCCAACAAGGCCACTATTGGAGTAGGGCTGGGGCTTCCCTCCTTCAAACCAGGGGTGAGTTCCTGTAATAACAAATTAGTTCACTGATCAGATACTGAATACAATGCAAGTACTATAATTTTGATGCCAATACAAATTTTAAGGAAAAATTTGAATAACTGATCATATTGGCTGATATAATTTTATATAGTCAAATATTAAACAGTTGGCACAGGAGTGGAGCTTTGCAGCATTTTTGGTTGTTTTGTTATCAAAGTTGTTTCTTTTGATTAGCTCTTTTTTCACATAAATGTTTTTTAATGTGTTTATAATGTTATCTTAATGATTTATTGAGCTTAAAGGTCCTTAAAAGGCATTCTGGCAACTTTAAAGGCCATTCTGGCCAAAATTAAAAATGTAACCATTTCTATGTCTGTTGTAAATGACTACTCACTTCTTGCAGTGGTGCTTTATTAGTCTCTTGGCTTGAAAACACGAAAACAATACAAAATCATCAGTTCTGTGAAACCAGCGAGGCCGAGGGAAGCAATGCAGCACTACAGAATGTTACATAACAAATAACATATTAAAAGCTAGTTTTAGGTTGGAATGCCTCTTTAATATTAAACTATTTTACCGGCCATTTAAAAAATTGGCCAGGCCCTATAATTTACCTCTTAAACAGATAATATCAGTTTTACACAAGAATTAAGTCTAGTCTTGGACTAAGTTACAATGCCAGTGGGGATTCACCAATGAAAATCCATTTGAGTCTAGACTTTTTATTTTTATTCTGGGCCTGGAAAACTGGCCCTTAAACTCTGAATCAGCATGTTTTGTCTTTCACTCCTCTGTTGTTGTTCTCTGCACAGTATGCTGACCAGTCCCTAATGAAGCATGCCATCAAGACTTCAGAAGAGTCCTGGATTGAACAGCAGATGTTGGAGGACAAAAAGAGGGCCACTGACTGGGAGGCCACCAACGAGGCCATTGAAGAACAGGTGGCTCGTGAATCATACCTACAGTGGCTTCAGGACCAAGAGAAAGGCCGACAGGTTTGAGCACTTCTGCTTTCATACATAACTGTCTGTTAATCTGAACAGAGAATTTGTCTAAGTAAAGAATTCATGTGCCTAGATTCTGCCATGGCACAACTGATATTTGTCTTTTGTAATGCAGCAGCTGGTGTCTCCTAGTACAAATCTTAGTTAGTTAAAAGAGTACTCTAGCCATTTTTAACCTGACTTTAGGTACAGTATCTGTTGTTGTACCATTGATTACCATAGACAGTGATCTTAACTTATTTCCCTATAGTGAGAAAAGAAGAGACAACCCATTGACTCAAACACTTATAATAGGAGACAGTGGGCAGATACTGAATTCTGTGAATAAAAATACATGACTGTCTTACTAAAGCTATTTTTGTAAAATTTTATCTAACTTTCCAACACTGGAACAACATAGTAAAAAAGCTAGTTCGTTATTTTCACTTTCCCTAAGATTTTCTGGTACCCACGGTGATTAGGCAGAGCCTGTGAAAACTCCACCCACACTACTATTCTAGCGACGAATTACCAGAAATTTTTCCCTGTAGAAAACGTGAGAAAAAAAATGTAGAAAAATTATACAGATTTACAGCTTAATTTACAGATACATTTGACTGAAAGATTTAAGAAAGTGCTCTGCAAAAACAGGTAAAGGTCTTGAAATTTTTGTCTGTGGTAGTTGAGCACACACAACAGATGAAGCGATTAGACAGAAAAACAGCTTTGTCGTTACTCACATAAAAACCTCTGTCTTCTTTCTTTAAGCCACGTAAAGCCAGTGCAACCTGCAGTTCAGCTACTGCTGCTACGTCCAGCTGTTTGGAGGATTGGAGCCGTTCTCCACGCCAGCGAAGCTCCGCCTCCTCTCCAGAACACCCCGGCCCCACACTGCCTGAAAATCCAGCCAAATCCCCCACTTCTGCAGGAGCCACGCTCATGCTCCCTAAACCCCCATCACCTTGTGCTCCAGGTTTGTGTCTATGCTGATTCAAATGTAGTTTCCCTGGAAACAGCAGTGTTTCTTTGTTGTGTTCCTGGTGACCTACAGCACAGCTCAGTTTCAACTATTCCCTGACCCAGCCCACCTGATCCAGCTGATAAAGGGCTTAATAATCAGTTAATGAGCTGTATCGGGTATGTTGATTCAATGAATACTTGAAACCTTGGGGTGTTTCTCAATACCACAGAACGTGAAGAACTGACTTTTGTTCTTAAGCAGGAACGTTCTTGAAAGTTACCTTGCAAGAATGAACTAGCAAAAGCACAAGGATAGAGAACAGTAGTTTGAGATGTGTTGTGTAATTGATATTGCACAATAGCCTACTTCGAATCCAGCTGATTTTGCCAGCATTACTAGTAGTGCTAATTTACTAGTAGTGCATCATCATTATTAGCCATGACTGTTGCCGCAGCTGTACTTACAGCACTTTACAGCAGTAAAAAGTTTGATTAAAGTCCTGAAATTGTAATAAATGAATATAACTGTATGGTATTGGTCATTCTGAATAAAGGTAGGAGAAATCAAAAGGGGAAAAGCGCTGTTGTTGCTTTCATTACTGAGCTGATGTGCTGATGCAGAGGAGGAGATCCATTAAGGAAGGTGAATATGAGGCTACTCGCTTTAGTGTTGCTTATCTTCACCTGTGGCTTACAGTTGGTACCATGATAGATACAAGCTAATGCTGTTTAATTATTTCCTTTTTACTCTCAGTTTTACGGTAAATAAAATATTATTAAGGGGCTGACAGACTGAAATTTCAAAGAGTAAACACACAGGAAATGCCCAAATCAACACAATTACTATGTGCAAAAAACAATTTAATAAATGTAGTAGTTTGTATTTCTTAGATACGCTATTCATGACCCATTTGTTGGTGGATCAAGTCATGAAATGATTTCACTTTGATAGTTTGTATAAAGAGTTGTAAACTATAACAGAAACTTGCTTATGGCTGTGTCCAGAACTACATACACTACCATACTAAATAGTATGTCAAAATAGTACACCACTGTAGTAGTGCAGCCATCAGTATAATAGTGTATGTAACATAGTTGTATGTGGTTTAGGATGCAGCCCATGCAAGGCTGTGGTTTGCCAAGAGCAGGACTAAGAAACTGACTTAAACCAAGTTTACCAAAAATGTACGCAATGTTGTGCAAATTTTCCACTAAATGTAGCTGTTTGATTAATGAATGCTTCTGTTCACCAATTAGCACTGTGCAAAGTGTATGCCTAAATCATCACACACTTTGTATGCATGATGTAGGCATGCAGTTTGTACAACGCTAATTGCTTTACATAAGCTTCCTGTACTTGTTGGCTACTTTAGTTCTAAACTTTCAAATGTGGTTATCTTTTTTTTTCTTTTTTTTTTTTAGGTCCTAGCAGACAGACATGCATTGCACAGGATTGTTCTCCTCCATCTTCTCTTGTATCTCTCTACCCAAGCCTTGGATATCGAACTATAATGCAAGAAATGTCACCTACTGCCTTTGGTAAGGCAATAGAGAATGCACCAATGCACCAATCTGATACCCAGTATTAGAGCAATGCAGAATATGTTTTTATTATTATTATTTATTTATTTTTTTTTTTAAAGAAAATATTCGATGTGTGACACACGCACATAAAGCGATGCAGGGTCGCTTACCTGATGCAGGGAGTGTGTAAAACTAAGGTGTGAATTACTTTAAAGAAGTTCTAAAGAAGAAGCTTTAAAGAAGATTTGTAATATTATCACTGCAGTTTTAGGCTTTGGTCATTAAAAAGTTTTAATGTATTACATTTAGCTTGAGGATGCTTGTAAACACCATAGAAAAGGGTTATTATGTCATCGCTATACTAAACTCAAATGAGATATTAGTTGCAGTGTCAGTCATCTGTCTCTGCTTATCATGACACCAACCTTCCGTATATTTGTGTTCTGGTGATCTCTCCTTGTAGGTCTAACAGACTGGGAAGATGATGACATCTTGGCCTCCGTTTTGGCCGTTTCACAACAAGAATACCTCGACAGTATGAAGAAAAACGCAATGCACAGAGAATCTTCTCCAGACAGCAGTTGATGCAAAGGACAGCAGAGCTTGCAGAGTGAAATTGTGGAAGAAACAGGAACCTGTTTCCAGCTATAATTTGACACATAATATACATTTCTTCTCTCTTTTCACCCCTCTCGTTCTCACCACTATATCCTGATACTTTCCTTTTTCGTTCCTGCCCCTCTTCCCTCATATTATTAAACCCCATGAACCTAGTTAGGTGCATGTTGAAATAAACATTATAAAACTACTGTTTACATATTCTTGTAATTGTTCATTCTCATTATGTTTAACAGTATTTTGCCTTTCAGTGAAAAAAAATCTTTTAATAAAACAGATAGCAGTTTAAAGTGTTTATAATATTTAAATGCAGATGCAGTGAGGCTTTGTAGTCAAAATAAATTTGCCAAATTTGACACAGCATCTTCGCCCCCCAACAACAATTTTATAATTTTATCTTTTTAGGTTTTGAACGCTCCAGTGGTTTAAACAACAGAATTAATTGTGTTTCCATTGGTTTAACAGATTTTTAGCGACAATTAGCCCCACATGTGAGGTCAACTCTAACATTTGTACTTGCTCTGTCTTGGGCTGAATAATTCATAAACCACAGGGTTATGAAATGAAGTTTAGGTTTTCATTTGTAGCAGAGATGATTACTAGTCTTACTAATTGTAAAAAAATATATAGCAAAACACAAGGCAGCATTAATCACAAAAGCACTGCAAGGTAAGCTGCTGAAGCTAAACATCTTTAAAATTTGTAATTATATACACTATATATTATATAATGTATAATTTGAATAATAAAATTATATAGGTCTTCTGTATAGCACACATCTATTATAGCACATTTGATACGTAAAAATACGCAAAGTAGACAAGTATAGATGGAAAAAACACTGAAAAAGGAAAACTTCTTGAAATCTGTTTTATGTGACTGTCAGCAAATGATAGGACACATCTGAGCAGATAACAAGTCTAATTCTTTGGAACGTAAAACATGCTTCTGATGTTTTTCCAAATCTTTATTCCAAAAGTGTTTGATAAGCTTTTGGAAAAAAAGATTCGGAATATAGTCTGCCAAGCACTCTGGAATGGATGAATATGTCGAGACATTTAGAGCTTTGAAACTAATAAAAGATATTTAAAAGCAATTTTAAAGGAAACAGCAAGTAGTGAGTATATTTTCAGAAGGAAAAGGACTTTTATTCTGTATTCACTCTCCAGGATGTGGTTTAGCGGCACAGCTTGTTTTTGCCGAAGAGGGTTAATGAGATGATTTCAGTTTGGGCCAGTACAGTTGATATAGTCTGTCCTGAGTATGATAAACGACTGATTTACCAACAACCAGTTAGTGGAAGAGAGAGTTAATTCTCTGTGTAAATAATTACGCTTGTTGCGGTGTTATATCCAGGAAGCTAGCCAGGATTAGCTAAAGATCGACAGAAACTGGAGCTACAGTAGGTAACTAACAGGGTTCAGCATTTTCTAAAACCTAAGGTTCTTTGTAGACCAACCATAGACTTTCTGGACTAAAGAAAATCCTGTTGTCTCTTGAAGACTGACCAGAGATGTTTTGGGCTGAAGAACAGCAGGTTAGCTAGCTAGGTTAACATTCCCAAAAAGCTTTAATCTGCCGGCTCTAACCTTTCATCATGCTTTGTTTATAACTCAGGATAGATTCAAATGTTTACATTTATGCAGATTCGGCCACATCCAAGTTATTTGAGAAGACCTCGCTAATTGACTGGCTACCTCGCTAAAGGTAACTCTGGCTTACGCTCATTTACCTTTTTGATCTTTACAGTTTTCTCTTTCGTTTTTCAGTGATTATCTCTTTCTGTTTTTACGTAGTAAATCGCTTGTTATGTTGACATGGATAACATGGACAAAGGGGATCAGGAGAGACAAACAATGGACGAAAAACTAGATTCATTCATCTCTACACAGCCTGCTCAGACTGGTAATAGACATAGTTTTTAAAATCTATTGCCATGTTTTGTTCAAGTACTATCCAGGATTTGGTTACCTTAAAATCTGATTTAGAAAATAGTCTTGTAAAAAACACACACTTGTTTAGGCTAGCATATGGCTAATGTGTTGGGTCTATTTTTCTTCTATAGTTTGCAATTATACTGCAATGTTTTATCTTTCCTACTTAAATCACTGAGATAAACTAAAAGATCAACTAAAATGAACAATTATTATTATTATTTTTATTATTATTATTATTATTATTATTCATATGGATTGAAATCAGAGTAGAAGTCATTGTGTCAGTATTCTGTTGTTATGTTCTTCCAGGTTTGCAGGTTTCAAGCGATGTCATCTCATCAGAAAATGAAGCTGACCCTATTGTAGAGGATATTTTTTCTGATGAGGGAGGGGACAGGACAGTTCAGAGTCTAAATGGACACACTGAGGTGCATTTGGGGGACACTATTTTAGAGGATGCCACACAACTGCAAGCAGTTCCTTTGGACATTCAAAAGGAAGAGATTCCAGATTTTGACAAATCTGTCAGTGCCGGCATGTCAGAAACAGATTCTGGTAAAGTGTCTGAAGACTCTGCTCTAGTTGACAATGGCCACGATGACTCTGGTGAGTTTGTAGTGGCCGTGTTAGCTCGGGGGAAGCTGGAAGAGCAGGGGATGGGTTTAAAGGGCACATCCTCACCCCTCTCTGAAACAGGCACTGCTCTTGGGGCTTCATCTCACCGTGATGAGGATGTAACCACAGAGAGCTGGCGGCAGCACCGCAAGCACGTGTTTGTGCTTAGCGAAGCAGGGAAACCGATCTATTCTCGCCACGGCAGCGAGGAGGCCCTGTCCTCCACCATGGGAGTCATGATGGCTCTGGTGTCCTTCGTTCAGAGTGGAGACAATGTCATTCGTTCTGTTTACTCGGGTAGGTTTTTGATTATGTGATTTAAGAATCAGAATCAGAAAAAGACTTTATTCACCAGTTCCGTCACGGATGGGACTACAGTTAACAATTATTTCTGTAATTAATCTATCTGTCGACTCATTCAGTCAATCGACTATTCAGACTTTTGTGTCTGCTTTGGTTCCTCTCCTCTTTGCTATGGCCATCATTTAAAGTTCTGTCTGTGCAACAAGTGTTTTCTTTTTTTATGTTGCAGTGAAAAAGTAGAAGCCATATTGTCCTCTGCACTTCCTGTAGTATATTGCAATCTGTCAGACTGACCACATATGTCATAATAACATAGAATTGAATAGTGATTTCAGTATTTGAATACTGTCAGCTCGAACAGTTAACCGAGTGCTCGAGTACCTGTGCGCACCCTAGTAACAATAAAGGTGCATAAGGGGTGTAACAAACGCTCAGCCTACAGTTCCAAAGTTTACTTACAACACTAGATCTGGGAAGCAGGAGGAGTGCTGGAGTTGTTTATTGTTGCTGATGGTTTGCAAACGTTAGTGTTCAGTAAATGAAATTGCATCAGATGGCATAAAACAGAGTATCCATTCTTGATGATGCGTTGTGACAGTTTTCCATTATATCACTGTCATGAGATAGATGAAGTTTTATATGCATGTTTATTAGTGTTTTTTTGTTGTTTTCTGATAAAATGCTTGTTTTGTTTTTCCTCTTTCTCTCTGTAGATGAGCACACGGTGGTGTTTATGCAGCAGGGCCCACTGGTGCTGGTTTCCGTCTCCAACAGCCGTCAGTCTGAGCAGCAGCTGCGGGATGAGCTACTTTACGTCTATAACCAGATCGTTAGCATGCTGACACAGGCTAGTATCACGCGCATTTTCGAGCACAAGAAGAACTACGATTTGCGGCGCCTGTTGGCCGGCTCGGAGAAGATTCTGGACGGCCTGCTGAACCTAGTGGACTCGGACCCAAGCTTTTTGCTCTCAGCCATCCACTGCCTGCCAATTTCTTCTTCTTTCAGGGACTCTCTCAGCCAGATTCTGCAGAAGGCCATCACTCCAAACCTGGTTTTCTCCATCCTCATCGCTAAAAACCAGCTGCTGACCATCGTCCAGGAGAAAATGGTCATTGAAGATGCCCGGCTTGACCCTGCTGACCTCCACCTCTTGCTCAACCTCATTGGCGCCTCTTCGGCCTTCCAGGCTGGAGAAATCTGGACCCCTATCTGTCTCCCCAGCTTCAACCCGGACTGTTACTTTTACGCTTATATTTCATATCTGGACCCGCCCGACTGCACTGTCTGCCTGCTGCTGCTGTCCACGGACAAAGAGGCATTTTATGCTGTGGCAGAGTGTAAGAGAAAGATAGAGGAGGCCATGCTGGCCCAGAATGCTTTGAGCTCCATAGCCAAAGCCCAGTCCTACAGCGTCAGCCAGGTGGGGGTGTCTGATCTAAGGCATTTTATGTACAAACCCTTTGATGTCCCAGACAACCACCGTCAGCTAACACAGTTCACCAGGTAAACCCAGCAGGTTGCATTTAATGACAGTGTATTTTTGTTTTTTTATGTTTTATTTAATAGAAAGCCTGTCAGTGACAGGAATTATATACAACAAAGCCTGTGTATGTAACTCAGTTGTGTTAGTATTAATGGTAGAAGAAATTAAATAAGTGAAGATAATAACAATAATGGAAACTCAAGGAAGAGTTAAATGTGCAATGTAAGTAAATTAATAAAACAAATTGAGGGATGATATATTGCTAATTATTCACTTTTCAGCTCAGGGGGGTCTTTAACTCTGGTCCTGGAGGGCTATTGTCTAGCAATGTTTGGTTTGCTTGCCTTGCTGAGACACATCTGTTTGAACTCCTCTGTTAATTACCAGGTTTAGTACATGTTTTTTCTTTGAGTAGGACAATTACCAAACTGTGCGTACCTCTGGCCTACAGGATTACAAAAAAACCTTTCAGTGGATGTTTCTTTAAAGAGCTGTTTTTATAAATGAGATGTTGACAGCTATGTGGATATTTTGTAACTGACTTTTTCAACAGCAGCTGACCTTGTCCTGATGATCTTCACAGGGTCACATGAATTTTACAGAAATATGAAAAAAATTGAAGGCACATGATTTCTTAATTTAGTCTGTTTATGCCATCAAAGACCAAGACGACAGGAGTTTGAAATCATTTTTATTAAGAGCGTTCTTTCTGTCATGGGATTAAATCTGACTCAGCTATACCTTTTGTCCAAGGAGCCTCCCCGTAAGCAAATGCTCAAGTTTTTTGAGAAAAAAAATGATAAAGGGTTTCCCCTTTCCCCTTACCCACAGTGTTGTCAGTCAGCCAAGACTTGTTTGGTGATGGATTTCTTTTTTTTTTTTTGGTAGTACATTAGCTACTAATCCATTACTAATGCATCTAACAAGTAATGGAAGCATACACTCCATCAATCAGAATTCCTCAATGCTTGAATCATCACACACTCAAACCACGTCAAACCACATTAGGTACTCTAAAATAGACTTGCTTATGTTGTTCTGACTCTTTCAGTATGACATATTGTCATCTATAAAACTAAATAACAGTATGCAATCTACAAACAAGATTACATACTGAAAAGTCTATTACTTGGGTAAAAGTACTATAATCTAGTAAACAAAATACTCTAAAAGTATGACATTTTTTACTCAAGTTGAATTATAAACGTACTGGCTCCTAGATGTACTTAAAGTTAAAAAAGTAAAAGTATTTCTTTGAAAATAAATTTAACAGGATATCTGTTCGTTGAGGGTTACAGGTACACATGCATGAAACTGAGCATACATTGTGGTTTATACTAGAACTGCATACATCACCCTTCACAAAAATCCACTCGTCTAGAGCACCCAAACAAGTTTGCTTGTTTGATTTCCAGGCCAGGGCCTAAGTGGGACTTGTTTTCATACCAGGAATTACATGATGCAGACCAGCTCACGCCAAACTGAATATACACTCACACACTCAGACACAATGCGAAAGTCCTTTAGTGTCATAACATCAGGCTATATGCTATTCCTAACAGTAGTGCAGTCATCACCCTACCTATTCCAACTCTTCCAGCCTAATACAAAACTACTAATCAGCAACTAATCAGAAAGCTGGATTTACATAAACACAACCAACACTGCAGCATCTTCACTACAACACATGCGATCGCTCAGCACAAACACAACCTCTGCCCTGATAAGATCACAAAACATGTACACACTTAAAAAAAGGTTACTGCCAGAGCGGGCAGACCCAATAAAGACGACATGAAAGTTAAATTAAGCATCTGATATGTGAAGACGATGAAAAGCAACACAGCAATCTTATAAACTTAAACCTAATCATTGCAGGCAAAAGCATAGTGCAACAAACATGTTTGTGGCCCATTTATGTCTTACCTATAATGACTTGATGCACTGAAGTAATGTTAGATATTTGCTTTGACATTTTCTCAAAGCCCATGCCAGCTTTTGTAGTAAAAGAGCACCAAATGCACAGAAAACCGACAACGATATTTACGTTTGTTTTTGGATTTGGATGGGTAAAAATGGGTAGAAATATACTTTAAAGGCAGATATACTTTTAAACATCAGTTTAGCAATGAGCTTCAAATTTAAAATTGGTATGCTGATAACAAATTGAAGACTTGAAGCATAAGTAATAAACTCTGTAGAGGTCTGCCTGTTGTGTTAACCGGTACTAAATTGGATAATATTGTGGTCAGATTCACACTGTCGTGCTAATATCTTGAGGCTGAAGTTAGCTTCTTATTGAAATTTTCATTTCACCTTAAAAAGACCTGCAGTTGCACGCTAACATCCATTCTGGTGTCTGAATGTAACTGCTACATCATTTAAGGTGGAACGGGAAATGAAGTCTCAATTACAGTCAGCAAAACCAGGGCTGTATCGCTTGAGTTCAGGGCCGCTGGTGTAAACCCTATATTACTGTAGATATACATTAGGATGTAACGTTTATAGTTTGTTTGAGCTTTCTTGTGCTTTTGTGTGTGAGTTTAGTCCTAAGCTCACAGTAACTGGCCCAAAACAGTTACTGTGGAATTGTCCTGACTCTGCTGATCACCCTCTCTGGCACTGAGTAAGGCCACAGTTTCAGGTTTTTTTCAGACCCATCGTCCGCATTAAGCGCTGACTTGAGGCTGTCGCTTTCTTTGGATTTGATTATCTCATCTGTTTAGTTTTTCTTCCTTTTCCTATTTGGGCACTGCTGGGGCCTCTAAGCCATGAAAGAAGCCAATCACAGGTTCACTCTGCCCCTCCCCCTCCCCTGTTTTATATCCAGTAAGATTCTGATTTGTGCTTCATTTTGTGCCTAACTAGAAATGCCTGCTTAAAAAAAACATATGAATAAATAGATTGATTAAACTAAAGTAACGTTTTGAAAATGTAGTAAAAAGTACAGATTTTTTTTAATGTAGTGAGTAAAAAGTATTAAGTGCCAGAAATACTCAAGTAAAGCACAGATACCTAAAAAAAATACTAAAATACTTACCTCCTCTGTAATAATAGTACTTATAAAGCTGAACTATGTAAGGAAAACTGTTTAAATTTGATTTAAATTATCACTGTAAGCCTGTGGAAATCTCTCTAGGGGACACTATAGAGCAGGCATGTCAAACTGGAGACCTTCTGAGCCAAAACGCTGTGGGGTTTAGCATTTACCCTCATGTAACACTCAGGTGTGTTTAATGAGGCAGTGTGCTGATGTCTGCAGTGTTTTGGCTCACAAGGACTGGAGCTTGAAACATGCTACAGAGATATAGAGTAACAGCAACCTCTGTATAAATCCCTGGCTAATTTCTGTAAAACTGCTTTGTTAAAGTGTTTATTGTAAACAGCTCTATACAAATAAAATGTAATTTAACTGAGTGTGTGTGTGTGTGTGTGTGTGTGTGTGTGTGTGTGTGTGTGTGTGTGTGTTTGTGTTTGTGTTTGGTTGTTTCTGTTTTCTTCAGCCCAGAGTTGGAGGCCCCATATAGCAGTGATGAGGAGAAGCTGAGGCTGCTGGACTTGTACAGAGATTTACACAGCCGAATACACAGCAACTCACGCCCACTCAAACTCATCTACCATGTCGCTGAGAGAGAGACGCTGCTGGCCTGGGTGAGGGGTTACTAACTGCTGTCATGCAGGGCTGCCACTAAATTCTGCCTGTGTGATTAATCTGTTTACTATTGTTTATTTTTTTTATTAACTGGCCAGTCTAAGTGTAGTTTGCCTTCTGTGCCTTTAAATGTGGCATTCACCCCCACCCTCGATCTGCGTCGCCTATCAGCTGATTGTGCTGAAAGGCAGTCTGTCCGTATTGGCCCATCTCTATCAGGTGTGTTGGGAACTAAAACACTAAAATGGGCAAAGCAGAGCCTCCAGGATCAGGTCTGGGAAACACTGCTTCATGTAGCCAAAGCTCTATAGCAAGGTCAGGAAATTCTGGTTGTGAAGGGCTGGATTGTTTCACAGTTTGCTGAGGTTTTGCTTAAACACGCCTGAGTCAGCTCAGTTAACTACCAGGTTTAGCTGTTGTGTTAGAGCAGTGAAATCAGCAAACTGTGTGGGACCCCAGCTCTCAGTTCCCGACTGCTGTTGTTTGACAGTCTATTCTGCAATTTCCTTAGGCATTAAAAAAGTTTCAGTTGATTTGTCTAACTGCTGTTGGGCTTGGAGAAATATGTTGCTCATAATAAAATTATAATATTAACATGGTGTCTGCAGGCACTTGTAAATTTCAGACAAATTAAGTCTATTTAAGGACCCACAGTCACCCTGTAATGAATTACAGTGCAGTTGAATGGTTGGCAGCCCTTTTGATGAAATGCCTAGTTTTCAGTTTTCATAAAGTAATTTGTATAATCTCTTCGCTGCAGGTTACAAGCAAGTTTGAGTTGTATACATGCTTCAGTCCGCTTGTGACAAAGGCCTGCGCTATTAACGCCATCACAAAGTTGCTGAGGTGGGTAAAGAAGGAGGAGGACCGGCTGTTTATACGGTACCCACCAAAATATTCTACCACCCCAAACCCTAAAAGCTCCAAAGGAGGTAAGAGCAGTCAGGCAGACTCTGCAGATAACGGCTCCCTGCCTGTCCTCTAAGGAGCAGCATGGTCCTGCCTTACTCCAGTGACCTCTACTGACCCCAATCACCCAACCACCCCTACTGACCCCCCAACACTTCTGCGTTTCAGATACACACAGACTGCCCTGAACGTCATGGATCTGACCGCTGCACTATGTCCAAATCCTCAGCAGCACTGTGGAAGACTAGCATCTTTCAATTTAGTAAACAGAACTCAAATGCTCAGTTTGTGAAGAGAATACTTCAGTATTTGTCTTCCTAATCTCTATCTACTGAATTATACAGATTTACAGGTTAATATATGAATGCCTTTGATCAAAAGAATTCATGAAAGTGTTCTACAAAAATACGTGTGTTACATAAACATTTACTGACAGAATTCAGTAACTGCCTATTAACTTTGTTTTCTAAATACAGAATACAGACTAAATACACATGAAAAATCTATGATAATTGACCATGCACTATAGATGCAGCTGATAGAGATTAGACTGAAAGTCGCTGGTGTATTCCTTTAATGTTTAGGATATAGTCAGTAAATTAGACGTAATTCAAAATATTATTTTAGTGAGCTCAAAAAAGACTTTCCGATTGTTTGAATGAGGTGTTCATGGACTGGATTTTCTACATGGATTTGTTTTGTTGAAATGATAATCCAAACACTTTGTTAAATAACCTCTCTAGTTTTGCTAGAGTTTAAGCTATAGATCATTTTTTTTTACTAATTCAAATCATGGTGTACCCCTAAAGCACTGTGGCATTCGCATTCCAGACCAAGATAATTTTGATTGAATTGCTGCCCCTAGCTAAACTTAGTGAGTTTAAGGCTGAACTATACATGAAAATTCCAAACATTTCTAGACACCTGTTCATTCAGCTGCTCTTCTGAAATCAAGGGTATTAATTGGGAGTTTGTCCCCATGCTCTGCAGTAACAGCCTCTACTCCACTGAGGAGGCTTTACACTAGATGTTGGAACACTGCTGTGATGATTTTATTGCATTCAGCCGTACAAAGATTAGTGAGATCAGATAGTTACTGATGTTGGATGCTGAGTTCTTGATCCCAAATGCCACTCCAACTCATCCAGATGGTTCTCAACCCTACAAAGAATGCATTTCTGCTTCTCTACAGCTGAATCCTGGAAGCTTTATAGCCCTCAAGCAGATGCTTGGCATTGGGCGCATGGCCTTAGGCTCATGAATGGCTGATCCAGAGACCATGCTGTTGGCAATGCTCCAATTCTGTGGAGATTGTGTGCGCAATTGAATGCCTGTCATGGGGCTGTACCTTAAAGTTGCTGAATGCACTCATTAGAAGAGGTATCTGGATATTTTTGGACATGCAGTGTATTTGTTCACAAACATTGTTCACATGCATCATTTTATTGCATAAAGGAGAGTTTGATGCAAGAGCCTACTGTAGGAAATAATGATTATATCTGGTCACATGGTTCATATATGACCAGATACAACCAGTATTTCATAACATTGCCCAAATTTGTGTCCCCTTTTTTTAAACCAAAGACCTTCTCTTGTAGCATAAATGAGTAAAAATGACCCTTTGCAACTGTAGCTGGATCAAACTGTCTTGCTTACAGATAAAAGGTATTTAGTTACAGCTACCTTGGTACTTGTCAGTAAGTACCATATTTGTTCTTGAAATGTTTTGATTCATTTTTTCTTTTCTTTTTTTCTTCTCCTACTGTGCAACTGAAACGGGTCTGATGAGTTTAACAACTGCTTATTTCCATTTAAACTGAAAAATAACTTATGATTTTATGATATCAAGTGTATTTAAGTACATTTTTGACTTAAATTATCTTGTCACTTCATCTCAGTCTTATGGTATGTATTGCTATTGTAAATTGCTAGCAATAGCGCATTCTGTTATTTACCACAGTTACATTACACTTCTGGCATGTACAAACAGGCAAAACGTGTTTAAAACATTAACTACTTCAAGCCATAATGACAAATGGCTTAAAGAATATTTTTTTGTGCTTGACTACCATTGACTGGAGACGTTACATAAAAACATCAAAGATAACAAACCATGGAAACAGTAATGCGAAATATTTGTGTTCTCAATGTTTTCTCTTCTGGAACCTCTGGGTCTGTTCTCAACACTTCTGTTGAGAAGATTGGTGCTGTAATAAATCTTTAGGTTGCTCAATTTCTGTGAGGTGTCGTTTGTTCATTGTGTGCGTTTCTTTAAAAAATATGATTGCTTTTGCTGTGGAATGTTATGATGATTTGAAATGCGATTAATTACAATTAGCCAAAGATAAATAGAGGATATTTTCTATATATTTTTAAATTGATCTACAGTTTTTTTTCAAAATTAGAAAACTTGTGATACTTGTCCACAGAGTGATGTCACCACTATATTTAGGAAGGGTAAATGCTGCTGATGGCTGTGCAGTGAGCAGCTCTTTTTTTTATGCATATTTTTTTGGAAATGTTTTCACTTCAAGTATCAGCTCATTTTTTTAACCGTTCCTGTCCCTTGACTTAGCTCAGATGTGCCTTTTAACAGTGTTTTTATTGACAAATATGTGTAGAAATAATATATTTATGTGGCAGTTTCTATATGTGTGTAAACTATGCATATTTTATTCATTTAAATTTCAAAAGGACAAAATGTCCTTAAATAATGAATTGAGCCAAACATTATGAGATCTGACCAAAATGTACTCGAGTGGGCATACTGCCAGATGATTTTTACAAAAGGAGCAGTCCGTTTTAATGTCTAGTTTGTATGTCTTAGGTAAAGACTTGCCAGATAAAACTTGTGGATTCCTTTATGTGTTACTTAGGTTGTTGCTCTGTAGAAAAGCACACACTATCAACAACAGTATCAAAAGGAAATGGAAAGTAAACACCTCTTGGCTACATATTCACGCCAGCTGGAACTGCATTAAATATAATTATTTCTCAACAGATATGGGAAAGTTATATATACATAAGACAAAAAAGTATATGGTCTTGTGCATTGATGACGCATTTTGCAATGTGTTATCGCGATGATTGTATCTGTGATGACTATAGAAAAGAACATATTAAATCACTCTTCCATTTCTATTTAACTGTACTTAGGTGCACAGTCCTGTTCAAAAGTCAAGGGCCACTATTTATTTATTTAATTTCCAGTCAAAATGGTCATTAAATAAAAGTTCATTTTTCAGGAGATATTTCTGAACGGTTTCCAAATCTGACACTCAAAAAACTGTTTAAAGATATAGAGAAAAAGTAGGACCAACAACTGTGCAAGACCTGGTAGACCACCTTCCAGAAGAGAAGAAACGCGCACTCAACTCTTGCTTCAGATCTACAAAAAAAAATCAACAGTGCATCCTTCCACTGTGAGAAGACAACACTATGGGTCTGAAGAGATGTGTAGCTGTAAATAAACTAAGTGCGAAAAGGAAACAAAGAAGCTGCTGGTGTTCTCAGAACAACAGACTGACCACCCACTGACCTCCCGATCTCAACATCAACCAATGCAACCAAATTCTAAGACTGAACTCTGGAGGAAAAATATCCCTGCAGATTTATTTGAAAAAAGAAAGAAGTTGTACACTCTCATAAATAAAGGTACGAAACTGTCACTGGGGTGTTACCCTCAGGGGTTCATCTCAGTACCTTTAGTCAGGGAACATAGTTGTACCATAATCCATTGAAATTAGATTTTCTAAATTGTATTGACTCCACACACCTTGTCTCATCTCCAGGCTTTTTATTTTATTGTTCTGTTTTAAAACATTAGGTTATGAAAAGGTACAAATATGTATTTTTCCACTAGGGATTTTTTTAAGGTATACAGTTGGACCTTAAAACCACCTTTGAGGGTACATTTACATTATTTGTACATTGTGAACAAAAAATGTACATGCACAGTACCTTTATTTCTAACAGTGTAATAAAGCTAACAAAACTGAAGTACTGAAAAATATTGTTATTATATTTAGTTGTTGATGCTTTTGTGTAATACTCTGTTAAATATATTCTCTGCTGTGTTCCTGAATTACATGTACTTAAGGCCGTTTTGAAGGGTGGTCTCTGAGTTTTGCACAGTATTGTACCTTTTAAAGATGCTTGCATGAAATAATGTATTGACACAAGGTACAGTGAAAAAAATTTGGATCAAATCATAGACTCAACAGTGTATTTATTTCTCTTCTGAGAAAATACTGTTTTGGACATGTTTTTGGTACAATTAGCTGTTTTCACAGGCTTTAAAAAAAAACAAACACCTTTTTCTGTTTTACTGTGTATGCATTATCCAAGAGACTACTTTATTATTTCTTTTCTATCTTTATCCACTTTAGACTGCTAAGGAACAATCTCATATATGCAGTGATACTTTCTCAACATTATAATGCTTTGCAGAGCATTGTTAAATTAAATCTCCTTAGTTACTATTAAATAACAATTCTATAACCACACAATATAAATTAAAATGAAATGTACAAATCTTGGCATTACTTAATTTACATTTTTGTTTTCAAAAACCACATATGCATATGCTCTACATACATGCATTCATATGTACAAAAGTAGAGACAGCCCCCAAAATCTAGCGCTTAGTGACGCTTGTACCAGTCACCAGAACCTTCCAGTAAATAAACTTCATTACATTCTGACATGATGAACAGAAATATTTGGATATTTGGGTATTTTCATAAAAATAGAGCCATAAAACATGGAATTGGCAAATGTAATTTCAGTGTGCTGAATAACTAAGGTTAAGGTCTGTAATGCATGTTAAAACCGGTAACAGCAAGTGGAACATAAAGTAAAAATACACCAAGACTTTTGGACACCATCATATTCAGCCACTTAACCTACAAATTTTTAGCTCCAACATGCACTTCACCCAGATGTTTCACAAAAAGTACCTACCTAGCAAATTTTTAAAAGGCTTGTTGTTACACAACTCCACATGAGAAAGGCTCTCAACTGCCTCAGAATTTTACCACTACTTAGTTTCAAATGATCATTTTACTAAATTCAGTTGCACCCACCAATCCGTAAGTACATATTTAGCTAGTAAAATTAATGCTGAATCCTAAAAAGCTCTCCATAACCCTGCGTACACACTGCCGGCACCAAAACTTTCAAGGCAGCTGGAAGTCATTCAATTTTTGATGAGAGCCAGCAACATTAAAAGGGAAGTACGAGCAGTATCATGGTGCTGCAATAACCAATACAAAAAGATATTGTGATGTTCCATGGAACATGCTACACTGACCTTGATTTGTTCTGTTTACTTGAAAATGGAGAAGACTCTGTAGAAATTAATATATACCAAGTCATTTGTTGAAAGCATGACTTTTTTCTTGTGCAGGATGACAGCTCATTTGTTGAAAAAAAAACAACATTAACAATTTGCAAGTTTGTGGACCGTGTCTTCTTACATTTGGAGCTAGTATGAAGGGTGACTGACTGAGGTTGGGGGGGGACTGAATAACATAGGACTGAAGAACAGCGAGGAGATAGGTTGTCGGTGGGTTTGGGAAAACTTTATCACAGGAAACGGAAGGTAACGGAAGGGCGTTAGATTGAAAAGAGAAGGGGTTTCAGGCATGGTCCTCCCCTCAAATTTCAGCTATTCCATAACTCCATATTTTGAACAGCGTTCTTTTAGCAAGTCTTCATTTCTATGATGAACATGCCATTGAAGTTTTAGGCTTACTGATGGCTTAGCTTAGTCTAGTCGTGAGTAATAGCTACATACACTGATTTTTTTGATCGATGCTCTGATAATGAAATTCGTCTGGAATATGTTTCTTTCTTGATACACCTAAATTATGTCATCTTAAACAGGGGTTTCAACAAAGTGAGATTAAAACAGTTAAGTTGACTAGAGATTTCATGTCAGATGGAGATTGCATTGAAAAAAAAAAAAAAACGAGAACTTCAGCATTCTTAATTTGCCTCGAAGTGAATAAACATAGCCTACGTAGGCTGACTGCTAGTTTATATTGGTTCCTGTTCCCTGTTTCACCAAGCAACTGAGTCAAACTCGCTGCCTGTCCACACTTGGTTTGGAACACCCACCAGCGACCAATTTTCTACAGGACAGCTGACTCTGAGTGATTTAATCACCAGCAGTGTGCCGCAAAGTAAGACATAGAGAACTATTTTGTGCCCTACGTATTGACTGTTATAGTGAGTAGGGAGTCATTTGTAGATCGTACACTATGATAAAGGAAAACGCTGTATAACCAATCAATCAACAATCTACAATGGAAACATTTTACACTGAGATGTCATCCCATGAAAAAAATTAAATATTGAACAAAACAACAAATATTTTTGTTTTTAAGTGAACTGAATATAATTCAATATCAATGTTTATTCATTGATTTTGATATTTTCAAAAACTCTCTGAACTTTTCAAAATAACGGTTTCTGTCCAACCACCACAATGGCAGCATCAGTCCAGATTTTTCTATATCAGTTCTAGTAAGTGGGCCTAGCATATTAAAAGTGTAACATTAGCAGTTAAGCTCTTATTAAAACCAACATTTGCATGAAGAAAGCTGTTCTGATTTAGTAATGTACAATCTTGTAGCTAATAAATAACAAATAAATAATAATGCTATAATTAGCCTACGTTTGAATTTCCAAATAGCTGGTACAGCTGGCCACCAGTGAGGTTTGTCAAAACTGAACTCACACTGCACATTTTAATGTACCTCTATGTGGAAAATGAAATGTAAAATTATCAACAATCATTTTGACAGAGAGAATAAAATATTTATATAAATTAGTTTAAAACATAATTTCAATGGGACTTTTCTTCATTTCTGGAATACAGAGTACAGATTAAGGGAATTTCCTGCTAAAGTTACTTTTTGAAATCATCATTATTATTTCCCCAATCATTTCCCAACATTCACTTCACCGCAGTGCAGCAGTCTGTTTCAGTCATATCACGTCCAGAAGCGGTTTACATGAAAGAGGACGGGCTGAAGTCAGCATTTTCCCGTACATGACTGAGGTGTGTCATCGCACGCTCGTACGCCATGTGCACAGACTTCCGCACATTTCGTTTCTTTCCCTCCATCAGGCGGAGCTTATCCACGGTGTCGTCAACCCCCATCGGATGGAGTTTATCCAGTGGCAGCCATTGCCTGTTGGGTTAATAACAGAGGGCACTTTGTTTAAGAGGATGAATCTTAATAAAAAAAATTACATTTACACGATTTCTACCTTACCCCAAATGTAGTTCATCAGCAAAGACATGTTTGGTGCCTGAAGTTACTTTAGTGTTGCAGTTGAGTTACAAGGCAAATGTTGCTAACGAGTAATGGAAGGAGTTTAATGTAGTATGTAAACACTGCTGAAGTTTCAAAATGTACTCCTCAGTTTTTGGAATGTCAGGAAAACAAACACATTTACATATATCCAATAATTTAGCCTACAGCAGTTTAGCTCTGACTGTAAATCAGCCTTAATAACACAGTAATAACATGCCTGTTCTAAGGGATAAAGAGAGGTTGGAAAATGATCATGTAAAAATAAATTACGACGGGCAGCACGGTGGCGCAGTGGGTAGCTCTGTCGCCTCACAGCAAGAAGGGCCTGGGTTCGATTCCCGGCCGGGCGACCAGGGTCATTTCTGTGTGGAGTTTGCATGTTCTCCCCGTGTCTGCGTGGGTTTCCTCCGGGTACTCCGGTTTCCTCCCACAGTCCAAAGACATGCAATCAGGCCGATTGGACGTGCTAAAATTGCCCCTAGGTGTGAGTGTGTGTATGAATGTGTATGTCTGTCTGTCTGCCCTGCGATGGACTGGCGACCTGTCCAGGGTGTATCCTGCCTTCCGCCCAATGACAGCTGGGATAGGCTCCAGCACCCCACCGCGACCCAGAAGGATAAGCGGTTTAGATGATGATGTATGTCTTTGGTACACATAGACCACACAAAGCGCGTAAGTGGGAGAAAATAAAAGGGAAGAAATATAGAAAAAAATACATAAGAAAAATATAGAATATGAGCCCTTTAATGTCAAACTGATCCCCTTACCAAGTTCTCTTTGTGTCAAAGAACAATACAAGGAAAAGTTTATCCTCAGTCTCAGCCCGCCGGCGCTCGCCCAGTTTCAGCACCTCTTTAGGAGGCACAGGGATTGGGATGCCATTATGAAGGATTCCCTCTTTAGGCATGTCTGGGTCTACCGTCTGCAGAAAAACAGCAATAGTGCATGTGTGAATGACTCACTAAAGGAATGACTCTGACTGAAGAATGTGAAGCTTACCATTGCAGGATATGAGGGGTATCCTCTGCATTTTGCCCAAACCAAACTCAGAGGCTCCAGGTCGTCACCTTTCTGGGAACTGCTCCTGGCTAGACGTAAGATAAATTCATAAGATATCTGAGATTATCTTCTAATATATTTACATAATTCATTCACTGATATTAATTATGAATAATTAATAATAATAAGAAGTATTCATACACACTATATGCCTAAGACTTTGAAAATAGAGACATGCTTCCCTTTTTTAAGTCAAATGTTTCTTGAATGCTTAAATACAGTGCTGTAAAGAAGTGTTTGATTCCTTCTAGTTTTGCATATTTGCCCCCAGACATGGTTTCAGATCCTCAATAAAAATGCAATATAAGAAAAGGAGAACATGAAGAAACATAAAACACATGATTGGTTCATTTACTGAAGGAAAAAAGTTTTGCAACACATATCACACATGTGGAAAAGTAACAGCCCCTCTAAATTTAATTAATGAAATTAACCACAACCAAACACTTCCTATAACTGTACATAAGCCTTTCACATTGCTGTGGTGGAATTTTAGCCCACTATTCATGGCAGAATTGATTTAATTCAGCCATACTGAACCAAACTTTTGAACTGACCTTTGAACAGCCAGGCTTTGACCAGGCCTCTTCAAAACCTTAATTTTGTTTCTTTTGAGCTTGTCAGAGGTGGACTTGCTCTTGTGCTTTGGATCGCTGTCTTGCTGCATAACCCAACAGTGCTTTAGCTTTAGATCACGGACTGATGACTGGACATTAGCGGTGGGCAATATGATGATATTTTATCATTATCATGATAAATACTATTATCATGATAAGTAATATGCTTTTGTGAGAACATTGTGGATTCTATCCATACTTAAAGAACACTGACCGAATGTTTCATTAAAACAATTAGACCTGTTTAACTGAATTTAGTGCAGTACAGTATGTGAAATGTTGAATACAAATAATTGTGCCCAAAGTTTTTGATGGCAGTTCTTAATGTGGCACTACTCATGCATTGTGTCTGTGTGATAATTACTGTCTATCAGGAAAGTTTTTAAATATCACAATAAGATATTTTTGCCAAGTCCCTCACCCCTACTAGACCTTTTCCTGTCGGATTTTCGGGGGGAGAACACAATTTATAGTTCCCTCAATTATGTTGCCCAGGCCCTGTAGCAGCAAAGCATCCCCACACCATCACATAAGCACTGCTGACAGCTGTGATGATGTTCTTATTGTGGAATGCTGTGTTAGCTTTGTGCCAGATGTAACAGGACCTCATTCTTACAAAAAGTTCCACTTTCAACTCATTAATACACAGAACTTTACTTTAAAAGGTTTGGGGGTCAAGGTATTTTTTTGGCAAATGAGAAACGAGCCTTTATGTTTCTCTCTGCCTGGTCTTTTTCTAATGATGGTGTTATTATGCTGACCTTGTCTGAGGCGAGCGAGGCCTGCAGATCCTTAGATACATGGGTTCTTTTGTGACTTCCTGAATGAACTGTCGCTGTTGTTCCAGGTTTTCTCCATTTGGACATAACGGCTCTCACTGTGGTTCGCTGGTGTCTGAGAGCTTTGTAACTCTTTCCATACTGATATATTTCAGTACCTGTCTTTGTCATCTCTTCTGGAATTTGATCATAGCATAGTGTGCTGATTGATATTGCTGGTAAGATTCTATTTAAGTGATATTTAGATTCCAAAGGGCTGGCAGAATCAAGCCCGGGTACTAGGTTTGTCTATTTTATCTCAGTTTATAACTAAATTTGGTTAACTGCCTCACTGAGTAAGGAAGCAATTACTTTTTCCCACAGGGCAGATTTGTTTCCTTCAACAAATAAAATGATAGAAAACTGTACGTTGGGTTTACTCAGGTTATCTTTGTCTTACATTACATATTGGGTCTGAAACAATTAAGTATGACTATGCAAAACAACAGAGAAAATCAGGAGGGGGCCATTTTTATCTTGGATCTTATAACACAATCTCGACTTAAGATAATATGAGACATCTAATGATTTATACCTGAATCAGCCTCTGTGTTCTCTCCCTCTGCTGCTGGAACTTTACTTAGAGCTGGTTTTCCTCGACTGCGTTTGGGAGGTGAAGAACTAATCATTGAAAGTGCAACAAAAAATAAAATATGACAGTTAAAATATTTAAAGTTTTATCTCTAGCTGTTTCTATGCATCAAACAAGCCAGTGTAAGTGACCTTACCTGAGGTTTTGGTAAGCAGGAGAAGAATTCTCTGAGTCCGGTGAGCTATCCCTCTGTTTCTTTACACCGTTTGTCAGGCCTGAAAAAAAACAGTATTCAAACATAGTAACATTTTACTCTATGCTCACTGGCCAGTAATTACAGCTTAAAGGAATAGTTTGGTAATTTTTTTTTTATTTACCCCCTTAGCTCAAATATAGTTGATCAGCCAAGACAAGTTTGACACCTGAAGTTTACTTCTTCAGTTTTGCAGTGGAGCTGTGTTGAGTAGTTAAGTAATCTAAAACAGACTTGCTTATGTGGCTTTTCACTCTGTATGGCATATTGTTATCTTTAAGAATAGCTAAACAGCATAGCTGAAAACAGCAGTAGCAACAGTTTCAAAGCCTGAATTTTGTCTCTACTGTCCATTTGTATAGATAACAGTATGTCATACAGCATCAGAAACCACATAAGAATGTCTATTTGAAACTACTTAACAACTTAACCTGGTTTAAGGCAAGTGTGTGATGCTACAATTCAATGCTTATTACTTACTAGCCACATTAGCCTTGCAACAACTAAAGAATCAAACTGTAGACTCCAAACATGTTTTGGGGAAAAACTGTAAATGTAATGTTTTTGACAGAATATTCCCTTAAGTAGTAGACAGGTAATTCCCACACCATTTTGGTTGGGGGGTGAGCGGGACCGCTCTGTTTCGCTGTCGGGGCTGGCCGCTCTGGAGCGTAGCTGGTGTGGGGAGGGAGGAGAGGATTTTGGGGTGGGCGGAGCTGACAGTAAATTCGCCTGAGGCAGTTGTTCAGACATTTCTTCAGCGCTGAGTCCGTTCTGGAGAAGAACAGGACTGCTTTTAGATAGCCTAGCACCATTTTTAGCTTTTTTAAAGAGGATAGAGGTGCGGCGACCCACTCCCAGCTTGGGTGATGCAGGGGGGCTCTCCAGAGAAGAAACTCCGTTAACAGGCTCTGCCTCCTTGGGACTTGGAGCCACCGTCAGTCTGTTTTCTTTTGACTGAAACATGTCGTCTTCCACCTCTGTCTGTCCACCAGCTTCACTGTGACCCCTCCCTCTTCCCCTCGCTCGCCCCCGGCCCCTGCCTCCCTGCCGTTTGTTGGACTGGCTGGAGGTTGTGGTCCCTCCTGTCTCCAGACAGAATATCGGAGCATTTGGTGGAGCATCACCAGGTAAAGGGGAGGAAGTGGAACAGGTGGGCTCTAGAGGTTTCTGAGATGATGATTTTGTGGATTCTGGAAAAAAGAAGGCAAAATAGCATTTAAACTAAATTTTATCAGATTGTTTGATAAAGGCTAGTATATGGCTAGTTTATTGGGTCTCAATGGGTGACACAATGGGATGTTTAATCACTAACGTATAGGGTTATTCAAATAAAATAAATAGAGTGATCTATAAAATAGAAGCCAATCGGCAGCTGCTGAATTTTGTGAACAAGCATTTGAATACATAACAATATGAAACAAATGCAGAACTACAATAATATTAAAATAGTAAAAGTGATTTAAAATTTAAAGGTGATGTAAAATTGTAAGATTTTAACGGCAGCGATTACCTGGAATGGCTGTGTAATCAATTTTCTCGTTGTGCCCTTCTTCCTCCCCCTCCTCTTCCTCCTTGGTGTTGCGGTCAAGCAGTCCTGATGTTCTTCGCTGGTGGCTGAGTTTGTGCCGGATGCTGTTGATCTCCCGCCGCAGCAGCCTCATGCGTTTAGTGCGCCCCCCACTGGTGCGCATGGATGTTACTGTGTCCAGCTTGTCTAAAAGCACCTTCAGTTGGTCCTTTGGCGACATGTGGACTCTGTTTGCACCATCCAGCAGAGTGTCCACTACACAGAGAGGTTACAGAGGAAAAGAACACTGACAACTATGTGACAAAACGTTTCTGCTTAAAATTTTATAAAATACTTTAACAAGAAAGCATCTCAGTGGCCTTTAATGATGGACTTCAAAACGTAGGGCAGGAATGAAAAAGCAAATTTGAAAAATCAATAAATGGTGTGAAATTTATTATTCAGTATATATAGCACAGTTTCCTTTTCCACTAGAGGGGGCGCAAACCCCTTGTCACACCAAGTCTGAGTTTTGATACAAAAAAGCAACGTCAACTTCGGAAAAAACATACATTAACACTAATGCTCTCTTTCACTTCAGAGCTCATGGTGGCACTTGTACTACTGTAGTTTATTCTGTTGCTCCTTTGAGCCAATGAACGAATATCAGAATAGTTGAATATTCGGGTCCTGCCCTATTTAAGTCCCCCTAGTGGTCTAAAAGTTCACAGTACTCACCATCATCCCAGCATGACTGGTTTGAATTTGTTTTTCCCGCTGAGTCTGGCAGATGCATTCCTGTTTTGGGGTCCAATCCCACACTGACAGCCTGGCGTTGGGCGTGCCTTAAGATAGCGCCCCCTACCTCCCGCAGTTGCATGGCAGCCTTGTGGAACACCGTATCTGTGGAGTTGTACCTTAGGCAGTTGGACACCATGAGGTTAAAATCTGCCTCAAGATCCGACACTGAGCAATACTTGTGGGCTTCTAGCTTCTCTCGCATGGTGGAGAAATCCATGGGTTCAGAAACAAACTCCAGATAATCTGGAACCTAAAAAACAGAATGAAGAGAGTCAACCAGAGAATTTAAACCTAACTTGAATTTTAAATGTAACCTTTCATTTCGCTATACATGTATTCATAGTCCTATGCAAAAGTTGTATGTTATGTTTATTTTTCTCCAATAGGTCAAACTCAACAAATACATAAAAATTGTGTGCTAAGACTTACAGGAAAATGGCATATTTAAGTATGTCCCCTGTACAGGATGTGTTAACTTATTTTTACTTAGAAAACCAAAAAACATGTAACTTTTGCATATGACCGTATGTTTTAAACATGGCCAGCAACAAAGCTGCAATTTAGGATGACAACACCTTATACTCTTGTGTTTTTGTAAGTGGTTCATCATTTTTAAAACTGTAGTGTAAGTTAAACTCTGTTTGCACAGTTGGCAATCTAACTGCTTGAAACTGTTTTTACGAATTCCAAAGTGCACACAAACAAAATATATTTTTTTTTACATTTTAATTTTCCATTGCATCCACCTTGCTCTTCGGTACCGAGGCTACGACTGATGCACATAAATAATACGATCAGTAAAACAGAACAATGCTAAAATACATATAGAAACTCTAGCTACATGTACTAAACACAGTGAGTATATGCAAAATATCTAATGTTAAATGTAACGCAAATCTAAACATAAACAAATAAGTAAATACTAGGCCTGTGTACAGTGACGATTAATTGTGTTGCCACAGAAACAGTACAGAGCACCAAGCGTTTTTAATATATCCTCCCATCACAGCATCATTCAGGTATCAGACAAAACAGCTCCAAGTTTCAGGGAAAACACACAGTTAAGATCATGTCCTCTGTTGGTAAAGTTTGTGTGTCATTCACAATTCCGTTCTTTACTACTATGCTGGCTGCGTTATGATGTTCTCTTATTTCATAACATATTTAACCGTGTGCTGTGCTTATTTTACACACAGTGACAGATTCTTAATTGACCAAGAACACCATCACAGAGGAGTCAACACTTAAGACACAGGCCTACCTCTGCCCCAGATGAATCCAAACATGCTAAACTGTCTGTTAAATTCCACAGTGAAAATATCTTATTTAGCCCACAGAAACGGAGATTTAGGTCAGAGAGATGACTGTTTGGTGCTCTTTTGGCTTGCTTTTACCTCCTTCAGGTTAACGGGTGAAGTGAAGATGTGGGCAGTGTCCTTCTCCTGCAGTTGCTCAAGCGTGGAGCGCAACAGAACCAGAGCGGGAGTCAACTGAAGCTCCAGAGCCGCCTGCTGCAGCTTCATCTACACATTGAAAGTGGATTGAAGGTTGAATTAGTTGGGTTTTGGGCACTGCAATCTCCCCAGAGGAGGAACAAGTTGTGAAAATATAACTAGAGAGTCATAAGTCAGAAAAAAATCTAATTTACCCAAGTTTCCTTCTTCTTCCCCAAATGTAGTCAATCAACCAACATGTTTTATGTCTGAAGTTTGCATCTGTAGTTTTTAACTGGGGATACAGGGGTAATGTAGCCAAAAAGTATTGAAATCCCACCAATTAGCTTCGTGCAAACATATTACTAATGTGGTTCTGACACTATGACATACAGTTATCTATAGAAATTAACAAAAGTATGGACAAAGATGGCCAATGCTACTGTAACTTACTATTATTCATTTTTATTCATCATGTGACTTACAGTGAAAGAAACAACCCAGGCAAGACTACTTGAGATTATTAAACAACTCTTTGTTTTTTGAGGCAATTCATAGTCCTGAGCCAGAGACAAAATGTCAGAATAGGACATCATCTGTAGTTTCTATGAAAACTTGTATGATGATGCAGCTAATGAAACAGCAGTGAACCCACACAAAACAGTCTGAAAACAGCTGCTACAGTCAAACTCGATTAACAGTAGTGATTTCAATCTGCAGGGTCGTTATGGCAACCAGATATACTAGTTGTTTCCCCTACGCATGTTTCACTCATGAGTTTTTTCTCCATCACGCATGGTTGTCAGAATCATGGTTTTCCCAAAAATTCTGGTTAATCTGAAAGTACAGTGAGGGGGGAAATTACACTGCTGTGGGGTGCATTTTCTGCTTGGACAGCTTTTTAAAGTAATCGCAGTCACAGAAAAAGATTTAAAAAGGAGAACAAATGGTCTTATATATGTATATTGATCCTAGTTCTGAATAGCTGGCAACCTGTTGTTTCTGAAAGCAGCAAAGCAGTGAGAATGTAGACACAGCCCACGGCAACAATCCAGAACGTAGAACTTTGAGTTTCTACCCAATCAGAGTGTGCGACAACATCTGCGCCCTTTCACATTTTTTGATGTACGCAGCAAGGTCTGTGCCACCCTTGCAGACACAAATGTTGTCTCTTTTACGTCATTTTTTTTGTTGAGTGACGCTTGTCACCTGAACTACTAATTGGCCTTTAGTCATGCAGTTTGCACAGTGCTGGATTATCAGTTTCCATTTCTTGTTAGCTACATTAGCCTCTAGTGTTAAAATGAAGAAACAACACTACTACGACGCTTAACACGTCTGGTCTAACCGACTACATATAGGTGAGGGGGTAAATTGGGTAAAAATGATATTTCAACAAACTACAGTTTTTACAGTTTGGTGTGTGCACACCTGCTCGCGTTTGAGCCTCTCTCTCTTGCGGATTAACTCGATCAGCAGACGGGCTTTTTCCAGGTCCTGACGCAGTTTCTGCCAGTATTTCAGCTCCTCTCTAATGGCCTGCAACCTTGCATCTGGCTCCCTCTGAAACAGTCCAAAAAAACACCATAAAGCATTCATTTTGTAGTACACAGTATGTAGTATACACATACATGGAGAATTTGTGATAATAAGGTAATTGTTTTTCCTGTTTATTCATTATCATAATTAAGTACTCACCATTCAAAAGTTTGGAATCCCTGTTTTCAATAATATAAAACCAATTGTCTAGCAAATGCATGTTTAAAATAGTTCTATGTGACGCTAGTTCTCTAAAAGCTCACGGCTTTTAAACATTCTTTTGGAAGCAGAAAATAAATTTGACACATCAAAACATTTCCATGTTAATGAATAGAGCTGTAAATGATTTAATGTGATGTAGCTGTTGCTCCTACTTCCTTAATATTGACGGAATGGAAATCAACTATTTTAAATTGAAAAAGGTAAAAAACTTTTTCCCTGTAATTTTTCTATCAAATTAACTAGGATACTGTGTATAAAATTTTGTGACAGTGTTGAGTTGCTAGTGAGCAAAACGGAGTGAAAGGGGAGGAGTGAGAACCCTCTGCTATGAAAACAATTCACACCTCTCCACAAAATCTCACAGCACAAACATAATTCAAATAAAAATTAAAATATAAACACTTTTATAAATGTTGAACTTGCTTGCTCACCGGCAAAGACAAAAGTCTAGTTCACTGCATTTTATGGCTACCATGAAAAAGAGTTAAAGGTTCAGGAACCTGTTCAGTTTTCTGCGCCTGAAGGTGTGAGTGGAGCCGGCGGATGAGCGGAACACCATTACGAGAATGACGCTTCAGCAGCCAATAATTATGGAGCCTCTGCATGAACTGGTTCTTCCTCTGAACAGACACGCCGGTGCAAATCTTATTCAGCCTGTTATGAAACAGATGATTAGTTAATGTTGTTTTTGCCTTGCTTTCATTTCAAACAAATATTCAAGAATTTTGTACAAAGGGTTAAATGTGTGCCATGAACTTCGTAATGAGTGCATATATCTCAGTGTGAGGGTGAGTCTCACAGGGGAAGTGCACTATGAGACTGCTTGGCAATACATCAAATTTTCCCAAGTGTGGTCGATCAGCCAAGACGTGACACTTGTGTGGTTAACTATGTGATGTTCATTTTTATGCATGGACTATTCAACTGAATTAGTAGTCAACTGCAGTCCCACAGTAAAAAAAAAATAAAAAAAACATTATTATTTCAACCCCACATTCTTCGGCATTTGCTCATTTTCTATGAAGAATATATAAAAAAAAAACACATTTTCAATGACTTCTCACTGTATGCCCCTTCCACATTTATATCACACATGTGGTATTGGGGTGAACCTGCAGGGAATAAAAGTTTGGAGGTGCTGTGTCCCTTCACTCTGTTCTCCTCCTACATGGCCTGCTGTTAGTGTGTGTGTGTCTATGTGTGCATGTGTTTGTATATGTGTGTGTGTGTGTGTGTGAGAGGGTGGACAACATGGACAGGCTGCTTACTGGCTACAGCTGCTAAAGGAGAACCCTACACTGGCCACTTGTAATATTTTAAACATCTTGTATTTTTATATAAATTGTTATGGTTATGAAAAACAATAATACGGTGGGTCCACCAGACCACTGAGTAACAAAAACATAAACACCACACAAGGATTAAGTTCCACTACCAGCTACCTGGCCTCATAGCTCCTGTGCAAACCTAAAGAAGCAAACCTCAGACATCATACATTTCTTGGCTGATCGACTGCTTTTGGGGTAATGGTGGAAATTGTGTAAATTTGATTTCTGATCTAACTCATCAAACTACCACTTTAACTCTTGCCTGTAGGATGGGATTTGGGGCACGAGGAGAAGCGGCACTCCTGTTTTGCGTGAAACTCCATCTGCACTCTTCCTTGTCTTCTTTTGTTGTGGCGTGGGCGAAGCCTTTTTGTTTCCGCGCTGGTTCTGCTGCACCGTAGGGCCCAGCGTATATGACCTTTGACCTCTGTTATTCCTACCACCTGCAAAACCTTCATCCTCCTCACCTTCCGCTGCAGCTGGTGAGTGACTCCCACAGTATGCCGTTTTTTTCACGGTAAACGTTGTGCCATTGGTGCCCGTCTCACGCACTGGATCGATTTTCATGAAGAGTCCTGCTCTCTGGGCACAGGTCACGTGAAATGCCCGGTAGCAGTTAGCTTTATGGCACTGGATGGATGCGCCCCTCCCCCTTTGCTTGCACAGATAGCAGGTTAGCTTCCACCTCGCAGGAGGAATGTTACTGACGCCCTCTATTGGCTCCAGAAACACAGTGTTAGCAAAACACACTTCTGGGATCCAGATGGCACACACCACGTGTGCCCAGCGCCCGTCGCTTGTCTGTTTGAAGGCACCACCACGGTTTGGACACAGAACACAGTCCACGGGCCTTGATGGAGACTGCAGGCAACGACGGCACAGCCACTGACCCTCTGGAATATAGGGCACGCCGTAACATTCCTGATCAACAGAAACGTTTTGTTAGCCAAATACTTGGGATGCACCAATATAGAATTTCTGGGCTGGTAACCAATTATTAACCTCATTCTAGCCAATATCGATATAATAACTGCTAACTGTAAAAAAGTCTGCATTTTAAAGGGCCCTTATTTTCTACTGAGTATTTTGTGTAGATTTGTGTACCAAGAACTGTCATCATTCATTTTTATAGCCATTCTTTATCCCTTAGAAATAAACAGCTTGTTTTGCTTAGCTTGCTTAGCTTAGAATGATATATGTAAATGACCTGATTGGCTGCAACTTCAACATGAACAAGTGGATATATGTAAATGCATTCATTTTTTGTGACATCACAAAGAAAATTAAACTGCCAGCTTTCACAACTTAATTTCCTGTATGGACTGTATGAACTAAGCTAACTAAACTGTATGTTTTTAAATAATGTTTATTTACTTCATTATTATTTGAAAAAGTGAGGAAATTTTGGCAATTCAAAACAACTTTACACAACAATCTATGCATGTGTACAGTGAGTATAAGCCTAGAGATGGCATTTCGATATCAATGAGTATCAGTATCAGGCCGATATCAGCAGAAAATGCTGGATCGCTGACTACTTTCTTAAATGAAGCGCTTGACTTAGCTCATTTTAAAGCTCAGTTTAAAGAAAACAGTATCAGCTGATGCTAAAGATTTCAATATCCGCAACAAAAAAAAGTATTATCGTATCATCTCTAGTTAAAACTGTACAGTGCTATATTGTGTAAGCCTATTGTGTAATCTCGGCAGTAACTGTGTTTTTGCCTGTAAACAAATAAAGCAAAAAAAAAAAAAACAACAAATGCAGTAAAAAGTAACAAAAATATTCAGTAAAGTTATTGATATTGATATTATTATACATAGGTTTCTCTTCTCCTGTGAGCAGCTCCAGCACTATAGATTGGTTCAGCAGCACCTGATTTTACTTGCAGTGAACGACTAATTAATCAACTAGGTACTAAAAGTTAATTGTAAATACTGGGTTTTCTCAAGCAGAGGTTGGGAAATTATTAAGTAAACATACTGACAGATCAAATGCAAGTGAATATAGTGTTACGAAAATTTCCCAGCAGTAGTGAAAAAATAAAAAGAGCGTGCTAAATTATCCATTTTCCAAATTAAACTACCAGTAATTATTATTTGTAATTCCAATAATATCTAAATTTTCCACTTGCACAAGTCACACATCAGTTGGCAATATAGTGTGCACTTCATTCCTATGCATTTTCAAACTGAAGGAGTCTGTTCAGGTGAGCACTTACTCAACGCCTGAGAAGATAATACAAACTTAGGGCCCAATCAATATATCATTTTACCAATAAAACCAGACAATATTAAAGTTCCATTGACTTACTGGCATCAGCTGAAATCTCACCGTAGGTCTGGATAACATGACAATATTTATGTTTATCTTGATAAATTACACAACAATAGACTTTTCTGAGTATATTGTGGATATCGTCAGTGGTGACAAACCAAATGCATGTTTGATAACAAGGAGAGCATAAATGGTCCTGTTTAATGGAATTTAGTGCAGCACAGTATGTAAAGTTGAATACAAATCGTTGCATTTATAGTTTTTGATAGTATTTTTCAAATCTGGCCATACTTTGTACCAACTTATCAGATGTCGGAAAAAATAAATATCATGACATATCGTGCATCATAACAACGACTTGAAGTATCATAATATTACAAATTTAGCCGTTTCACACACCTCTATGACAAAGCACCAATAAACATGCTTCATGAACATGAGGATTTGCCTGAATATCACATGAGGATATGGGAGCCACTTTTCAAACAACACTGGTGTCTGCATTCTAAAAATAAGCGAGCTTGACAGTCCTACAATTTTCTCCAAATTTCACAAAGTCACAAGACTGTGAACACCATTTTGAGGAAATGTGCAAAAAACAACTTTTTTCTAAAACTGAGAAGTGACCGTCATATTTAACAATCAACAATATCACTCAGTATAGCACTGCTTAACAACAAATACTACAGTTTGACCATATAAAATAATGTTATCCATTAAGTTAACCATTATTGTGAACAAAACCTTCTATCTCCAAAAAGGTAACCTTAAAGGAGATGGAACGTTTTTCACTTAATGGTAAGTTAAAGGGCCTCTGTGCTACGGTATTCTTGTATTTTATTTTTCCCCTGAGGTTATCATGTTTGTGTGGGTTTATGCACCAAAAATAGTGATAATTATTTTTGATGTGATCATATCCCCACTTGTTTTTATCTTTTAGAATTAAAAAGGCAGTATTTCTTTTTGTTACTGTGCCCTTAAGATTGGTGTATGCAAATGAGCTTTGATAGTGATACCCTGTATCGTTCCTCATTCAAAAAGCAGTCTGGGTTGAAACTTCAGAGTGAATGGTGGAGCTAAACTGCTGTAGACTGAATAGGCAGATGTCTGTAAATGTGATCATTTGTGTAACATCACAAATAACAGCAAATACATAACAGGCTGGTTTTTCAGCTTAGTTTCAAAATATGAAATTGGGAGCGAATGGTATATTTTGAAACATTGCCAATGTTTACTAGGGGTGTAACGGTACACAGAAATCAGGGTTTGGTTCACACCATGGTTGGGACATCATGGTTCGGTACAAGTTTGGTACAACAGGAAAAAAGCAACAAGAATCCCCCAAATGCATAACACTACGTTTCTTTTCATTTATTTTGAACAGACAGTAGTGCAAGTCACAGTTTGTTCCACCTAGTGTCATATAACAAGCCCCCAAGGTAGGTGGTACAGCCTGTAGTGTGTTAAGCAGTTAAGTGTAAACTGTAAACAGTGAACACACACTCTTGCATTGGTCATATTTTTATGTAGGGCTGCTGAATAAAACAAAAGGCAATAGGTCTCATTCGGCTTCAAAACTGAAAAGCATCTCTTATGTTATAGAAGTACAAAATAAATAGAATAATAAAAAAAATAAAACTGCATTAGGAGGTGTGTTTCAAATCGTTCCGTTTTGGCTATATTTATACATTAAAAACTTAAGCCCAACTCTCGCAAAGAAAAGACAGAGTAAAACACCCTTGCTTGTAGGGAGGGACAGCAGGTACAGCCTGGTAGCATTTTGCCATTTAGCATTTCGCTCTCCAATGCTGTCATAGTTCCCTGAGAACCTGAAATTTTTCCACACAGCTGATTTGAAAGAAGCAAGCAGGTCTTCTAGCTCTTGTGTGTCATTTGCACTTGCCATAGTGTTACTGACTCAATCAGATGCCAATCAGCTTCAGCTAAGCTTAGCATGGTTTGCTGCTAACTTGCTTACTGCCTTCAGCTTCCAGTTTCCAGGTGGAAATGGCACATGTGAAATTTGGTTCTGTATTACATTCATCAATTTTCACACATAAGCCACCGCATATTCTCCCTATGACTCCATGCTCCGAACCACAACGTCAGTACCATGACAGTTCGGGACGAATACACGTACCATTACACCCCTAATGTTTACATACTACATTAAACTCTTTTATTTCCAAAAAGTTAGGGATTCAGTGTCCCATGACGTGGGCCCTTTAATATAAGAATATATTGTTCTTAATTAAGTAATTTTATACCATTTCTTTGGTCTTTTCATAATGACATTCACATAATGTAAAGGTAGTGTTTTTAAATTAAAAAAAGGTGAGGTTTTGATGGTAGTGTAAAAAATCATAAATATAATTGCAAGACTGAATCTACCATTAAAAAGTAGACAAAAGCTGTGAAGTAACTGCACAGATAACGAGTTACAATGTGTGATATGATGATGATTATGTGCAGATATTGTAATTTTGTAAATTGTAACCTGATGCACGGCCAGGTTGCAGATGTCGCAGAATAAGATGACGTTGCTGTTGAGGCATTCGTCATCCATGCAGACGCAGCAGTATGCATCCTCGTCAATAGTATTTTGAGATAGGGCTTGGCTCCTGGACTCTACGATGGACTCTCTCTCCAGCCGGTCAATCAGCAACTCGAACGTGTCAGGTGGAACAGAAGCATGGCCGTCTGAAACTCGCTTCTGATTAACCATCTCCAGCCAGGCCATGTCTTCCTCATCCATATCGTACTCTGCCTCTGTCTCTAGCTCTTCTGTAGATTTTTCCACGTAGCGATAATAGGCCACAGGAAGACATGGGGCCTCAGAAGGAGTGAAAGTGTCCAGTTTGCGGAAAGTGGGCTTAGGCAAAGATCCTTCAAGTTGAGTTTGGTGGATCTCATGGTGTGAAAATTGCTGAGAACCAAAGCGTCTTGCCCTGCCGCCTCCATTTCTGCTGTCCTTCTTCCTACCTTTGTTAGCAGAGGTGTTGCGTCCTTGACGGCCATGACTGAGGTCCTGCTCGCTGTTTTCTTTGTTGCTGTTGCACTCTTGCACTTCCTGCGCCAGCAGTTCATCCTCAGTGACAACCGCGAGCGGATCGAAAATGTTGATCCGGTGGATCCTCCCCTCCAGCTCCACCTCCACCATCTTCTGTGACTGGGCATAGGTCAGCGTCTCTCTGGTCATAGAGAAGTTCAGCCTGCATGGGGATGGCGGACGGAGCAAAATGTCTAGTTCTGATTGGCTGGAGGCAGTATCCCCGCCCCTGCCCCTTCCTCTGCCCCTGCTGGCTCCAGACTGACCACCACGTTTCTTTAGTTTCCTCATTTGAAATGTCTTCTTGTTTTCTATCTAAAAGAAATTAGATGAATGTTTGTTAGTATACAAATCAATCTCACAGGCCTCTGAGAACAAACACACAATAACCCATGTACAATAACTTATTAATATTTAAATATTTTATTAATATTTCTAATAATTAATAATTATTAGGCTCCAGCTCCCCTGCGACCCAGAAGGATAACGCTTGTGTGTAATGCTAATCCAGGTATATGTAGTCCCAACACCACAGAATGCTATGTATGCCTGTGAAAGGGGCAATCCAATCCAAAACTGGCATTTAATATGTTGTTAATATTATGGAATATTTTGTAGCACAGCATTGCACCCCTCAGCCTCAGGGGTTTGATGGAATTCATAATTCTTCATCATTTGGGCATTTTTGTCCATCAGTGCTCACTACAATAGGGAGCATGCATTACGTAAATACCACTGGGAATCCTTATGATGCTCAACAAATCACGATTGCAAGCCACTGATCGAGGCTAATACATACATCTGTGGTACTTGCTGGCATGGGTGACCTAGTACTAACCTCAATTCATCAAACTTTTTCTTTTTTAAAAGAATTATTCAGACAGCTAGTCAAAAGAAATTCCAACAGCTTGCCCATAAGCAGTCTAACCCACCCCAAAACAGTCTCTCAAAATTTACTTCTACCTTCAAGACACATCATTGGAAAGGAGTTTTCCTAGTCTTTAGACCACTGGGGGACTGCTGTAAGAGGTGAGTCAGATTGTTACCAGTAAATGCAGCAATGGTAACATTTTTAACGTTGGCCAAAATGTCCCTTTAATGTTTTCATATCAAACCACAAAACACTATATAACACACCATTGAGTGTGAATGTTTCACTCAGTACTGTCAGTTTGCAGACTGATGTCTGTGCACATGTGTAGATAGGTGTACTTATCATGTTCCACATTCTTCTCCTACGGTAGGACCCAAATTTCCCCTTGTAAATAAAGTATATTTGTACTTTAACTATCTAATAATAAACTTGTACATATTAGACAGATACATATTAAGAACATATGGGCTATGTACCTAATTAGATATATAGGAAAATATGATATATACTTGTATAAATGAAAAAAATATTCTGTACAAAACGTAGGACTGTAAACGACCAGGAACAGCTGCTTTAATGTTTACAATGCACTTTTTTACCGTAAGCGCAAAAATGCCTATGCAAACATGCCAGTGGAATGTTTACAATGGATACAATTTATAACACATTTATTACTGAGCTGGAGAAAACAAATATCTCCATATAAACACGGCCAGCTCTATGTCTCTCACTCAGTAGTCCTAGTAACATAATAATTATGCATCCTCCCGCGCCAACCAATCCGCGGTCACGTAACATGCACGTGACTCACCGGAGCCAGTCAGCGTGCAGCGCTGTGTAGTTTCCCGCTGCCATTTGACGTAGTTTGGTTGCAGAGCGCTAAATACCAATCCAGGAGCAAGACGGGGTGAAAGTCAGCCATTTTAAGGGCGCAGAGAGCCAGTGGCTATCTGGACATCAGCGCTAACAGCAAACTGCCTGAGTGACCATGTACACTGCAAAATAAACCATAATCAGTGCTGCTCGTGCCGACTGAGGCCGGTGTTTGTGTGACCGTCCATGTAGAAAAGAGCAGAAGGGAAGAGGCTGCTCATGTACGCCGCCTGTATGTGTCTAATGCACTGAACGGAATGCAAATGCAAGTGCAAGTTGTATTAAAATGCAAATGCATTCGCACGGCAACATTATAAGCTGCATGAGAGCAGAGCACTTACTGTGTAATGGTCAACAAGCGAAACGGCTCGCGCCTTCCAGCCATTCTCCAATGTCCAAGATGCACCGTCTCTCCTTTTACCGTCCGAACGTCTGGAAAATGCCGTCTTTCTGCGCGCGGGTCCCCGTGCACCAGCATCACCTGCGCGGCGCGCGGGACGCACGGTAACCTGGGCAGCACCGCTGGGATGTGAATTAATATTGGCACCCCTCAAAATCCGCCCAAAACGAGGAGGAGGAGGGAATAAAGAAAGATAAAAAGCGAGAAAACCCCTCTTCCCCCCCTCCCCTTACCGCTCGAGCCCCGGGCTCACCGCGCGCACCGTTCGCACTGCACGCTGATTGGCTCAGTCTTCTACCGAACCCCGGCTTCAGCCAATGCAGAACGAGCGCGAGCAGAAAAACAGCGCGGGCCCACTTCCCTGTTGTATTCGCGCGCGTTTTAGGATCCGGGTTTTATTTTTGTCCACAAATAAAGTGAAAAAAAAATCGCAGACGAAATAAAATCACAATACATTTTAAAATTAAATAAAAATAGGTGAATCTTAAAAATGAAAATACATGCACATTAAATGCATATAAAATAAAAAGACATACAACTTAAAATAATGTGTAACTTAAAATAGAAGAATCAATCAAGTTGGGTTGAAAAATGAATCTCATACTGGAAACATGAGAAAATGTCTAATCTTTATCTAAAGTAAATTTAGTCTAAGAAAACAAACAACCAACAACAACAACATTATTAAGAACCATTTGCCACAATTATTGGCACCCCTGAAGTAACTGAAGTAGGGGCAGACAACATGAAGACATTTTACTGCTAACATGATAAATTATGTGACAATATGCTTTTCGGAGCATCTAATTAGACTTAATGCAGAGAAGTTTCTGAAACATTAACAAAAACTCATTATTGTTGTAGGTTAATTATGTTTTACTTGTAGCACTACAGGTTCTGTTTTCTTTGTTCCAACTTTTCAGAAAAACAATATTGTGGTGCATATTGTGTATCGTGAAAATGTCTAAGTATCATGATGTAATATTTTTGACATATCATCTACCTCTAAACTCAAGCATATTTTGATTTGTATTTCACCTTTTTTCAAGTCTACCTGAATATTTATGAACTCTCAAGTAGTTCATGACTTCTTTTCATCGAGGTATAAATATGAGATGACACAGAGGCCAAATTCCCCTATGCCCAATCTAAGGCTGCATCCAAAACCACATACTATTATACTATACATACTACATTAAAGAATGAACTTCTACTGGTGGTGTACTATTTTCAACAAACTATTTAGCATGGTAGTATGCGTTTTTGGACGCAGCATCTCCAGACTCCAGACCTCAAGACCTCTGGTCCAACAGACTTTGGACCTATGTTCTGTGACTTTCACTGGTGTTCAACGTCATCACATCAAATTTGTGAGGTTGCATGCTTGCATACAGAAACGCTAATATGAGGGCACTTCACATTTTCAGGTTAATAATGACACCAAAATGTGCACATTTGCACAAGAATTGTGTAGTACTTACTTTGGAAGACGTTCTTTATTTATCCGTCATCACATGTGGTCTGCTATGAATTTTGGGCAACTCCATGACTAACATCTGCTGAAGCCTTCATACCTCCTTAAGGCCTAGGTGAATGGCAGAAGTAGACAGCACTATGGCCTGTGGACTTTCACGGTAGTGCACACATTAAGTCCTGCAAGTCCGGAGAGCAATATAGATTTAGACAGGGCAATGATCATTCATAAACATAGGGAAAATTAGAGAATACACTAATGAAATGAGATAAAAGTGTGTCAACCTTCAAAGATCAGGCTATGGCTATAAAAATAGCTACATGCCTAAAAGTGCCCATATCCATTGTTAGAGCTACACTTAGGCAAGTTTAAAACAACTGGAGCTGTTGTGAATATGTCTGGAAAAGTACACGTTTATACACACACTTATATGCCCAACAATTAGTTAGGAGGATGGTCAGGAAGGCAAAAATTGTCCAAGGATTACAATCCAAGATTTGCAGAAAATTATAGCATTTTTGGGTCCCCAAGTCTCTAAAACTACAAGATGCCACCTCCATGTCAACAAACTATTAGGAAGGCAAGACAGAAGAAAGCTTTGGTTTTTTCATTTAACCATAAATCTAAGCACCTGGACTTCACTAGACACTTCTGCAACTTTGACAGTACCTGGGTTCTGTGATCAGATGACACAAAAATAGAGCTTTCTGGCAACAAACACTAAAGGTGAGAAGGATGTTTGTACACAAACTCACCTAACCTCCGCTGTTAAGTATGGTGGTAGATCTGTGATGTTTTGGGGCTATTGTTCCCCCTAAGGCCTTGGGAATCTTATTGGGATACGTGGCATTGTGGATAAAGTACCATAAGATTTGAACCAAAAATTGATCTGCCTCTGCCTCTGGTTGGATCTTTGAGCAGAAATACGATCCAAAACATTTGTCAAAAATGCACATGAAAAATGGTTCAATGACCACAGAATCAACCTTTTGACATGGTCTCCAAGTCTCCAGACTTAGGGCTGGATTCACAAAAGCTTTCTTAAGAAAAAACTTGCAAAGGTTCTTAAGACAAACACTAAGAAGTTCATAAGACTGCTTTTAAATGCAATTCACAAAAACAAACCTTAAGAAGTTCTCAAATGTTCTCTTAAGATAATTGAAATTATTTCCCTAAGATTTTCTTAAGAAAACTTTATTGTTTGCTTTTGTAGCCCATGTTGCATTTTACAGCTTCCCATAAACGATGCAAGATACACTTTGAATTTGTATTAACTGTTATTTTCGTTATTTAGTTGAATCCACTCAGAGGAGCAAAATAGGAACAACGTCAAACCAAACGTTTAAAAAATTTAGCAAATAAGAACTAGAGGTGATGGTGGAAGAAATAGCTAACAGGAAAAAAATTCTCCTTGAAAAATACAATAATTGTGGGGTGATGGCAGACAGCGAGAGATGAGCAAGGTCAGCAGTAGCAGTGACAGCGTCCATATATAAATTTAGATGCTTACCTTTTCAACTCTTACGGCCTCAGACAAGTGTGAGGCTATCATAAGGTTAAGAAAACATTTAGGAACATATTATTCTTAAGAAAAGAGTTCATACAAAAAAGAGAATTCTTAAGAAGTTGTTTGAAAAAAAGATATAAAAAAAATAACTTTTTTCTTAATAATGAAGTCAAGAAAAAACACATTTAAGAAGATTTTCTTTCTTAAGACATTTTCATGAAGCCCCTAGACCCCTAAAACCTGTTGAGTGAGCTCAACAAAAGACTCCAAATGAGAGGACCTAGGATCTTGGCAGATCTGAAGAGATTCTATAGTGAGGAGGGGTCTTAGATTCCTTGATCTCCAATGTCATTAAGCATTGTAGGAGAAGACTCATTGCTGTTATATTGGCAAAGGGAGGTCGCACAAAGAACTAAATGGTGGGGTGCCAATAACTGTGCTAAAAAATACATATTTTTAAAAGGTTTTTCTTTTCTTAGACTGAATTTACTTCAATTAAAGGTTAGAATTTTGTACTAATCAACCGCAAAGATATTTCAAAACTTGTTTTATCCATCTTAACCAGGGGTAGCAATAATTATGTAGTTGACTGTATTATTTTCCAGCAAGGCTACCAGGTGCAAATCTTCCCTTAAAAAAGTAAACCTAAAAAGTTAGAAATTGTGGTGTCTTAAAATTTGTAATTATATCTTAACAATTCAACCTCAACTTAGTACAGAAGATTAATTCACTTGAAAATTTAAGACAGCACTTACTTTTTTAAGTTGCTTTAGGCCTAGTTTATTGAGTAGATAGGCTATAAGTAAACCTTTTAGTGAAATATTTATCTGATAAGCTAATGCAGCTTTGCATTTAGGTGTAATATCTCAATACATGCTCAGATCCACTTGCGCTTCAGAACTGCCTGAATTGACCATTTTGTATAAAGTCCTTTTACAAAGTTTCAGAATTCCAAGGGCTTGTCTGGGATCTAGAATTTTCCTCTGCTCCATTCTCACTGTATTTGATTTACTCCACCCCTCTAAACTCATTGGCTTTCTAAAGGCCTCATTAATCTCTTATTCTTTATGGTGGTGTCCAGCTCTCTCTGAGTCTTCCCATTTTGAGACTCACCCAGTGTGGAGTAACCCTCCAGTCGCTATGGTAAGTGTGTGAAGTGCTGTGAGATTTTCTGTTGCTACCTTTCTGTTCAGTCATAGCCTGCATTTGCCTTGTTTCTGAACTTCCTGTATCTTATGATGTTTTTCTCCAGTGGAGCAAGCACTGACAGATCTCAAAACCTTGGTCATTGTTCAGTACTAAATTATTATTATAACTACGAATTACAATACTTAATAAAATAATCATGAATAATCTTTTTTGGTCTTTAGGTGATTTTTAACAGCATGTGGACAGTGCTAGCCTTCACTGTGTCCACCACAGTCCTGCTGCTGACACACTCCTGCACTGCAGGTAACAAATTTACCTGAATTAAAATGTTCTGTAGGTGTAATAATCATGTTTATGTTTTATTTTGCCATGTAATACAGTTCTAGGCCATTTTTTGCAATAGTGCAGGACTCTTAATATCTAAAAATGCGATTCCTTTTGTCAGCAGTTTGCACAAAGACAGGCATTTGTAGTGCTTGCTAGTCCTAGCCTTGAGTTGTTGGAAGAAGAGGCTATTTAAAGGAGCTATTATATAATACATGAAGCTTTGAGTTTTTGGAGAAGGTGTTATGAAATGCATTTTTGTTATTTTTATCATTGTTATTATTATTATTATTATTATTATTATTATTAGCAGTAGCAGTAGTAGTAGTAATCGTAGTCATCATCTATAAAGTAGCCTAAACAAAATACAGTCAGGTCCAGAAGTATGACACAATTTTCGTAATTTTTCCTCTGTACACCACCACAATGGATTTGAATTGAACCAATCAAGATGTTATTGAAGTGTGAGTTTCAGCTTTGATTTAAGGGATTTAACAAAAATACAGCATGAATTGTTTAGGAATTACTGCCATTTTTACCTAGTCCATCTATTTTCACAGGCTCAAAAGTAATTGGACCGTTGACTGATAAGAAGTTTCATGGCCAGATGTGGCATGTGTCCTTGTTATTTCATGACAAATTTGGGAGATAAAATGTGTGGAGTTGATTCTAAGAATTGAATATGCCTTTGGTCTCTGTTCATGAGAACTCTTGATATGCGGTCCAAATAGGTGTTGATGCAAGTAAAGGGGGCCATCATTAGGCTGAAAAAACAAAACAAACTTATCAGAGAGACAGCAGAAACTCTAGAAGTGGGCAAACCAACAGTTTGGTACATTCTTAAAAAGAAGGAATGCACTGACAAGCTCAGCAACACAAAAAGGCCTGAAAGACCATGGAAGACAACTAAAGTGAATGATCGCAGAATTCTTTCCATGGTGAAGAAAAACGCTTTATAACATCTAGTCAATTCAATGACATTCTAAACCACAGGTAACACTCAAGAACAGAAAGGCCAGATTAGAGTTTGATAAAAACATCTAAAAAAGCCTGCCGAGTTCTGGAACAAGATTCTTTGGACAGATGAAACCAAGATGAACTAGTACCAGAATGATGAGCATGAGTATAGAGAAAAAAAGGAAGGGCTCATGATCTTAAGCATACCACATCATCTGCCAAAGATGGTGGAGGCAGTGTTATGGCATGGGCATGTATGGCTGCCAATGGAACTGTGTCACTGGTGTTTATTGATGATGTGACTGCTGATAGAAGTAGCAGGATTCAGTCAAAAGCTGCAAAACTGAGAGGACGGTATTTCACAGTACAGATGAATAATGAGCCAAAACATCATGAAAGCAACCCAAAACCTTCTTAAGGCAAAGAAATGGAATGTTCTTAAACAGCTGAGTCAGACACCTGACCTGAACCCAATTGAGCATGCTTTCACTTGCTGAAGACAAAACTGAAGGCAAAAAGACCCCCAAAAAAGCAGCAACTGAAGGTAGTCCTGCAGTAAAGGCCTGGCAAGGCATTCAGCGGAGAAAACTCCATTTGGTGATGTCCATGGTTTCCAGATTCAGGCAGTGATTAAATAGTCCTTGTTTTTATAATTAAGTTAGTCTGTCCAAATACCTTTGAGCCTGCGAAAATAGAGGGACTATGAAAAAATGGCTGTAATTCCTAAACAGTTAATGATAGTTTGGTTAAACACCTTGAATTAACACTGAAAGTCTACACTTCAATCACATCTTGATTGCTACATTTCAAATCCATTGTGGTGGTGTACAGAGGCAAAATTACAAAAATTGTGTCACTGTTCAAATACTTTTGGACTGACTGTATAAATTTGTAGTCCATTTTCAGGCGTATCTAGATAATTCCAGTAACGGTGGTTACGAGCGTTTCTCTGCCAGTCCATCTTGTCATCCCTGTTGGAGATGCTGAAGTTTCACAGGCTTGTCATTTATTAATGGCTGAAACTGTCAGCTGGGCAGAGCTTCAAAGCTGGAGACTGCATCCTGCTTGGCACACTTCTGACAGAGAGGAAGCCAGCCAGCTGCCACTTTCACTAAAAAACAAATGGTTATAAATCAATTCAAAAGGCCTTGAACAAGAGGGCCAGTGTTTTAAAGGCTGGCCAAGCAGTGACCGCACTGCTGTCTATCATATTTTTCAATAGGAGGAGCTGATGCATGTCAGGATCTCTCAGACGAGCCAAATTCTGGGCTTTTGATGGTCTTTGACTGCCCTGCTACTCTCACCATCCCGCTTTTATGATCTGTTCAATATCAACAGCAACAGAATTAGTCACAGTCCAGCCGGGGTAAATAAATCCCTGTTTTGAAGCAATTCAGCATGTCGCAGAGGCCACAGGAAGTCACCAAAAGCCATTGGCTCCGGAAACCTACACAGCCTAAAAGGGCATCAGCTCATCCCTCTTTTTCGCCCCTCACTATCTCTAAGTGACTTTAAGATGGGACTTTATATGGCTGAGGCACAAAAAGGCCCTGTGCTGGCTGAGCCTATTTTGAGCCAGAGAGCTATTTGTGATTGTGGAGCAGGAAGTAATGGGATGGAGCCAGAAATAGCAGCAGAGCTAAACTGGCAGATCAATAGAGGAATCCCTGAGATTTTGGCTGAGAGGGCTCATCTTTCACTCTAAAGTCACAACAAAACAAAACTTCTCTTTAGATTGAGAATTTTTATGGCACATTCGGATTTATTTACATTAAACAAAAAAAAAAACTAATTTGTAAAGTTTTTTTAAACAATATACATGTTTATTTGCAGGCTAAATAAGTGTATTAATGTGAAACACCTTGGGTTGGGTAGCCCTAAGACATACATGGACATTCAAATGCAGCACACATCTACTTAGCTGGCTCACAGTATCTGTGTCTTATAATAAAAAATAAATAAATAAATAAATAATAAATAAAAAAAACGGCCATGGCCAACATTAGTGTTAACATAATAAAGAAAGTCATTTGGAACATAGACTTATCTCTGTTTTTTCTTCTTCTGTTCTCTGTTTTTTCTTTTTGCTGTGACAAAGGGGTAACATTTTGAAGTTATACTGACCAAAGTTGAAAATGAATAATCAGTAAAAATAAAAAGTCTAGCCCATACTACACTCCGGTCAGGTAACTTCAATAACTTAAATAAAATTTATCAGTGTGAAGAAAAACAACAAAAATAATTATCAATGATGAGATGATTACCAAAAAATAAACAATAAAATAATCATAAAACCACTACACGTATCCTGCTTTCACCACACTGACCCTGGAGGCAAGACTGTATTTCATGGAAATCACTTAATTATTACTGCACCAATGTTAATATGGATTTTCTCTGTTATGTCTGTCTGTCTGTTTTTCTATTTGTTTGTTTTTTTTACTCCAGCAAAGTCAGAGCTGATAGTAACCACCATAAAGGTGAGCAGTTGTAAGCAGTCACAAAGAACAGTTTTGTGAACACATCTTCATTTATGCTCTTCAGTGAATTAACTGGTATATATGATGTGCTGTAAACATTCTCTCCCCATTAATGATCATGTTTCAACATTTAGCAAGATCCATACACCATGGCAAAGGGCTCCCAGTTAGAGGGCTATTGCATGGACCTGCTGTCTGAGTTAGCAAAGAAACTGGGCTTCAAGTATAAAGTTCATCTGGTGAAGGACGGTGCCTATGGCAGGTTGGATGACAGTGGAAGCTGGAATGGAATGATCGGAGAGGTGGTGAGAGGGGTGAGTGAGATTAGGCTCAAAGGATTCTAAAGGAAGCAAGGTGTCCCCAAACTTTTGATGAGCAATTTACGCTTTTGTTTGTGGGAATAAAGTGATGATAATAGTGCAGTTATTTGTATGTTTTTTAATTTATCTGTGGTCTCCAGGAAGCTGACCTTGCTGTAGCTCCTCTCACCCTGACTGCAGCCAGAGAAAAGGCTGTGGGAATGACCAAACCGTACATGCAGACAGGCATCAGCATCCTCCTGCGGCGGGACATCGTCTCACAGGATTCTGGCTTTTTTGACTTCCTCAGCCCATTCTCTGGAGAGACATGGTTTGGTATTCTCATTGCTTACATCCTGACTGCGGCCTGCATCTGCATCGTAGCAAGGTGGGGACATCTGTCTGTTCATACCAAGAATTAAACCCTTCCAACCATTACAATAAAAGTACACTGTCTATCCGAAGCTTGAGGAGTAGTATTTGAATTTCATGTCCTTTTTCATTTAAAGGGCCCATATCATGGACAGAAATTTTAAAGGCTATTTATTCAGTATGTAAAGGCTGTGTTAAAGTTTCATTCGCTCCCCAGTCAAAGCTAAACTAAGCTGAAAAAAATGGCCCATTTAGAATTTTGTGATGTCACAATAACCAATGCATTTACTTACATCCACTTATTCGGCCTGCAGCAGTGTAGCCCCACCCACTCAAATGAAGTTATAAACAGTGTTTCAGTCAGAACTGCTTTCTCAATGATACGCAATACAAGGAGAAAATCAAAATAGGTCATTTACATATATCTGTCTTAAAGGCACAAAACACAAACAGTCTGTTTAAGGAGGGATAGATCATGGTGTTTAATGTTTTTGATGAAACAAATGGAAAGCTAAAGGTGAGATATAAGACCTTTATGTAAGAAAAATCTCTGAAATGGTTTTGTTGAAAGGGTTGAATGCAGTGGTAACACTGTCACAAAAAATGTTACAGATATTTATATGTGTTTGATATTGTTTCCTCTAAATAAACCTGCCTAATCTTTAAAATGTTATTGCAAACCAACAGAGGAAACATCAAAGTGTAAGAAAATGTCTTTTTTTAATTGGAAAAACTGTACAATTCTACAGTTGTATGCAGAAGTTTGAACACCCCTTGACAAATTACATGTTTTGTTGATTTTCTTAGTGAAGTTAACACATCTCTACTAAAAAACAGATTTTTCCTGCAAATTTTAGCATACACTTTCTATTTCTTTGCTACGTTTGACACAATAGGATAAAATAAAACATAAAATATACGTTAAATTATGCAAACATGTAAACAGTAACTGTGCATTACAAAGTGTCTTCTCTGTAGAGGATATGTTGTATTCACTTAGAAAATCAACAAAATATCATTCGACCAGCGCCCACACTTTTGCATATGACCATACATGTATAACAAACAAGGAAAAGCCCCAACACACCTGATCCAGCTCATCAACTGATTATCGAGCACTTCATGAGCTGGATCAGGTATGTTTGTGGCAGAGAATACCTGAAACTGCAGAGCGTGGATCCTCAGGATGGGAGTTGAAACCCACTGGTCCAGACTTCTGATAGTCTGTTTTTTGTGTGTTCAGACTGAGTCCTAGTGAATGGAATCAGCCAGAGAATGAACACAACAACTTCACACTCCTGCACAGCTTGTGGTACACCGCTGGTGCACTCAGCCTGCAAGGTCAGCAACAGCAGTTTACCTCACACCTCTCAAATCCTTTTAAATATTTATACTACATTATATACAGTCTTGCACAAAACTTACACACCCCAGAAACTAACATTTAGAAAGCTATTTAATTGGGCAGTATGTGATTATTTGCAAAGAGAACACTAATATTAGAAAAAATACAAATACCTCTTGTGTCAGCCTAGTATTATTTTTAGTTATCATCCAGTACCTAGTTTGGCTGATTAATCCTTTGTTAAATTAAATCAGGTGCACTGGTGGTGGATTTTAACAAATGAGCGTTGTTGAGGAGAAATCTGGAACCAAACCTGTGTTCTTCTAACAGGCAGAAAAACACTTACTGCTGAGATTAGTGGTTTTAAACAAGTTGCTTAGATGCCTAAGACTTATAATCAACATATAGTTGACATACAGTTAAGCAAGACTTTTATATTATCTTATTTTGAAGTATGTGCCAAAATGCATGATTACCAAGTGTTATTGAACACTGAAATAAAAACATCAACATACTACAATGGTTTAGCAAATGAACCGATTTACGTGGTTCCCCTCTTACATCAAATGCAGTCAATCTGTCAATGTGTTTGGTGTTTGAAATTTCCTTCTTTGGTTTAGCATTGAAGCTACAAGGCTAATGCAGCTAACAAGCAGGGTTAATGCAAGAGGTCACAACACATGCAGGAGTAGACACTTACAACCACTAATTACACTGTTCCTAATGGAGGTATTTACAGAAAATATGGAAGAAGAATGTTTACCAGCTCCTTTAACACAAGGGTTAATCACTCAACCTCCTAAACCAAACAAAGATAGACTTTATATTGATAATTGGTGTCCTATATGTTTATTAAATAATGATTATAAGATACTTGCTCTAACAATTGCTAAGAGAATTAAGACTGTGTTCAATTATTGAAGAAATACAATCTGATGTGCATGTTTTTTTTCCAACTATTTTTTTTTGTTAATGTCTGTCACCATGTCGTCACTGCAGGGGCAGGCCCCCACCCCAAATCTCCGTCAGGTCGTGTGGTCAGCTGTACCTGGTGGCTCTTTGCTGTGGTGCTGCTGGCATGCTACTTTTCCAGCCTGAGCTCCAACCAAAGCTCAGACTCCTCCCACCGCATGATAAAGAGCTTTGAGGACCTGGCCAATCAGGATGTTATTGAATACGGAACACTGGCAGGCTCCTCTACACTCGCGTTCTTTAAGGTTTGTTTACTCTCTGTTGAGTACAAGCTGGATGAACCTCTCACTGAGCCTTAATTCATATTGGAGCTGGATTAGTTACACCTGAGGACTTACTATAATACTACTATAAGTGATATATGATAATATACTATAAGTGATTAGTGACAAGATGTGTGATTTTAATGCAGAATGAATCTGCAGTTTGTAGTTTTAAAAGTCCAACAATAACTGAGAAGTGGATGGCCCTCTGTGATTGGCCAAACCTGGAGCTGCCTCAATAACAGAAGTCCTGTTCAAATCCACCTCACTAATGGAATAACAAACCCTGCTAGTAGACACAGACATGTGGTGTTGCTATTGAGTGTAGCACCTATGACATAACACTATTGTGAACACTCAGGCTATGACATTTCAATCCAGGCCTTAGGAATTTGGGGAAATCCTAATACTTTATTCCAAACTATCAGCCAATCAAATCTAACACATTACATTGCACTACACAACATCTATTGGTAAAATGAATCAGCTCCAGGAGTGCTTTATTCACTTACATTTTAAAGGTGTTTCAGCCTGTTTTGTTGTTGGACTTTTTTGGGAGCAGAATTCGAATAATCCTTCTTACCGCCGCATCTATGAGCACATGGAGAGAAGGAAGAGTTTTGTGTCATCAATGGATGAGGGTGTTCAGAGGGCGAGGGAGGGAAACTTTGCCTTTATTGGGGAGTCCGTGTCCCTCGACCTTGCTGTGGCGCACTACTGTGAGCTGGTTCGAGCCCATGAGGTGATTGGTATGAGAGGCTACAGCATTGTAACCCCTCTGGGTAAGTCAACAGAGATTTTCATCAACACTGTGCAATAGATTCTTAGTTTAAATTTGGTTTAGAACAAGCAGCATACACAATATCTATAAAAAATATCACTAAAGGTCGCATTTCTACATTTCTAAGTCTTTAATACATACTTACATAAAACAAATCAAGATGTACACTCACTGAGCACTTTATTAGGAATACCTGTACACCTACTTGTTTATGCAATTATCTAATAAGCCAATTGTGTGGGAGCAGTGCAATGTGTAAAATCATGCAGATACAGCATGGTTGTTGTGAACATTACTTGAAGCTGCTGGGGAAATGGAAAGGGGAAAAAGTGTGATCTCAGTGATTTTGACTGTGGTATGATTGTTGGGCTAGTTTAAGTATTTATATCACTGCTGATCTCCTGCAATTTTCACACACAAGAGTCTCTGGAGTTTACTCTGAATGGTGCAATAAGGGAAAAACATCAAGTGAGCGGGAGTTGTGCGGATAGAAATTCCTTGCTGATGAGAGTGGTCAATGGAGAATAATTAGACTGGTACGAGTTGACAGAAATGTTACAATAACTCAGAAAACCACTCTGTACAATTGTGGTGAGCAGAAAAACATCAGAATGCACAATACATTAAACCTTGAGGCAGAAAGAATACAACAGCAGAAGATAACATTAGGTTCCACTTTTGACAACCAAGGACAAAAAGCTAAGGCTGCAGTGGGTACACGGTCCCCAAAACTGGACAGTTGAAGACCAGAAAAACATAGCCTGGTCTAATGAATCTCAATTTCTTCTGAGGCACACAGATGGTAGGGTCAGAATTTGGCACCAACAGCATGAATCCATGGACCCAACCTGCCTTGTGTCAACAGTCCAGGCTGGTGAAGGTGGTGTAAAGGTGTGGGTAGTGTTTTCTTGGCACACTTTGGGCCTGCTAATACCAATCAGTCTTTGCTTGAATCCCACAGTCTGTTTGAGTATTGTTGCTGACCATGTGCAACCCTTCATTGCCACAATTTACCCATTTTCTAATGTTTTTTTTTTTTTTCAGCTTGATAATGCACCATGTCATGAAGCAAAAGTAATCTCAAAGTGGTTTCTTAAAAACGTCAATGAGTTCAAAGAGTCCAACAGAACACCTTTGAGATGTGGTAGAATGGAAGATTTGCAGCATGAAAGTAGACCTAAAATCTACAGAAATTGATGCAGTCATGTCAATATCCACCAGAATCTCAAAGGAATGTTTCCAACATCTTCTGAAATCCGTGTCACAAAGAATTGAGTCTGTTTTGAGAGCGAAAGGAGGCCCTACCCAGTATTAGTACAGTGTTTCTAATAAAGTGATTGGTGAGTGTAAAATTCCTGCATTATAGAAATAGTTGGAATTTTTTTTTTGTTATTCAGTTTTGCGCTGGAGCTCTGAGGCTAATCTAGTAATGGAAGCTTATACCCAATAATTAGCATTATGCATATATAAAAATGGACAAAACACAGACCAAAAATTGACTTCAAGGTAACACATTTGTCCATTTTTATAGATAGCAATGTGTCATACCATGTCAGGAACTATATTAGCAAGACTATTTGAGATTACTTAACAACTCAATGCGGTTTGAGGCAAGTATTTGATGAATTAGACATGCAGTAGACATGCAGTTTACATGATGCTAATTGGTGAGATATAAGCTTTCACTATTCCTTTCCTACATTAACCATGTAGCAAAGGAAGTGAACTTCAGACACAAACGTCTTTGATGAACAACTACATTTGGGGTAAGGGAAAAATGATTTTTTTACCCAGGTTGTCCCTTTTAAATGAGTGGCATATAAATGACTTAGATGGCTTCTGTTTGATGTGTTATCAGAGAAGATGTATGTGAATGCCTGCAGGGTCCCCTTTGTTGAAGAACCTGAGTGTGGCCATCCTGCAGCTGAGTGAGGCTGGGGAGCTGGCCTATCTGCGTAGTAAATGGTGGGCCAGCAGCTGCATGGCTCATAGTGCTAAAGCATCATCATTAAGGGCCCATGGCATGAAGGGAATCTTCCTAGTGCTGGCTGTGGGCCTAGGAATCGGAGTGCTGCTGGCTCTGCTGGAGCTCACTTCCAAATCCCGCAGCAGTGCCCAGGAGCAAAAGGCAAGCAGTTCCAAACTATCTCTAAAGCATTCCAGTCATCCAGGACATTGGATATAGTAGTAATATTTTTTCATTAAAACAGACTTTCTTGTTTTCCATGATATGGGCCCTTTAAAGATTAAAGTAAGATGTAGTCCTTTAAAGATTGTGATTTCTAATACAGATTCCCTTGCCTTTTTGCTCCATGCAGAAATCCTGCTGCTCTGTTCTGACCCAGGAGCTGAGTCAGCGTTTGAGAACCAACAACACAAAAAGAGACCAGGAAACCTCAGACAAAAGCAAAGCTTGAAGGTTATTTGTTATTAACTTCAGTAATTACAACTTGACATCTCTCCCATTGCTTCTATTGGGAAACATGTGCATTATTACATGTGTAGTTCAATGTTCAAACCTTAATTAATAATAGAAAATGGATATTTTATACTTGTAAAAGCTTAAAGGGGCATTCCGGCCTAAAACTGAAGTGTGTGTGTGTTATGCAGTATTACGTAGTGCAGCATTATATTCCTAAACGTCACTGATTTTCACAATTTAACATTGTTTTCCTGTTTTCATTCATCTATGTTCTCTACTCAACTAAACCTCACTGCTAGCCTAGCCACTGGTCCACAGGTATCTCTTTCTTCAGCTGTTGAACAAAACCAAAAGAAATCTTTGATTCTATGTTTATTCAGCACAAATCTGACAGTCTTTTCAAATTTGTAAGTCTTTTTTGTCTTTTGAATAATCCATTCTCTCCTCTGTAATGATGTTTTGAAGGTATATGGCAGTATAGCAGTAACGTTAGCAATCTGCCTTCCTTTTGCACTTGCAGAATAAGAAATTCAAAATGCCAACCTTCAACAATCCACCCAAGGCTGTTTTTGAAATGTTGCTTGCACTGTAAAGACACTACATCAGAAGGAGTTTTTTTTCTCTGTAGAGACTACTGCATCACTGCTACAGGATGCAAGTAAGCATGTTTACAACAGATGTAGGGATGGATAGATGTTTCATTTGGGCCAGAGTGTCCCTTTAACTTTCTGACATAGAATGATGTTAACACTATATAGTTTAATTTGTATAGTATATTCACTTTTTATGCCTTTCTTAAGCAAATTATAGTGCGTGAAGGGATGCTAATCAGAATCTGTGAGAGGTGGGGTTATATTCAAGACTGACTACAATTAAGTAAAATCTTTTTTCTCTAATCTTGTGCTAAGCTATCTTTAGGCATTTTTGTAAGGACAAATATAATGCATTTCAGCAACAGAATGAATATTCAAATCATTTTACACAAGTTTGGATTTTTATCAAAAGTGGCTACATAAAGCTAAAAGATTACTCAAATGTCTTCAACAGAATCAAGAACAAAATTCAGACAGAACTTTTGTTAGTACATGCATGCTTTAGCTGAAACAATACATTCAAACTCATCATCTGAAAATACTTGCACTTTTGCATCACATAGCGTAAAAAATGGGGAGGAAAAAGCATCACTTCTTACAGCAAGAAAGAGGCAGAAGTTCTGGCACATTGTTATTAATGAATTAATAAACATAAATTAACCAAAAGTGTAAAACTACTGTGGTTGCGTGTACTCTATTACAGCACTACAGCTTCCACTCAGCAGTCTCAACACTAAAGCAGATCGATTACATGCGTAATTGCAAGCAGCTGTCCCTTGGATTACATTGGTAGCTGCAGCAGGTCAGGATTTTAATGTAAACAAGATGTTGTTGTCTAAAGGTTATGCTTAATGAGAGAGTTAGCTTCTCCTCAGGCATTTGGTGCAGTCAGTCAGTTTTTGCAGGATTACTTATCCATTTCTTTGCTTCATGTATGTACTTCTACAAAGTTGAGTGATCTGAAACACATATATACACACTTTCTTTATACACAATTTATGCATATATTTTTATATCTATAGCTCTCTCTCTCTCTCTCTCTCTCTCTCTCTCTCTATATATATATATATATATATATATATATATATATATATATAGCTTCACCATAATATGGACATAATATTATCCACGTAATAAATTTTAGTTTTCATTTCTATACTCACTTCAGTGAGGTTATGGTATATATTTGAAATACTCTAAATGTGGTAATGAACCAGCATTTAATTGTAGAGTCTTGCTTCAAAATGCATTACAGACCAAAGCAAAATAAATCATGTCAGACATTTTTCCATCTATTTGCAATATTATCACATTTACAACCAACAAAATTTTGGAGAAAAATAAATAGATACTTACATAACTGTGCGCACCCCACAAATAACACTTTGTTGAAGCACGTTTTACATTGATTACTGTAGTAAGTGTTTGTAATAGGGGTGTAACTGTACACAGAAGTCACAGTTCAGTATGAGTTTGGTACAATGGACAAAAGCAACAAAAATACCCAAATGCATAAGGCTAGGTTTCTTTTCATTTATTTTGAACAGACTGTAATGTTAGTGTTACATTTGTTCCACCTAGTGATGTTCCATTATATTTTTTTTATTTTGATTTTCTCTCAAATTCCCATTAAAGATGGAAAAATGTCTGACATTAAAAATGTCTGACATTAATTTCAGGTTTTACACCACAAAAATACTACAATTTCAGTAAAGGTGTGTAGACATTTTATATCCACTGTACATCAATATGCAGAGTGTAATGAAATTTTAAAACTCACCGCTGAAAAATAATGGCGAGTGACAGCGGATCTCCCTCATTTTTTGCTCAAACAAAGCATTCATTTCCCTCTGCAGCGTTCCCACAGTTTGCTGCTGGTTTTCGGGTAGCCGGCATGGCAGTGTGCTCAGGTCCAGGCTGTCCAGACTGCCCTCGCTGCTGGAGTCACTCTCAGAAAGGCCATGATTATTAGGAAGGTTAGGAGCAGAGGATTCCTGTGGAACGGGGCTTATGTTGTTTTGGGGTAGGGGATATTTCCAGACATCAGTCTTAAAGTTTTGTTGGGCATTTGGGGGGGATGGAGGCCGTCGTCTTGGAACACTGTGTGATCTGTGCAACTTAGATGGTGATTCTGTGGAAGACTGACTGCCTCTGTTGTGCAGGACGCGTCTGCTCCTTGCAGGAGTTGCCGGAATAGACAGCGACTCATTTGCTGGTTTTGCCTGAATGTCTACAGAACTCCTTAGTCCAAATCCACTTTTGCCAGTTGTTAGCCTTGGGCTTGATGGAGTCCATTGTTCACTGTGGTGCTTTGGATATCTGTTTTCTTTTGGATCAAACTTGAGGGATTTCCATTCTTTCTGGTGCCCTACACTTATACTTTGGCTTTTTGGCATCCAAATTTCAGTGCAAGTTTCTGGTTTTTGGTCTGATATTGGCTGAAGCTTGAAGGACGTATGTGCTCCCTGCAGACCTACATTTTTGAAAGCCCTATGTCTACTGGAAGAAGTAATTTCTTGGTCCAGAGCTGGCTGGTACCTCTCACATTCAGGCTCAGGATCTTTAAAGACATTTTCTGCCACTGAACATTGTTTAGACAGAGAAGGCCGCTCAGGTCGTTGTGGAGCAGGAACTTTTATTTCAGGTTCAAGTGAGTGTGTTGGGTCAGAATCAGCATCTTCTTTTCGGACTAATGGTGGCAAGTCGCTGGCTTTGGAAATAGCATCCTCCTGGTGACTTAGTTTGGCTTGGTTTGGACTCAGCTCAGGTTTCTCCTGTGGATCAAACCCCAAGTTGACATAATTTGAGGTGTTTTCTGACACTCCACAGCTATCAGTAGTGGAAAAGTGTCTCCTGGTTACCCCAAGCTTTAATTTGCTTTGGTCTTTTTGAGATGACGTACTCAGGTCTGAGCTTTCCCTTGAATCAAATCCTAAGTTGATGTATTTTGAAGATCTTCCCGATGCTCCCCAACTACCTGTATAAGTTGGGTTTTGACTTACCCCAACAGTTAATTTATTTTGTTGGGTTTGAACTGGTGGATTCACTTCTGGATTCTCCCTTGGCGTTCTTCCTGATTCTCCACATCTATTGATAGAAGACAAGTGACTCTGACTTAGCCCAACCCTTAGTTTGCTGTTGTCTCTTTGAGCTGTTGGATTAATTTCTGGGTTCTCTCTTGGATTAAACCCTAAATTGATGTAGTTTGAGGTTCTTTCTGATTCACCGCAACTGTCAGTAGAAGACAAGCGGCTCCGGGTTACCCCCAGCCTCTCCTCGGGTTCCTGGAAGCAAACCCTGTGGGATCTTTTCAAAGGCTCGCTTTGAGCTCCCCTGTGAAGAGACTGACATTGCGAAGCAGTCCTACTGTCCTGTGAATTCACATCATCACTGTAACGTCTGTTGAGGAAATCCTCTCGGCTGTAGGATTCCTGTGATACTTCCTTGGCCTTTGCTCGGCTCTTTCCAGCTCCAGATTTTTTCAGAAAATTTGGAGCAAATGATGTCCTTGTGCCATCCTCAGATGTTTGCATTAAATTTTTCTGGATGAGCTGTTTTACAGCATTGCTCGATTTGTTCTGTGAAAATGTAGGTTATAGATACATCTTATTAACACATTAAGCACTAGGGGTGAAATCAGTGTAACACAGTATCACAATACCATGGGTAAAAAATAATATGAATAAACAGAGGCCCAACAATCAATGCGGTACTGTTTTGTTTGCAATGTTGTACATGTTTTAATGCTACATTCACCTGCTATTACAAATGGCTCTGAATAAGACATGTAAATGTAGGGGAAAGTTTTTCAGTGTTGCTTTGTCTACTTGGTCAGTGAAACAGACCAAGTACCAGTTAGACCAGTTAATTGAGATTAACTGAGTGTAAAAATTTTTAGCTAAAACAGAAAATGTTCTTTTTGAGGAATAATTTGCAGTGAAAAGTAATAATTTGCAATATATCATGTCATACATACAAATATTTACAAATCACAATAGAATCATATTCTAGCTAATGTATTGTGATAGTAACATAACATGGGGCTTTTATGGGGCAATTCGTACCTCTGTCAGGTACTGATCTCAAGTACTAAATAAAAAGAAAAAAATCAATTTGCCCACCTTTCCAGTGATATCATTAATGGCAACATGAACAAAGATTGAGGCCTCTTCCATACCTTCCAAATAGACATGACGATAGCCTGCACAGATAAGTTGACAATTTAAACCCAACACTGTTTTGCAAAGTATCTTATCTTTAACAAAATTGCAAAATTTTCAAAATTGCAGTAAATACAAGAATGTATCTGGAATATCCTGATAAAAAGGAACAGTGAAGTACCTGGCATCATGCTTGTGAAAGCTATGGTTCTTTGTCCAATGAAATCTCGCCCAATTGGATCGTGATCCCAAACCATGAAGCGCACAAGTGCTATTTTAGGCATGTGCAGAGTAAACACCAAGGTTTCCTCCCACATGGGGTTGAAGCCTGTTAATGAAATATGTGTCTGCATCACTACTGAAAGCTCATACTACTGAATGATTAATGAACATTAAACCACATATAAATACACTGGATTTATACAACACATATTTCCAACCACACAATCTGATTGAAAAGTGTTCTATCTGTATTGTAACATTGTTGTCTTTTCCACCATACCGGTATCATTCCACTGACAAGTCAAAGTCAACTTTATTGTAACAACAATGGCTGCTTTACTGTAAGCTAATTGTAAACCATGATTTAGAAACTACAAATATAGAAGTATTACAAAAGATAACATTTGACTTGCAGCCTGTTTTTCAGTCAGATTTGGAAGAAGAGAGTAACATTATTTTTTAAACTTTGGTAGTTAAGATGTTATTATTAGAATGCAACAATGGCTAGGTTTCAATTAACATATCGCAGCACATCCTCGTATCTCCATTTTTGTAGTTTTTCAGGTTTTGGCATAATTTGAAAATGCGTTTTTTCCTTTATTGTGTGTAATTTCTGCACTCAAAAAATTAACCAGTGGGATTGTTTGACTTACAAACCTAAAATATGTCGAAGTTAAATAAATGAATTGTATTCTCTTTAAGTAAATTGTTCATGTAAAAGAGACAAAAATTAATGAAAGTAAATGAAAATGAAAACTCATTTTCACCCAAATAGAAACCCAAATAAATAGCACTGAAATATTTCTATTTTGTTTCACAAAAAAATTGAATTTTATGTTGAGGTAACAAAGTCTGTGTATTTAAAGTATTTTTGAGTATGTGCACACTTTAGGTGGATATATTTTTTTGCCTGTAAAAAAGACGTTTTTCAAAATGAACACTGTAAATGCAACTAAAGTCATATGTGTGATCAAGTGGCTCTGTTTTTGCCTAGTCATAGAGACTGACAAGGAAATTAAAACATGAAACATGATATTAGACTGTAAAAGAGCATAAGGTGCCTGCCACCAAAATTTCCTGGACCTGTCGTGATGTTGTGCTCTTACAGTGTAAAATTTAAATACAATAAATTAAACAAAATTGAGAATCGTATTTGCTCAACATCTCTAAATTTCTCAGCCCATATTGCTCAGAAGAGTTTTACAGAAACGGAATGTGAAGTTTTATTGTCTTGTACTGAGCTGATGAAAGCTTGACCTAATTTCATGATTTTTTTTTGTTTTATATTTCAGCTATTTCAACTTGAATTTAATTCGACAGCTGGATGGAAATCTGGCTATAGTTACTTTGTTGCACAGCAACACCCCACTTGTGGTAGAACTTTTTTTTCATGGTGAGACTGTTTTATAAAAGCAATAGAATACTTAAGGCCGTGTGTTATTATGTATAGAGAAGAAAGGTTTGCAGTTCAATTATATTTTAATCTTAACAGTTATATGGCTCAGCAAGATATTCTGCTGTTATATTAAAATCATATTTACAGTACGATTCACAAAAGTTTAAAATATTTTTTAATGCGCTATCAGTAAATTCACTACGGCAGTATAAATGGCGATTAAAAATGTCACAACCAGCAGATGATGAATGTTTGCACTTTGCCTCCCTTATAGCTGAGGTGATCTACTGTGACCAAATCACAGCTGAGATGTTGCTCACCAACTCATTCCCTCTCCTGTCCTATTGCTTAATTGTCATCTTGGTCCAACACTCACCATTATCATCCACTACCCTCGTCTGCTCCTTATTGCAATCTACAGGAAGACCAATAATCTCCACTTCGACAAAGGGGTCTATAATCTGCAGGGAACAAAATATGTCAGTAGGTACAGAGATTTTTAAAGTACCTAAAAATCATTTGCTCCAATTATTATCAACGTACCTCTCCTCTGTCCCCTAACATGGAGTCTTTTGGCTTAGGTAGCTGCTGGCCACTAATTATTTTCAATACTAACTGTGTTTTTCTGTGTCCTGGTAATGGATCAGTCAGCATAGGGTTAAAGGCACCTGAAAGCATCCCCATTCAATAGGCAGATGAACAAATATTTATATATATAATTAAATAAATGAATATATATATATATATATATATATATATATATATATATATATATATATATATATATGTGTGTGTGTGTGTGTGTGTGTGTGTGTGTATATATATATATATATATATACACATAGATTAGTAGAATTATATAAAATAGAAAAACATTAATATTTAATGAGTATTAATACTCACCTTTGCACATGCATTTAGGCCTCAGTACATATCCACAGTTTCCATTGGCAGCAAATTTGGCTCTGTTCAGTTGCAGCATTCGGCCTTCTGTTTGGTAATTCAGTGCGACTACAAAGTCAAAATAGACCCATGAAGATGTGTCATGATTTTGTTAGCATCTGCATACTCTCTATGTTATGACTCTGTGTTGAGTTACTAGCAAATAATAAATGCTGAAAGCGGAAGGGGTGAGGACCTGCTGTGAAAACAATTCACACCTCTACACAAAAACAGATAAACACAAAGACAGGGATGAAAGGCCTTAACATACATAATGATTTTAGCACTTCTTGTAATTCTAATTACAAAATGGTAAAAAGCATGTATAACAATGCCGCAGTTTTAGAACATTTAGTTTACTACAGGGCATGATAACAATGATTTTCTTAAATGTCATTAATTTTTCCCATAGATAAAAACATCTTAGACATTCGTTTCTTATTTGGGCAAGATACTGACTTCAGAATTTAATAAAAATATTATGAATAAGGGTTAAGTGTCTTTATGTGTGCTAATCTCTTGTACAGTATGCCTACTTTGTTGAGGTATGTGTGTGTATATATACAGCCAAATTAGCTATCCCATTGGTTAGGCCTTCAGCAGCTGGACTTTTGACAGTCCATTCTTCTGGGGCAGATTTCCACAGGTTTCTGGAACATGGGCAGGGATTTGGCTTCTAATCAGCTACAAGAGCATAGTGAGGTCGGGTACTGATGTTGAGCGATAAAGGCCTGGTTTGCAGTAGCCATTAAAATTCCCCAAACTATTGCCACAAAGTTAGAAGCAACAGTTCTCTAGAATGTCATTGTGTGCTGTATCATCAAGATTTACTTCCACTGGAACTAAAAGGTCCATGTAAAACAGCCTTAGATTATTATTCCTCCTCCACCAAATTTTACAGTTGGCACTATGCTTTTGAGCAGGTAGCATTCTCCTGCATCTGTCAGACTGCAAGCGCCAGGTGTCATTTGTCACTCCACATTTTTCCAGTCCAATGGCAGTGTGCTTTACACAACTCCAGCTGACGCTTTGTGTTGTGCATGGTGAATTTAGACATGTGTACAGCTGCTCTGTCATGAAAACCAAATCCATGAGGCTTCAAATGAACAGTTCTTGTACTAATGTTTCCAGAGGCAGTTTGGAACTCATTAGTTGCATTTGAGGGAAGATTTCTGCCCACTATACACTTTAGTGCTTAGTAATCCCACTCTGTGAACTTGTGTGGCTTACCACTTTGCAGATTATTATTATTATGAAGTATAGACATTTATACTTCATAATAACAGCAATAACAGTAGACTGAGGCAACTCTAGCTGCCAGAATGACCCAGTGTGACCTTCAGTATGACCCAGTCTCCTGCCAATGTTTGTTTATGCAGATTTTATGCACCCATTAGTTATGATGTGGGTGAAGCGTGGCTATGTTCTATATTTATATTGTTATATTATTTTGGGCACACTAACAATGTAGTGCATCAGTGCTTATTTCAGGGCTTAGAAACATGCATAAGCAATGAAATGCAAAAAATAAGCAAAATAAACTTGTAAAGAATTAAACAAAAATGGATACATCAATAAATGAAAAAGAATGAATCATACCCAAATGACATCCTGCATTCCAGAATGGCTGGGGGTTGAAGTTGCTCGAGTCTACGCGGTAGTTGGAAGGATAAACACGTAGGAGTTGCCGCTGGTTGAATCGCACTAACTGAGCTGGTTTAAACTGTAGGATCTGATTGGTGATGCTTTCATTCAGTGAAGACACCTGCCAGCTGGACATATACGCTATAATACAAACAGAAGTCCATTAAAAAGTAAATAGTTTACTGAATAAGAAGTTTGGTATTATTTGTCATATTAATAATATTTGTGTTATTTAACTCAATAAAAACATATTATTCAATTATTTAAACTAGACACCAAACGGTATTATGATGTTATATTCAATGTTTTAATAATTTTTGTAAGAAGACGTTATTAATGATAAATAATAATCTATTTATAATGATTTCTTGTTCCAGATTTGTTCTGGATATATTTTTTTCTAACTTGGTGTTATATAGCGTCCTAGTCAGTTATACTGCTCTTTTCACCATTCCTTTCTACTAATTAGCATCACGTTATAATAATTTTTTACATGCTGCCACCAAACTAGGTGTCATATTGTTGAAAACAGTGATACCAAACTTTTAAATGTTAGTGTAACAGTACTTGAACACAGCTGTAGTAGAATCATTCTGCACTTACCCTGAGTTTCAATATCATGGACCCGTACTGATTTGGTGTATTTTACCAGGTCAGAGAGGGCCCGAGACAGCCTCATTGTCTTCCTACGTCTGCAGTTGATCACAAAAAACAAAAAAATCCAAAATACATATACATGTAATTTTAATGTTGTAAACCTGGCAGAGGCCCAGACCGTTTCTTCAGTTTCATTATCTACAGTGACAATCAGACATTTGGACACACAAACCGCAAAGAAGAGCTTTACCTACCCTATATTTTTTCTTGATTTCTATTTTTTACATTTAAAGTCCCAGAAAACACTGTGTAAAATACTAAAAGGTCTGCATCAAACTAAGATTGTGTTGTTTTAAATATCTAACAAAGTTATGAAAAAAAAAGGACAGAAACATAATAAAACATGGCTTAAAAATCACTTGTCAGGCATTTGCTTCTCTGAGAACTGTCTGGGGGTGGCCTAATATTCTGATACATAAGCCTGATTAACATCCCTCTGTCCACTCCCAGCCTGCTATGAAAATGCAGTGAGAAGCAAAGCTGTCCATCCCTATATAATCTATCTGTAGATATATTCATTTAAAAGTGGACGTTTGGAGTAAAAGTTTGATAAATGCGCTACTAATAGTGGTGTACTACTTTAAAGGGGAACTCCACCGATTTTGCAAAATTACTTAACCGTTTAGATGTGAACAAAATCATTCAGAGTGGTTTGGTGTGAGATGCGCCTTTCTAGAGATATTTACTGAGCCGAAATTGTTCACCGTAGTACTAGGAACCAGACGCCCGTATGCAAAACTCATAGTTTATGTGAGTAACGTTATTCATCAGAGGAGCTGTTTTAGATCACAGTTGCACCTCGCTGTCCTACCCCATTAGTCGATGAGCTGAGTTGCAAGTAGTTTGCTGTTGACACCGTCAATTTCCATTCACCCTGGATTCTTCTGCTTCGGCGCCGGCGGGTGTTGTATATGATTCAATTACCCCTTAAAATTAATGTTACCTTTGACAAATCAGGTCCTCGGGCATGCACATTTGCAACAACTGAATAACTCCAACCAACTACGGAAAGCGAAAAAGTTCAAAAAAAGATTGAACGGCCTATAATACTATAATGGTGAACAATTCTGACTCTGTAAATTTCTCTAGAAAGGCGCATTTCAAACTGAACCACTTTGAATGATTTTGTTTACACCTAAACCATTGAATGATTAAGTTTGCGAAATCAGTGGAGTTCCCCTTTAACATACAATGTAGTATGTTAGTATGTGTTTTTTGTCTCTCAGACTAATACAAATCTGCCTCACTGATGTAAGTCACAGGTCTATAATACGTTTATTGATGGTCTCAACTCTTTTCAACAAATGCTGAGCGTGGTGCAGTGACTAGTGGATGGGACTGGTCCTTGTACAAAGAGAAGCAGCATAGTTGTGGGCAGGTCCATTTGACACTGATATAAATTAAAAAAAAAAAAAATTAAAAAGTGTGGGAACTGGCACGGTTTTCTAAGAGAGAGAGAGAGAGAAGTCTCCTAGGCTTTGAAATTTGTAATGTGAACTTTGAAGGCCTAAATGATAATGTAAGGAGCAAATGTATGTTTTTTTTTCATTGAATGAGAATACAAGCATTCAATTTCAATCGAGTGAAGTACAAATCATCCAAAATAACACTCAAGTACAGTAACAAAGTACAAATACTGAAGTGTTTTCTACTCCTGGTGGATGAAAGGCACAGAAATCCACTTTCAAATGTATGTGCATTAGTGTGGACAATGCCTAAATTTCACTAAGTTCTAAATGAAAACTACTTCTTTCAGCAAAGAAAATGTGTATTTTGTTAGTTTAAAAGTTTTGTTTTCGAAATAAAGGCATCAACTTATTATTCATATAATTAACTGAATGTAATTCAGTTTTATTTGTCTACATTTATATAGTTCTAGCATTTATGCATTAGTCTTTAGATGAAAATGTCTTTAAGATCCAAAAACACAATCAATTAGGTCAAAATGTTTGATTGCTGTCATATATTGTGGTCTACTTACTTCCCGTAGTTGATAACTTTGTTGGGATTACCGCTGGGGATTTCCTGATCTGTGTCTGAGTCACTCAGAATGGGCCGCTTTTTCGACTTCACCCTTTTTTTCTTCTAAAATAAAAATTGGTAGACATAAGGTTTTACTACCAGATCTCAAGATTTCACAATTGGAGATATTTCATTGTACCAGAGAGGAGTGTAAAAATGCATCAAGCTGAAGGTGGCAATTAATTGCCTTTAATTTGGAATTGATTATGATTAATAGTAATATAATAATATTCAATATAATATGTATATAATATTTTTTACCTATAGATAAAACAAGTCTCTCTGTCTATTTCTCAAATATTTGGTACTTCTGAATTTTACTAAAATAATTGGATTGTGGTAAAATATAAGAATTCACAATGCATTGAATCGTTTCCTAAAGAATCATTATGAAATTGAACTGTGAAACTGTGGGTTTAAATTTGAAGCTAACACACTGACAAGAACCTGAAGGTTGACACAAATGAGTTTTGCTGACCTTTCGTCTGAAGCTGCCCATGAACCTCCTCGAGTGTTTCTTCGTTTCTTCGCCTGCTTCAGCTCCATCAGCCCTGTTCTGTAACAGAAATAAGAAAACTCTTTATGTGCTGGTTATTTTCCCTGCTGTGAATTGTAGATGTTACAGCAGCATACATTGAATACAAGACAACATTATAGAGAAAACAAGATCAAAATTACTGAAGTAAACAAAAAATACTTATTCAATATGTGAACTGTGTATATACAGATGAACAGAGCTGTGCAGATACATGGATGAGCAGGTGTACAGAGGTACCTGAGAGTAGTGCAAAAGCCCAGTGAACATCTCTGCACGTACTACTGTGCATCAATATAAGGCTATATATAAAACAGTGTGTACAGAAATACAAAGTAACTGTAACATTTGAGTAGCACAACTGTACAATAAAACCCATGATAGAGGTCTATACACACGGTGTGGACATAAACTGGACTGTGCATGCAAAATATATCATAATTCTATAGGTTTTTATTCATTTATTGAATGAAGTGGTCCACCGTTAAATATTTTGGTTGGCAAAAATATGTGAACGATCAGATCAGAATTATCAGTTTGGTATAGGTGATAATTAGGGTCAGAAAACAAACATTAACCTAATTCTTTGCCATCACAAGTCTGCACATTTGTTAGCGCACGTCGTGTCAAATGAGATTTCTGTGGACATCAGAAAAATATTTGCCAATGCTTATTAGGCTGGAAGAGGTTCCGCAGCAATTTCTGATGATTGTAGACTTCACTGATCCACTGTCGGGCAGACTGTGTACAAATGGAGGAAATTCAATACTGTTATTACCCTTCCTGAGACTTGTCATCAAACAAAAATAACTCCAAGAGTAAAGCATATAATATCGGAGATCACACAAAACCTCGGGGCAACATCTCAGGATCTGCAGGCCTCTCTTACACTGGCTAATGTCAGTGCTCATGAGTCCACCATCAGGCAATCCCTGAAAAAGAATGGTGTGTATGGAATGATAGAATGGAGAAATCCACTACTCTCCAGGAAGAACAGGTGTGCCTGTTTAAGGTTTCTTAAAGAGCACCTGAATGAGCCAGATGACTAAAGGCAAAAAAAATATTTTTAGGGTTTAAATGAGTAATGTTATGTCTGGCAAAAAACAAACACTACAATTGAGCATAATAACCTCATCTCAACTTTAACATATAGTGGTGGCGGTATAATGGGGCTGTTTTGCTGCCATTGGACCAGGACAGCTTGCCATCATTTGATGGAGCTATAAATTCTGGATTGTATCAAGAAATTCTACAGGAGAATGCACAGCATCCATCTATGAACTGTTTCTCAACAGAAGGTGGGTCCTGCAGAATGACAACAATTTTAAAAACACAAGTAAGTCTACAAAGAATTGTTGAACCAGAAGAAATGAAACATTTTGGAATGGCTGAGTCAAAGTCCAGACCTTAATTCAATAGAAATGTTGTGACAAGATCTAAGATGTGGCATTCTTGCAAGAAAGCCCACCAACATAACGCAGTTAAAGCAGGACTGTAAGGAGAAATGGGCCAAGATTCCTCCAAGCTGATGTGCAGGGCTGATCAATAGTTACAGGAACCACTTGATTGAAGTCAGTGCTGTTCAAAGGGGGTCACATCAATTACTGAAAGCAGAGGTTCACATACTTTTGCCAACACAAACAAATTGTTGGATCATGTTGTTTAACAAATGAATGAAATATTATGTAATTGTGTTATTTGTTTTATTGGGTTCTCTTTGTCTAATGTTATGACTTTAGATTTATGATTCTGATCACATTTTAGGTCACATTTATGTAGAAATTCACATACTGCTAAAGTGTTCACAAACTTTCAAGCAGCACTGTAAATACAATGCAGATGTATAGTAGAATGCCTGTGTAATTTATTGCATATGTTAAATGCAATAAATGCTGATGTTGCATATTATTTTCATTAATATGTTCAGTGTCATGTTACCATAACCAGTAATTGTCAAGACAGTATAGGCTGAAGAAAATACAAAAACTGCAAGTATCCTATCCATGGTACTATATACTATCCAAAAGGGTAGTATGAGAACTTCAAACAGCAAGGCTGGTCTGGTGTAGTGGGTATCACTGTGGCCTTCCACAAGAATATACCAGTAAGAATCCTGATGCGAGACACCTAACACTACATTTACCTTGTATTTACACCAAATAACAAAACTATTCCATCAGAGAATTAAGAGCAAAGTTTTAACGATGCTAGTTAATTTAGTTGATTCTTTCATTTCTATGGAGAGCTGTCACCTGCTCATACAGACATGTGCAAAAGTTGGACACCCCCAGTCAAATTCAGTTTCTAATTGAACGTAAGTGGCAGAGAACAGACCTAATGGCATTTTCTGCAAATTTTTGTGCAATTTTAGTCTAGTTTTTGCAATTTAATTTCTACTATGTTAAATCCATCAAATAAACACTAATTGTGCAGAAATGTGTTCTCTGTACAGGATGTGTTAACTTATTTTCACTTACAATGTCAACAAAATACATCACTTGACCAGGGCACCCCCCATGACAAACATTCCTTACAACTGTCATGTTAGAGTTGTTGCTTTGTGATTTGATATTTATTTATTTATGGTCATCGTAACCATCCCTACAACCGTCAGTGTTTAGGCTGTGTTTGAAATAACTTGCTACATACTGTTTGTGTACTGACTGTGCCCTAAAGTAGCATGTTGTATATGACCAAAAGGAATTCCCACAGGGCACCAAAAATGATGTACTACTTTCACCACATACTCTAGTATGCAGCCAGAGCTTCATGATATACTGTGGTAATTTCAGGAGACACTATTTCTTTAAGGAGGAGTAGCATGCAGCATACAGTATATACCGGTACAGCATGCAGTTTACAGTATACAGCACAGTGGTTTGGATTTTATAGCATAATGAACGGAAACAGAAGGCATGTAATCACGCTCTGTACTACACTACAGACATACACACACACATTAACATACATCTAAACAGCTTATCCTTCTGGGTCGCTGGGGGAGCTGGTTTCCTGCCTTCTGCCCAATGGTCTGAACAGGTTGAACAGGTTGCCAGTCTATCACAGGGCACACACACAGACATACACATGCATGCACGCACACACACACACACACACACACACACACACACACACACACACCCACCTAGGGGCAATTTAGCATGTCCAATTGGTCTGACTGTATGTCGGTATGTTTATACAACTCCCATGGAAGAAGACTATGGAGCATCAGGGCCCCAGACTCATGAACAGTTTGTTCCCACAGGTAGTCAGACTGCTGAACAGATCTACCTGATGGACCTTTAAACAGTCTCACTGGACTGCTACCTCAGCCATACTACTCAATAATACATAGCAATAATACATTACTAAAAGCTGTTGTTAATTATAAGCGTACTGATTAACAATACATGCACAACTAATATTTCTGCTGTGGACAAACAGCTGGTCTATTTCCTCTATTGGTTATATAATTGTAGATATTGTATATTTAGAGATTAATTTAATGCATAGTGTTTGTATAGTTTGTATTAATTGTATTTATTTTCTGTCTACAATGTTGTCAGCTGCTGTTCTTTGTTAAATGTAGCACTGTGTCCTGGAGATATTAGGTTTCGTTCCTCTCTCAACACTTCTATGATGAGAAGGAATTACAAGCTGGCTTTGACTTTGACTACCTGTGACCACTGTTAATTTTTTCTGGGTAAAAAGACTTTATAGCTAGTTTTTCTTCCAGAATACACAATCAACAGCAAATGCAGGCAGTTAAAAATAAAATAGACAAAGAGCAAAAGCTTTTTTAAAACTCTGGATTTTTTGTGTGAAGTTTTTGTGTTTCTCTCATTATTGATCACATTAATGTAAATTAAGTCAGTGATGACCTCTTCATTTGTCTCTTCCTCTTCCTCCTCTTCATCTTCTCCGCTGTCTTCATCAGACACGTCCCCCTCTTCTGCATCTGCATCTATATTAGCAGGCAGCTTCTTACCCTGAAGTATACCATAAATTACATTGTATTTGTTATATATATATTTTTTTAACACATTCTTCATTTGTCAGCCCACTTCTAACGTTTGCATTGAGAAAAACATAAAAAAAAATACAAAAAATTATACATATTATTTTTACAAGTTGAAATTTAGAGGTTAGCGTTTGAGACAGCAACACCCCAATAGAAAGTACCATATAAATTATGATTTTGAATATATTTAACTTACTGCTATTCCAGTTAATGCCTTGGTCCTAACATAATTCTAGTATATCTATGGTGTGAATAATTAATTTTTTTTTCAGCAGTTTTTGGTGGTGTCGGAAACTGGAAACTACCATTTTCCCACCTGTAAATTGCGATGAAGCGGCCGACAAAGCCGTATTTACAACTGGTAAACACTGGATTCTAGATGATATATGAGTTTATAAGATGTGACATTAACCTTTTAGACAAGTAAAAAATGCTAAACTTGCATTGAATGTGAAAAAATATATACGTAATGCATTTCTATTAGATCTATGTGCTTTTTAATGCAGCAAAGAAAAAGCAGGATATGTTTTGTGCGGACCACCATACTTGGACTATACTGGAAAGGGATCATTTTGAAAGTTTAACAATGTTTATATACTACATTAAATTATTTCAGATATTAATAAATTCTTTATATGAGCCCTGTAAAGAAAGAGTTTAACTCACCTTCACGAGAACTTTCCCTTTGAGGACCTCAGGTGAGGGAAGCCGGCGGGATTCATTAATGTTAACACTGGACAAATCCAGCTTGTCCTGCAGCACCTCAGTGAGATACTGAGCCATTTTCTTTTGTTGAGGCACTGAGCAGTGATTCTCTATGGAGATGATTACGGGGTATCTGCAATGAGAATTTTTTTTTAATTTTCAGAGAAATGTTTGATTTTGACTGTTACTTTTCAATTAAGAAAGATTTTGTTAGCATAATAAAGCTATATGCTAATCCTTTGGGTACACTTATATTCAACACTATTTTGATTTGACAATTTTCTTTACCAAACTATTGTTAAAAACACATTTTAAAACACTTTTGCCCAAAACTGGTCTAAAAGTGGTTTAGTGCTGATGAATGCTGACATCACAGCAAAAAGGAGATGGCATTATTCCCAATGTAGTATAGGACTTTGTTACTTTGGTTTTGCAGATTTTTTTAAAAAGAAAAAATGCCAAGATCTAAACAGCTAATAATGAGTTAGAGCTCCTGATGAGCACTGTATTCGTGACCTACACTAAAACACTGTTTCTCCTGAGAAAAATATGCTTAATGTTTACAGAGCATCCAAACCACCCTCATAATTCTTACTGGCTTTTGGCAAAAGCGTATTTGTTGATGGTCTCAACAACGTCTCTGAAGAGGATTTTTGAGGTAAGAGTGTAGCCATGATGAATGATCGGCTCTCCATCAGGACCATCCCAGCAGTCCACTGCAGACAGAGAAAGACAGAATACCAAGGCTGTGACGGAAGAAAAACCTGACTATTTCAATAACTGATTAATTAATAATAATAAAAGGCTAAAATTAATCATGGACAATGAATATTAACACACAATAATTATCTATTTGATTATCAATCAAAATAATTAAAAATACATCACTAAAATGGTGTTCTTCAGGGTTTCTTTAGTAAAGGCAACAGTTATGGCCTACACAGAACCTAAACAACTCAAAAAACCACTTGAATGCAAAAATGGTTAAATGGTTCATATGTATGATGGAAAACCTGCTGTATATGGTACCTTTAAAATGGTTCTATACAGACCCAAAAGGGTTCTGCTAAGTCATAGAACCTTTTCTTAGTACTACATAGAGCTCTTTTTCCTAAGACTGTAAGTATTCCAATCCCTTTTTCCCTAAGGGGTCCAGTTTGAACACATCTACAGTGAACATACTGCAGCATCATGCAGAAGAAGAGCCAGAAGAGGCCATAATTTCTCTTAAGAAATGCTCTTTTATTTTAAACAAGACCACTTGCCTAACATTGGAATTGCTAGAAGGGTCACTTACAGCCATGCAGTTCCACTCTAGTGTCACTGTAGACACTTAGCCTAACCAACTAAACCCACGACCCAGCACATAAACACACAATAAACACATAGCACATCTCAAACTAAACGCACAACAACAACAGTCCCTTTTTGCTGGAAACTCGTGCCTCCCATGAGCCTCTTCATATGCCCCTTCGCTTGGCCACGCCTCCCGAACTCCAGAGAGGCTGTGTGCCCCATGGCAGCCACCACAATACATTTATAAAATATGAACTTATATATTAAGCACTGCTCTGCTGTGCTGAAAGCTTTGAGTGTTGCTAACCTTCAACACAGCGGCAGCCGGCCTGCAGGACATAGGCATACATGTCGACACGAGACTGGGACAACAGCTGGTCTCCGGTCAGGTAGGTGTTGTGTGAGGAGGCAATGTAGTAGTTTGTGAGTGGCTGAGTCATGTCCTGATTCACCTGGTAATGCTCTGGGTTGAAAATGTCCCCTGCTGGACTCCGCATGAAGTTGGTGAAACCTTTGGGAGCAAACAGCACTTTGCATTCATATCTTTGAACAAAATTCACTTTCCCACTTACCCTAATCATAGTGGATCAGTTTTACACCGTGGCTATGAGGCTACTATAACTAACAAGTAATGCTAACAAGTGGCGTATCATGACTATTAGAGCTAGGCCTTCAGTTTGGGCCATAAATATCAAAAAACACCTCTATGAGAAATCCAATTTTATGTGAGCACTAAGCTAAAAGAGAGTCACATGAACATTTTTTATAACATGGACATTTGTAGCTTGTAAAAAACATTCCATGTTTTATTTAAAGATTGCAGCAGATATTAAGACATATATTTACTTTGTAGCAGTTAAGTACAAAGCACTGAAATTAAGATGCCGCTTTTTTCTTTTTTTAACATCTAACTGAAACACATTGCTCAGGCTACCACTGGTACTCACAACTCTTTGAATTAGTAGGCTTGGCTATTTCAGCCATGGCCATTTCTAAGAAGTGCATAAAATCAAGCACACAGCCATGCAATCTCATTAGACAAACACTACCAGAAGAACAGGTTGTACTGGAGAGCTCCACTAGAGACTTCCACTATGACACTACTATAGGATGCCACCTTTTCAACAAGTTTGTTCATCAGATTTATGCCTGCTAGAGCTGCCTTGATCAACTGAGAAGTGGAAAAGCATAGAAGGAACAACTGCTCAAACACAAAGCAATAGACCAAACAAGATCATGGTGCTGAGCTGAAGTGCGTAGCATGTTAAAATTATCTGTCCTTGGTAGCAGCACTCACTATAGAGTTCCAAACTTCTTCTGGAAGCAATGTCAGCACAAGAACTGTTCATCAGAAGCTTCACGGATTGGGTTTCCATGGCCAAAAATGTTTTTAAAGTTTGGTGGAGAGGCTATTTTTAATGGTTTGGGCCCCTTGTGACAGGAAATCCTAATGCTACATGGTAGTGACATTGTAGAGAATTGTGTGCTTCCAATGTTGGAAGAACTTGTGAGAACTTGACGGGCCTGCACAGAGCCCTGACCTCAACTCCACTACACACTTTTATAAATTTGGGAAGAATTGGAGTGCTGACTGCAAGCCAGGCCTTCTCGGCCAACCTCACTAATTCTCAAAAGAACGGAGGCAGTCATGTTATAGCAGCCAAAGGGGGACCAACTGTATATTAATGTACCTTGTTTTGGAATGAGATGTTCAACAAGCACATATGGCCAGGTAGTGTGTATATCAGCGGATTGACCACATTTGGGGTAAGGGAGGAATTGCAAAAATTTTATATTTACTACATCTTACCATCGATTCCCAGGACCAGCTGTGCTCGGTTTTCTGGACATGGCTCAAACTGGTTTATAATCATCTGGCAGTATTCTCGAGACACAATCACCATCTTGAAAAGATATACATGATTTCGTTAGAGAATATCTGTTATAAATAATTACAATGCAACTTTTATTTTTAACTTAACCTGCTTTTTCTTCTAATAGGGAAGTTGTTTTCTCCTTAAACTGCAGGCTTATTGTTTAATTACTAATCTTAAGACTTATTTTTTGGTACTACTAAACATGATTCAGATTGAGTAACTACTATGACTTATTCAATGACTTTCTTGAATTATTCTGTAAATTTTATGAAACTTAACTGTGAGTTCTGTATTTTTGAGAGTGAGGAAGTGAAGGTCGCTTAGAGTTTAAAGGGTTAACATAAGCTTTTACTGTCAGGTCTAAAACATTTTAAAAATTAGAGATATTTCATTGTGCTAAACAGTGTGACAAACTGTGGGCTTAAATTTTAAGCCAGCATTAGCCAAAGCTTTCAAAGGGACATAAGAGCTGCATAAAATGTTACAGTCTGTCACTGTGACCAAATTAGGAACTCCAGGTCTAAGCAGATTTTCTCTATGAGAAAAATAAGTAGCATTTTTCAAAGATCACCTCATTCATGTCCTGCGGTAAACAAAAATGTTCCAAATTGAATACATATAATACATATGTGCTACAAGCACACTAATACTCGGCACTGATATAATATCGGAGAGGAAGGAGGGGGATTTTGGAAGTTGCAATTTTCAAGCTAAGCCCATTCTTTTTTCAGTCCTACCTACTTTAACAACCTCATAATTCAGATAATCTTGTGACATTGGGAGGAAAGATGTCCACATGGCAAAACATATCGGCTTGAAACATTTTTTTCACCAAAAAACTAGCTTCAACACAGAGTTCCTAATATGAGGCAAACTACAGAATGACCACACAACTTCAGAGTTTCAGCTGTTTGCGGAATGGGTTTTACTCGCCTTCTGCTCACTCTCCAGGAAGCGTGTCAGGTCGTTTATGTCCATATGCTCCTTACGGTGGCTGTAGGTCAGCATTATTAAATAAAGTTCCAGCCGGGTTGAGATCATCTTATAGAAGTTGCAAAACTCCTCAAATGCTAAACATCCTTGATTATCATCTGTGTCAGCCTCCTACAGAAAAATGTATAATAATACCTGAACAATAGAACACAATAGGTTGTGTGTTATGTCAATATCATCATGGCTGTGATTTGGATGTTATTCACTACAACACACCACCCTGAGTGTTCTATTGCTTTTATACAACAGTTTAATAAAGCAGAAAAAGCTGCAAACATTGTTTTTAAAGGTGCTGTAGAATGTACATCACCAGAATGTAATTATGGCACCATTTAAGTTGGACTGGAAAATTCCCAAAATAAGCTGGCGAACAGGAAGCCAACTTTAGCTCCCACATCTTTAGCAAGATTGCACATTTCACTTAGACAGTATCAAACAGGCTTCGCTCAGCATTTGACAGTTCAGAGAGGGATACTTCTAACTTATGCAATGGAGGTGCCGAAGTCTTCACCACTTTACAGACTAATGCTATCTGTTTACATCGGGCCATATGATGGCCTTTCAATGAGAACTATTTCTGTCATGCAGGTGGCAAAACTTTGAATGCATCTTTGAATGCATTTGCAGCTATGCCAAATAATGCAAGACTTAGGCCCAATCCCATTTCACTCCTTTCCCCTACCACTTAGCCCTTAGCCCTCTGTTTTGCATGTTCATGTCTAGGGTTAGGGTGTCCCAATTTTTGTTGAAATAGAGGGTTAAGGCGAAGTGTTAGGGCTACATGGCCCTCCAAACGGAGGTTTTTCAGAGGCACACTCCAAACGCAGTATTATGAGAAAAAATAAAAAGCGGCAAGATGGCTGCGCGAGCAACCAAAGAAACCCACAAATGTAAGTATTTTCTCCATTAAAAAATTACAAAAACCATTGTATTATCTTAGTTTAATGTCATTTCAATGTATTATGGTGGTTTTCTTCATAACAAGCATAAAAAATCGCTAATAGCATGCTAATGTCTCGGTAGCTAGCTAGCTAATTTTCCCGTTCCACCTGAAATAGTCCAGCAGTATTGACGACTGAAGTACCAGAATGTAACTGCTTTTTTTTTTTTGTCCCATTTCGATTTTGTAGGGCAGGATTTCAACCACTAGGCTGACACTCGAAAACAAGGGGTAGGGGTAAAAAGAAGAAATGGGATTGGGCCTTAGAGTCCCGCTAAAGGTGTAGTTTAAACAATTAAAAAATAATCTATGTTAAAAAACTGATATTTCTATATTAGAAACCCCAAATCTAAAGTTTTGGAAAGTCTAGAAATTCTAGTAAGAATAGATGGCAGTGATTACAGGTGATTAATACAGGTGTTTGACCTGTATTATAAAACGGATAGTTCCGGTTCTAAAATCGGAGTGGCTGAGCCATGTTCAAAGCCGTTGTAAAATCCACGATATGGCTACCATGGCTGTGACCATCTCACAGCAACTGAACTGGCACAAAAAACCCTTCTGCTGTTAATGGATTAATCTTTGACTCTAATGCTGATCACACGGAGCACCAAGTGTACTGATAAAGTAAGAACCTGTTTTTGTTTAAACTGAGGGGCTGAAAACTTTACTAGAACTAGGCTGGTCAGTTAGCCAGCAGCCTTAAAGATAGCAGGCATGCTAAACAACTTCAACATTAATATCTCAGGCTTGAATTAAAGTGCTCACTGTATGATTAACTGAAAAAACGGCAAGATAAAAATCTAAAGAATGTCACCTGAATGGCTTACACGCTTCAAATGTCCGTGTTTCAGAAGTAGCATCAAACCCAGGCTGAATCCAAAATGGCTCTGTATTCCCTAGCTAAATAGTGTGCTGTGTAACATTAAGTTTAGAATTTCTAGCTTCTAGCACATCGTGAAATGTCTGCAGTATACAGTGATTGGCGACGAAACGTTGTTCTCCTCATTCAGCAGTCAATGGCTGCTTAGCAACGATACTGTACTCTAAAGGAACTACATTTCTTGGTGGAATACTTATGTTGATTATTATTAATAATAACTTAAGTAATTATCCAAATCATTGTGTATTTTAATATGTTTTATGTTGGCCGCCGTTTTATAAAAGCAATAAGCCACTCGAGGCAGTGCGTTACTGCGATTTTATCACGGGGAAGGGAGTTTTAGGACAGAACACCCTTCCCCGTGATAAAATCGCAGTAACCCACAGCCTCTCGTGACTTCTTGCTTTATTAAAACTGTACAAAACCTCTACATTCGATGTTTTACCTTATTAATTTTATTGTTTTTAATAAACATATTCTCATTCCAAATATGATGCCTGAAAGCACTTCCAAAAAGTTAAAGCAGGACCATGTTTACCACTGTGTTACATCACATTTTCTTTCAACAGCACTTTTGACAACAACACAATTGTTTGTGGACTGAAGACACTAGTTGATCCAGTCAAGAGTTTTTTTTTTCCATTTTTCCTTTGTAGAAGTCTTCAGCTGCACAACTGTACAAGGCCTCTGTTGTCTGTTTTGCCTTAACACACTACACATTTTCAATAGGAGACAGGCAGGTCAGTCTAGCACCTGCACTCTGATTACAAAGCCATGCTGTTATAATACGTACAGAATGTGGCTTGGTGTTATCATGGTGAAAGAAGCATGGACGTCCCTGAAAAACATGATGTTTAAAAGACAACATATACTGCTCCACAATGTGTATATATCTTTCAACATTAAGGGTGGATTCACAGATCTTCACAGGTGTTAGCCATGCCACTGATACTCCCCCATACCATGACAGGCCCTGGCTTTCAAACTTCACACTGGTAACAGTCTGGATGGTCCTTTTCAACGTCCATTATTTCCTTAAACAATCTGAAAGGTTTACTTATCAGACCACAAAACATGTTTTCACTGTGCATGAGTCCATTTCAGATGAGTTTGAGCCCAGAGAAGTCAGCAGAATTTCTAGATATTGTTGACATTACTGTGACATTACATTCTTTACATGCATTTGTGGATTCAGCGATGAACAGTGTTTATTGTATTGAAGTATTCCCTTGCCCATGTGGTGATACCCATCACAGACACACAGAGATTTTTCTGGATTCCCTGAATCTTTTGATGATATTCTTTGATGATTTTCTTAAACTGATTATTCTCTGATGAATTTGTTGGCAAAGTGGTGAGCCATGACCCATCCTTGCTTATAAAGCACTAGGCCTTTCATGAATGCCCCTTTTATACCAAAGCATAACTGCATCATCTGTTGAAGAGGTTTTTTGAACATTTCACAAGGTTTCTAGTCTTAAATTGTCCCTGTCCCAACTTTGGACTTTTGGAACTTTTGTTGCAGGCATCAGTTTTGAAATGTGTGTGTACAACTTTGGTAAGGTAAAACATTAAATACCTTATATTTGTACTGCTCTTGTTTGAACACAGGTCATAGTAGATTTACAAATCATGTTTTCTCTTATTATTTGCATTTCACATTCTGTCCCAGCTTTTGGGAATTGGGATTTTATGTCCTAAAACCTACTTATAATGACCTAAGATCATCTATACACATGTGCCTATATAACAAAATGTTATAACAAAGTAAGTAAGTATGCTAGGAAAATACAGCCTTATACCCTATATGTCCAAAAGTAGCCCAATAGCTCTTGTAATTAATAAATTCAGCTACTTAAAGATGCACTTATTGTCAACACAGGTGTTCAACTGCTTACATGAAGCTTGTATAATCTCCATAGAAAACCATGCCAATAGAATGGAATGTTCTGGAGAAGCTGTACACGAGCCTACCCAATGCCAACTAAAGAAGGGTATAAATATTGGACATATAATGTACAACTACACTTACCATCATTAAGGTTGGCAAAAAGCTACCTAACTAGTTAACGGCCAATAAACTAGTTCACATTTGTTACAAATAGATACATACAGAATTTGAGTCTCAAATTGCACAGCGTACCATGTTCATCCAACTGTAAGACTGCTTATTTTCATTGGAAAATAGAAAAATGCTGAGATTTAGCTGTGGTGTTTCTTAACCAAAAATATTAACTTGACTTTAGGTTTCACAACATTTAAACCTGAACTTTTGGGTATGAAAGTGAAGCCCCCTCCACTTCTGTATAAAATATAACCCACCTCAAACATTTCTCTGACTTTCTGCCTGGGTAGATTTACGTTGAGTTTATGAAGGAGCTGTAGAACTTCTCCAATACTCAGGTTTCCATCTCCATTTTTATCTGCTTCTGAAAACGTCTGTCTCAACCATTTGCAGAAAGAGTCAAGGTAAAAATGTTGAACAAACTAAAACAAACAGGATAGATCTTGCTGCGTAATTATAATGGTGCACACTGACAGTTCTAGATAAAAATATTGTAATTGGTTGTTAATGTGCAAGTAAAACTAGTAGCTACTATTTTTTATAGATCACAGTGTGTATTGAAATTATTTAACAATGCTAATTGTGAGGTATAAGCATCCATTACATGTTAGTAGCTGCATTAGATAACTAGTAGCTCCAGTGCTAAAACTAAAGAAGCAAACTTCAGACACCAAACATGTCATGTCTGACCCCTTATATTGCTTCTTACACAAAATTACACTTATGACTCATGGGTAGCTATGACAACATAATGATGTGCTTCAATCATTAGCTTACATTACTACATTACTCCTGCCCTGGTTCATAGTTACACTACTGTTTAGTATCATAATTTTGTACTGCTTTAAACATCATGTACATCTCTCTGGGGACAAAATTTGTTTGATTCTCAGCACAACGTGGTGTTTGTCCTGCATGTCAGAGAGTGAAGGATATTGGTCTCTGGTCCGCTGTCTCCGTGCCAGACTGTCCTCGTCGCTGATGCCGGCCATGAGGTACTTAAGGCCAGTAATCCAGGTCCTTGCCTCCTCCCCGTTTGTGGTCACCAGGTCCAGGGACTCCACGTGGTTTCCATGATAAATACTGAAGCAGCAGTTTGAATCAAATTTACTGCTGTGGGAGTGCTGAAACATCTCGGTTTTCTTTCCCTCACATACCTCATGGATGGAATCTATGGAGACTGGAGAAACAGGACGGCAAAATAACTAAATAAATGTTTCAGTCTCTGACTTAACATATATTGACAGTAAATAGTTTTGTGTCACCTTGCCTTCTTTTGAAAATTTGAAGTAAAGTTTTGTTAGCACAAGAATTTGCTAATTCTGATTTGTAGCTTTATGGTCATCAAAGTGTCTTCCTAGGTATGAAGAGCAGGTTTTGCCTAAATAATTTAAATAAATAGTTTAAATAAAAAAACTGGTTTAACATGGGAGGAAATGCACTTACTGGGGAATGTATGTATGTATGTTTTGAATTGTATAGTCTGTGTTATCTGGTTATGTATACTGCTCTTTGGGGCTCAATGCCCAAAGCAAATATATATATTTTTGGTCTTTACTGTAAAGCCACACATACAAATTTTAAAGTGTTACTTGAATGCGAATTATGAATTTCAGATTTGTATGGATAAACAAACCCATAAAAAGTAAAACTAAATCACTAGTACTGATGTATTTCTACCACTACACTAACTTACTTCCACTTGAGGCTAACTTACTTTTGGCTTTGTCATGCTTCCTGGACGGTCTCCACCGGATGCAGGACCGGTGCTCGTCCAGATAGAAAAATCGCACCAGCGTCTTTGACTTCCCTCTTAGTTTGATCATCTGAGTGCCAGCCTGCATGGTGCACATACACCGCTCCACTGTAAAGAACACAAAAACACCACCAAACAAAACATTCTTATTGAATTGTACTGCAATATGGTTCATTTATGATAAATTTACACTTTCATTATTATATAATGAAATACCTTGGAATGTGTGCATGTCTGACTGTGTGTTACAACTAGTATTGTGATTATAATTGTGATTATAATTAATAATATGATAATTCCTGCATATTGCGATAGCAATACCCCTTGCAGCATATTATGGAGAATCAAGAATGTGACATGGTTAAGAACCATGCTGTTTTTACAAAGACCAAAATAATTTCCTTGTATTGAATTACACAAATCCCATGATTTAAGGCATGCACAGAAATTGGTTTGGTTTGTGTGTGTTTTCCTGTGGGAAATGTTTTGTGTCCTTGAATCCTCTGGTGTCTTTCTTCCAGCAGGTTTACCTCACAATCAGATTATGCAGCTGCGTCAGATGGAGCAGCCGTGACTGTATTTTACGAGCACTCTGGCACGCAGCACTGCAGAAGTGTTTTGGAACTGTTATCATTTTGTCTTATTTTCACTTTTCTACCAAATAAATAAATAAATAAATAAATAAATAAATAAAATGTTTTATTTAAACAACATCTTTCTCATACCCAAGGTCTCTTTACAATGCAAAACACGTAGTAAAGTGATTTTTTTTAAATGCACTTCTTTGTAAAGTGACTTTGGGTAAAGGTGGTATGTAAATGGAACAAACAAACAAACAGCTTGTACAACTCTGGGACTGTGGGACAAAAAAATTCATTTTTTCACATTGTTTATTTGCAAAATCACTTTCATCAATATTTCATCTAAATTTAAAGGCGATAAAACATTTTAGAAATGAAAAAGAATGCTTATAAAGATGGAGGTAGCTTTTAGGTTTGTTAAAATGAGTGATTATTGTTTTATTTACCTTGTCTGATGTATTCAGTGTATAATGTCATTTTGAAAAAAAATGAAGGAGAGCACTGAAACAGTGTAATTAAAGAGCTTGTTCGTGTCCTTCAGTTTTACTCTCTTGTGTCCACGCTAACCATTGTTTATTTGTAATGTATTCAAGAGAAATAATACACTAGAACAGAGCTGCACAGCTTTGCTAATAAAACTTCTTCTTCTTCTTTACTCAAACCTGATTGGAATTTGGTTTGATTGATTTGATTCTGATTCATTCAGTTTACAGGAGTGCATTTACTGTAAAACAAAGATAAAATGTTTTCACTTAAATGGGTAAGGTAATGCTTTAAAAGTATTATATTATTCTTCAAATAATAACTTTTATTCTCTTATATTCTGTCTTATATTCTATTACTTTCAAATAATAAGTTAACAGAATAAAGGCGCTTATTATTTTGTTTACTTCAGTTAACTCAAAAGGCACCCAGTTTACTTACTTTTTTGGAAACTAAAACAAAAAATCTTTTTACAGTGTTCGTTTTTCTTTATGTAGATACTGCACAGAATAATCTTTAGCATTTTAACAGGCAAGTTTGAAGTTACCCTCAACCAAATGTACAGAAGTGTGACTTTAAGGGGAATTTCACATTTTTTTTTATTTTTAGGGTCTCTTCACAAAAAAATGGATAATATGTTAGTGAGAGTGATTTTATGTGAAATTAACCATTCTAGAGTTGTTGATAGCGGTGCTGATAGGACGCAGACAGCTGAAGTGTTTGATGCCCCTAAAAGCTTCCTCACTGTGTGTCACTGTTTTGTAATGACAGCAAGTTATTACATGAAATAATTGCAAATGTATTGCCTGATAAATGATAGACTGTTTTATGATAGTTTTCTTTACAATAGTTTTTGCCTGAAACATGCTTACAGGTGTCACTGTCTCTTGCAAAGTCACAGACTGACCGACTGACTGATGACCACTGTTGAAATTGTTGCTAAAGCATCAGTGGAGACAAGCAGCAAGTGACACTGATGCAATAATAATTATGGTATAACTGAGATTATACAACAGTTTCATTATTTATATTTATTGCTATAATGGAACCGTACAATCTAGTGCACAAAGCCACATCACTCCAGTTTACAGCTGGAGAAAATTAAAGCTTAAGTGCATCTCAATATGCTGAGAGCGACTGGTGCTAATGGTGTGCTGGTGTTACAGGAAGTGCAAATGGTGTGCTGGCAGTACACTGTGACCCACGGACTTTGGGTCAAGTGCAGCACAGAGGAGAGACATCTCACTGCCCTCACTGGCACTGGCTAACCAGTATTGCTGCTATGTCCAGGCATGCTCCCTTGCACCTAGAGTGACTGGTGTTTTCCCTGCACCGAAAGCAACACACCTGCCAACTGGGATGCAACAACTGTCCCTCATGAGTGGCCAAGTTGACATGAGGAAGTGGCTCCAGCGGGGGGCCTGAGTTGAGTGCACGAGTTCTTGCTCGCATCTATACAGGACTTCCTTGAGGCAGCCATGGCCATGCTCGACCGTGGAAAGAAAACGCTGCGCTTGGAGATGGGACGAGTAAAGCTGGTTGTGGCAGCTAGTGGCAAAGCCTAGGCAGAGAGTCGGGGCTCCCTGACAGTATGGTCTTCAGTCCCTGTAGGGGGAAGCTGCTGGCTCTGGAAGAACTGAACCATTTGGTGGATCTCCCAGGGGTGGGGCTCGCTGTCAGGTCAAGGGCACCACGACTTTTTTTTGTGGTTGAAGCTACCAGTGCTGGAGGAGCTGAACGCACAGCTCCAGTAACAGTAAATGAATCCCCAAGGGTCAAGGGCAGAGCACACCTCACCAGCATCCAAGTTGCACTGGAATTGATGCTGTGAGATGTGAGAAGTTCCAGCACACCCAGCAGGAGGATGTGTGTTGCTGTGTATGCCAAAGAAGGGGCTGCTGCAACAATTGAACATCCCACTCAGTCTCTACGCTCCAGTGCACTGATGGACAGGACTGTGGGCTCCTGCCGGTGAGGACGGGCACCCCGCGACACTTCATGAGGAGCATAGGTAACATTTGTTATTGTTATTGTAACTGTTTATATTTATATATGTGTGTGTGTGTGTGTGTGTGTGTGTGTGTGTGTGTGTGTGTGTGTGCGCATGTAGTGGTCACGCTTAAAATAAAAGTCCTGTGTAATTGTACTGTGTAAATAAGATACAATTACTGAAACTTCTCCCATAATAATAAGTCTCACACACACACACAATCACACAGCAATTCAGTATCTCGAGATGGCCTAACCGCATGTCTTTTGACTGCGGGAGAGGGAAACCCATGTCTGCATGGGAACAACATGCAAACTCCACACGGACAGGACCCTGGTCGTCTCTCCAGGGAATCGAATACACACACACGCGCACACACACACACACACACACACACACACACACAAACACACACACACATTATTGCTATTTTATCGTCATTAACATTACATTTTAAAACTCAGAAGACATGCAGCTTCACTGGTAGTTTTGAATAGTGAATAAAACAGCTACATTTGCATTGTAGACATCATGACCGCTGGTTCCTATCACCCCTATTGTAAAGAAAATTAGTATGTTTCTCTTCAGTGAGGTGTCGCACATCAAACCACTTTGAAAGGCTTTGTTCACATCTCAAAAAAAAAAAAACTTTGAAAAATTGGTGGAATCCCCCTTTAACAGTTCATGAAGTAAATTGTATTTTATTGTATATCTAACTGTATTGTTCATGTGTGGGCAACAACACCAGCAGATAATTCTGGTACACAGTGAATCTGACTGGCTGAAGAAGTGAGAAACAATTGAAGAGCAATTAGTTGGTTTTCATTGGTTAAATGCTCTTAAACTCTATTTCATTTTTTATTTTTTTTCAGAGGTTCCAGACTGATGCTTTTTAATTAGTCTTAAGATTTTCATTGAAATTGTGCTTGTTTTGGACACTGAGAGAGTAGATTTGGGGCACAAGGGTCATGTGATGTTTCCCCTAGTCTAATCTAAGGGGATTGTGTCTGAGTCCATATGCCATTTAAACCGCCTGAGGGCTTCTCGCTGCGTTCACATGGCAAAAAAAAACAACAACTTGAACTAACTGTTTTAACAAGATTAACTTTTGCATTATTAAAGCATATAAAGACTTTAGAGACATTTCTATAGATTATGATCCATTTATAGCACCTCAGGGCAGTGACATGATTCCCAGAGTGCATAACAAGTTCACAAAAAAAATACCACTGATTTTAGATTAAAACAATTTCAAAGTTAAATTCACCCTTAAAAAAAACAAAAATCTTGTCCCACAATTCTGTTTAGAGATGTGCTGTTATTGTGGGTTAAAATGCATTCAATTTATCAAGCTGTGGCAATGTACCTGTATCTCTTATACCAGCAAAGTAGCATGAACTGAACTGACTTCACTCTCATACAATCTTAGGATAAAACTTCCTAAATGTTCTTGGCTCATATGTACAGTTCTATGGAAAGCCTTAAGAAGGTTATACATTTGCACATCTCATTTACAAAAAACCTTTTTTTAAATAATTAAAAGGTTCTTTTGTAAACTTAAGTGGTTCTTCTGTATCTCTCTATTTGGTACCTTTATTTCTAGAAGAGAAACAGATTAGTTACACACTAGTTGCTTAATAATAAGTCTTAAAATTAATAATTAAGTGATAAGGTGGGTTAAGGGGTTAGTACACTGTTTGTTCAAAAGTTTGTAGACACATGCTCATCTAGTGTTTCTTCTGAAATCAATTCCTCTTTGCTGCAATAACAGCATCTACTCTTTTGGGAAAGCTTTACACTAGATGTTGGCACATTGCTGTAAGGATTTGATTGCATTCAGTCACAAGAGCATTAGTAAGGCCAGGTACTGATGTTGGATGATTAGTTCTGGATCACCAACGCCACTCCATGGAGCTCTATCACTCCAGGGAATGTAGTTCCACTGCTCTACAGCTCAATGCTGGGGGGCTTTACACCCCTCTAGCCAACACTTGGCATTGAGAATGCTGATCTCAGGATTGTGTGAATCTTCTCTGGAGCATCACATTCTATTGGCAATGCTTTTCTATGGAACTCATACAAACTGTGTGTGCTGAATATCTGTATCAGCAACGGGTGCATTTTCAAGTAGCCGAATTAACTAAATATAAGGGGTGTCTACATACTTTTGGGCACACAGTGTACGCCATTTTTTGAAAGTGTGCTTTAGATGCAATGTTTTACCAAATTGACCGATTCTCCATTTCGGCGTTGCAACAATGCTTCCACCAATCCAGAAAAACTCCTCAGCCAGGCGGGATATGGAAGCTTTCTGCCAGAGTTTGGGCGAGGTCATTAAGGCAGGGCTGGGAGGTCGATGGGGGGTCCGGGATAGAGAGGAGGGCGAAAAAATGACTGGAGACAGTGGGGCCATGGCTGAAGAAGCGTTCATCACTGTATCACTTTAAAAACACCTCCCGGCTCCTCAGGTCATTGTTTTCCAACACTTTAACCAGCCACAGTCCTGCCTAGTGCTGAGCGATATTGAAAAATATCAACATCTGTAATATTCTCCCAGTCACTACTATCATAACAAAATCTTGTATTCCCAAAATAGGGTTGTCACAAAGCTGGAATTTTGACTTGTGTAGTATCGATACCAAATAATAATGATAATAATAATGCTTGATACCAAAATGACCCCTACATAAATGATTTATCACCCGGTGTTTGAAACAAATACAAAATTTCTTATAGTAATAGTTAAAGTACAAAGTCTCATATGTTACTGCCCATTTTAGCATTTAGCATTTGCAATGTGATTAGGCTTAAAGCAGAATACAATGTGAAAGTAGACAAAGAATTGAAATAACTGCAAGCTACATTATTGAATTGTTTCCCAGGTCACATGTTGTAAGACTACTCTAATAGGTAAAAAGGTTCTTAACTTTAATGTACATTAATGTAATGAGATTTAGGTTATAAAAGGCAACTGACAAATTTCAGATGGTGTTAAAAACAAAGAAACGAACAAAAAACCCAAAGAAATGGAGATACAACGTTTTCTTATGACACTAACATAGTATATTATAGTTTAAGGTGAAATATAAATGTAGTTAAATACAGTTAAATACCATTTGATGATATTTAAGTTAACATTAATAAAGTTATTGACCCCATTACTGCTACGCCATGCTAAAAACAGAGCTTGTTTTGATCGGCCTGTTTTGCTCTCTTTTATTCTCCTAAAATGACCAAAAACACCGTACAAAGTGTTCTAAGGAAATGTGTTATTTAGTGTTTAGTTTAGTTCTTTCCAAAGTAATCTGAAGCATCCAGTAAATTACATGAACTAAGGTTATCTAATTTCTCATAACTTGCATTATTGCTAAATCTAATAGCCAGTATTGCTGTGAGACACTAATACCAATATAGATAATATATCTCCCAGCACTAGTTCAGGACCACAAACCTTGGTGATAAAGATCCACATTCAATTGATTTCATCCAAACCCAACAAGTTCCTCTCTTTAGTTTGGCTTTTGGCATGTATCTCTCAATATATTCCATGAAAAGTGAGTTTATTCCTGATATCTCGAATTATAATCCCATTCAGGTCAGCCATGCTGGAGTTCAGGCTGAGGAGGAGCTGAGTGAAGAGCAACACATGTCAGCAAGTCTCTAAACCTCTAATCCAGGATGAAGGCTGGGCTTTATTCCCAATGGAGGATTTTCATGCTGCTCAGGACGATTCGAAGAAGAGGAAACAGTGGAATGACTTACACTTCCAAACATGAAAAGGGGGACACCTAGCCGGCTTCTGAAAATAAGTTTTTTAATTGTATTTTAAGTACAAATTAGCATGTTTTTTTTAGAAGGAAACAATGTTGGGAATAATGGTAATCCCCACATATTTTATGGAATTTAGAATGAGTTGACTGGTAGTAAAGGTAAAAGAAGACATAATGGCTAAATTAGCTGATCAATAAAATAATAGTCCATAGATTAATCGATAACACAAGTACTCATCAGTTGCAGCCATAATGTATTCACAAATAAATGTCAAAGTGTAATTATAAATTCTAACATAATTATAATACAGTTATAATACAGTTGTTTAAGGGCCCAAAACCTTACGAGGAGCCTCGCGAGTTTGTGATTTTTAAATTTATTTTTTCTTTGTTATTTTTTGGGCAGAAATATATTTTCTGAAAATGTCATTGATGACACAGCTTCCAAAAAAATTGAGAAAGCAATAAAGAAAGTGCCACTCAAACATACATTGTAAATTATTTTACTTGCATTTATTTATTGTATTTTATTTATTGTTTTATTTAGGTGGCATGGTGGCACAGTGTCACCAAACAGTAAGAAGAGCCTGGATTCAACTTCCCGACCGGGTGACCAGGGTCCTTTCTGTGAGGAATTTGCCTCTTGTCCCCGTGTCTGTGTAGGTTTTTTCCAGGTGCTCCTGTTTCCTCCCACAACCCTAAAGACATGCAGTCAGGCCAACTGATAATACTAAATTGCCCCCTATGTGTGAGTCTGAGTGTGGGTGTGATTGTGTATGTCTGTGTGTCTGCCCTGTGATGGACTAGTGACCTGTCCAGGCAGTTTCCTGTCCTCTGCCCAATGAGCTCTGGGATAGGCTCCAGCACCCCCATGACCCAGGAGGATAAACAGGTTAGATGATGAATGAATGCTTTATTTATTTACAGCTTCATTGTATTTATGTCAGCATTTATAAAATGATTTTTTTATTTTAAAAATGAATGAAGTAGTAATCAGATGTAGGAAGAAGTCACTAAGTTGCAAGTAACAAGTAAGTCTCAAGTCTTGACATTCAAATTCCGAGTCAAGTCCCAAGTCAAGATAGTCAAGTCTCGATTCAAGTCCAGAGTATAAACTCAGTCCAGGCAAGTCTCAAGTTGAGCCCCAAGTCCTCATCTTCGAGTCCTAAACAAGTCAGTATGCATTTTTCAGCTAATTTAAGACCATTTTATGTGTGACAGCATGCTAGTAGTGTATGGCTGTATATGATTAAGTTTTTATTTATTACATTTTTTTAACCTTCCATCTAAAATACAAAATCCATGTTACACAGATATCTATGACAAACATAATGGTATACAGAAAGAGTAGTACGCTGCAGATGAAATTAATTTTAAAAGCACTATTAAGTTCAATAATAAAAAAAAAACTTTATATTTGAAGATCATTTTGGGAACACTGGGCGCATAGGATTAAAATAAAAACTAGCTTAGCAAATTAAAAAAAACTGCTAGTTTGAACTGAATTTAGACAACAACAGAAACTAAAACAACCAAGCTGAACAAAGTTTACAGAATTTTCCATTGCGGCTCCATTGAAAGTAATGGAACATCCAGTTTGCTGTCGTTCGTCTACCGCAAACATGTGAATGCAGCATTAGCAATATGTACAGAGGCGGTTTATGGGGAGCCTGCCCTCTTCCTATTTCCCCCATTATATATAAAAAATAACTGGAAAACACTAGAGGGCCCAGAACCTTCCTTTAATAATAGACAATAGAAAAACATATTTCACTGAAAAAGCAAAGAAAACTTACCCTTCAGGTCATTCTACAGAAACATCCACTTTTCTATCTCTCCATAGGTGTCACTGGTGTTACCAATCCTCATTGGTGTTACATATAAGAAAGGTTTTTAATGAAAAATGCATTTTACAAAATGGCTGCTACAGAGCATCAAACCACATGTCATCAATCATGGAATATCCACTAAAATAGGTAATTTAATCCATTTGTATTCTATTTTTTCACAGTTGTCTAAGAATACAGTAGGTCAAGCCAGTGACTTCAACTAAAAGCTTCATATGAAATCATGAGCTAAATGAGAACATTTCTGATAAATGAAAAGACACAGTGGACTTACCAAGTGATTTTTCATAGATCCTCAGAAAATTGGTAAAAGGAAGTTAAGTGATGTCATCATTGTGATTTTTATTTCAAAATAAGAGATTTTTTGTTACGCGGTAACACCAGGGACATGACTCCTGGGGACCACAACTCTCATTATATTTTTTTTAATATTTATTTGGCATTTGTTTTCTTTATGTAATTTATTTTATATATTCCATAGTCGTGTATAGATTACAGATTGCAGAAAAACGTGGATTTTTTCAAAATATGGCACTCACCCTTTACACTTGACTGTGGGGACAAGTACTTCTGTGGTGCTTGGAATTCTAGATAATTGATTTAAAAACCAATATTGCTAAATTGATGGCTCAAGAGGGCTCAAGAATGACCCCTCTATGTTTCCTTTTTTCTACAGCAAATGGGTTTGGGGCTGCAGGACCTTAGCTATACATACCTAGATGCTGTGTTAGGTCCAGCCATTCACATCAACAGTGTCACCGTTGTGGGGCGTTCAACATCGCTGCTGGACTGCATTCAGTACCATTACAGAGCGGCAGTTTAAGAAAGACACTGTCCAAAATGATAATATTTCAAGAATATTGCACTCAGAAAGTGTGATAGGATTGTATAATGGAGGGAACGCAGTGATCCACGATCATGTTTGTGTGATGCATATTGTTTGTGTGATGTTCATTTGTAGATATGGCCATGTGGTTGGTGAGGCATGGAGAACCTGTTGATGTGATTGTTTTTCCTCTTGTTTTATATTAAGCTTATTTCATTTAACAGTCTATTCAGGGGATCTTAACTGGATGTAGTAGTTATTTACAACCCCGTTTCCAAAAAAGTTGGGATGCTGAGCAGAATGTAAATAAAAATAGAATACAATGATATGCAAATCATGTAAACCATATTTTTAAAGGAAAATACTACAAAGACAACATATCAAATGTTGAAACGGAAAAATTTAATTGTTTTTTGAAAAATATATGCCCATTTTGAATTTGATGCCAACAACACGTTCCAAAAAAGTTGGAGCTGGAGCATCTTCTTTTAATGTTGTTATGTACCATAGATGATGAAAAGCAAAAGTTCTTTGCTGTTGACAATGAGTGTTGCACTGAGAAATGTTATTCTTGAATTGTTGCACTTGATCGTGCAGACTTTCACAGAGTGGTGAACCCCTCCTCATCTTTACTTCTGAAAGACTCAGTCTCTCTGGGATGTTCTCTTTATACCATGTTTTATGTTTTATATCATGTTACTGACCTGTTGTCAATCAACCACCAGGTGTTTTTTAAGCATTACACAACTTTGCCAGCCTTTGGTTGCCCCTGTCCCAGCTTTTTTGAAATGTGTTGTTGGCCGCAAATTCAAAATGGGCAAATATTTTTCAAAAACCAATCAAATTTCTCAGTTTCAACATTTGATATGTTGTCTTTGTACTATTTTCAATGAAATATAGGGTTTAAATGATTTGCATATCATTGAATTTTGTTTTCATTTACATTTTGCACAGCGTCCTAACTTTTTTGGAAATGCGGTTGTATTTA